ATTTCTTTCAGATTTTACTATTGTGTTTATTACAATCGGTCCCTTCACTTTGTTTATGGCGCGCGCGGTCAAAATAATAACGTAACATTAATGACTATTCGCTTCCTAGAAATCACTTTTATTAAAATTGCCAATATAACTTTTCCCATCTTATTTCACAGAAGTGGAAGGAACGGAACAGATTAGATCGGCAGGTCTTAAGTTGTTGTTAGGCACTAGATTAGGTGTCCATTAGCTAGTTTCAGTATCTGCGGGTTTGAGGTTCCCGATCGTTTGTGGATTCCATTCTTCTTCTTTCCAATGCAATTTATTGTTTATAGCCTGATTAACTTTCCACCCTTTGTTACTTACACATCCTGTAGTCTTAAATGAACTCATCCATTTGGACAAGTCAAGAGCAATGCAATCTGTAACGGTAACCCGTTAACGGAATTCTTGGATTCGATTTTCTTATCTATTTTTTTAAGATTTTGTGGTGAGTTCTTCATCTGACATTTACACGTGTATGGGCGAAAAAAATAACACTTCCACAGAGGGCACTGCGTGTCGTAGGAGGCGACTAAATAACAACAAGCCAACCGCAATACTAGCGCTGGAGTTTGGAGGGTTTTGGGGATTTACTTTTATTTTTTACCGATTATGACTTATTTCTCGATTATTACGATTTTAGACGATAGTAGTTTTATGGCAGGGTTTCATAGATTTTTTGTTGTGTTTCGGGGGTAAGTGGTTTTGAATCACAGTCCGAGTTCGTTGAGTCGCGTTCGAAGTTAAGTCAACCACCTGTAATTTATTGCAGGGTGATTCGAGAGTGTGTATTGATAGATGGAAAAAATTGCGAGCGCCTATAGTAGCCAAAAAACAAGCGCGTAAAATTGCGAATGGGAAGTTATTAGTGACTGTGATTTACTAAGACTAATGATAATTTACGGCTTAGAAACTATTACGTTAAATACGAAAAATAGTGGAAATTTTAAGCCATAAAGAATTAACATCATGTAACCTTAAATAAAGAATTATCAAATAGCGAATTTGTTGAATACGGACTACAGCATAAATTTAAACGCGTGGAAATAAAACTTTTTATTTTGCCTTTATTTTTGAGTGGGCGGGGTTTCAGCCAAGGCTGCTCTACCCGAGTAGACCCACTATACATTTACAAATATCATATTGACGGTTGCCGTCGCACCATTTAATTTTCTAGTGGTCGTGTTTTAACTTCAAATCAAAGGAGCCATTCATTTTTCGGGGCCTAGGATAAATTATCCTTTTGAATCATTTGGATCGACGTAATGGTACGTAGGTACTTAGAGTAGGGAAACTCCCCATTAGTTGTATAAATAGGATAAGCAGGCGAATTAGGCACAACCCTCGATCAATCTGGCTCGATCAATTGCCATGGGTTTCTAGAGCCCTCGATCAACATGGTCTACTTTTTTGAAATAAAAAAATACGGAGTTTTCCTAATTCCTTTTGAGCGAGGTATTTTATGCCGAACTCGCCTATCACCAAACACACTGTCCTTGTAACCTACCCGAAACCTACCGAGCAACCCGAAGGCGTGTGCGACACAACCTTCGATCAACATAAAAATTTTCAAATTTTTTCAGTCGTTATCTAATGCTTCTACATAGCGTGGGATTTGCGAGAACAGCGGAAAATGTCAATCGATCTGACTGGGTGGAAAAAACAGAATTTTATTTGCGGACAAGGTTTGCGTCCTGAAATGGGCGTCGCTCAAAAAAGAAAAGTATGGAAAAGTTGGTTATTTTAGTCCGCGAGACAATCAGTTAACCTGTTCATTAGGCTATGGTGTGTTAAAAAGTTCGCTTTGACCCACGAGCGAAGTTAAGTCAACCGCCAGTAATTTATCGCATGGTGGATTTATTTGTATTATTCGAACTTGCGTCGAGCCGCCAGTGCAGTTAAGTCGATCACCTGTAATTTATTACTGGGTGTTTTATATATTGGTGTGGCAACTCTAATAATCAAGAGTGTATATTAGCGGTGGAAAAAATTGCGGACGCTTTACCAAAGCGAAGTTTGTGTTCATGAAAAAAGCGCGTGAAATTGTGAAACTATTGCTTTAGATACGAGCAATGGTGGAAATTTTAAGCCATAAAGAATTAACATTATGTAACCTTAAATAAAAAATTATCAAATAGCGAATTTGTTGCGAATACGGACCGCAGCATAAATTTAAACGCGTGGAAATAAAACATCGTCATATTTCGACTGGCCATGGTTCTCTAGAGGTTAGTATAATTCACTCGACCAACATGGCCTACATTTATGGAAAATAGATACGGTATTTTCCTTGTGAGTTAACTATTTTATGCCGAACTCGCCTTCAGTTCGCTCGACATTGGTAAACACAAAACACGCTGCTTCTGTAGAGGTTGATCACCCTCGAAAATTGCCGAGCGAGCCGAAGGCGAGTTCGAAACAGCCCACGATCAGCATAGCCTACTCTTATGGAAAATTGATACGGAATTTTCGTAATTCATTTTGAACGAGCTATTTTATGCAATGCTCGGTATTGGTATACAAAACACCCTGTCCTTGCCACACGAACGGCATTGGTATACAAACCACCCTGTTGTAATGGTCCTAGGGGTCTATCAAGTCGACACTGAAAACGTTACTTACCCTATACTTACCGTTGGCAACTCTGGGAAAAAACTACGAGCAGAGCCACCTTTCAAGTCGAAACGTGGCACTTTTGAATTTGGATGGCAGTCGGCTCGATGTGGGTGGCACGAATGAACTTCTACGTTGTGTAATCGGTTCTTTTATGTGTTGGGACGTGAGAGATAATCGGGAAGGGAATTAAATAAAAGGCAGAACTTTTGTGCGTAAGAAATGACAAGAACAAATAAACATATTACGCACACAACAAGACCATACCAGGGAAACCTTCTACGGGACAAAAACCCCGGCATAGGCCACACAAATACATGAAATAAATCACCTGCAAGAGAAAATACACATACATAAAACATCTCAAATTGTATGATAAAAATCAGATAATCAAATCAAATGCAATTAAACAAGTTCATAAAAACAAAATATACAAGACATCATAAATGCAGTGGAAAACCTGATAAATCAATTCAGTACAAAAACACATCAAAATACATGCCTGTACGATCAATTGAGCTAACACAACTCTTAAAATAATAAATTGCATGTACCGGGTGACCCAATAAGACTGTTCTTCGGCCATACCTCGGGAACCGTTCGTCGTATGACTTAGGGGTAAAAAAAATTATTAGGTAAATCGGTTATGAAAAATCGCTGGAAAATATTTTCAAGTTCTAAAAATGACCCCCAGAGGGCGTAACTGCCATCTTAAATTTTAAAATTGCATTTTCTTTAAATTTCGCATAATAAACTAAACATTCTTTTTTCACATTTTTAAAGAGAACCATTTTCGTAAGAACAAAAAGTCAGTTATTTCAAAAACAAAGATGGCGTGGGGCGTTCAATCGTTTTTGCAATAACCTGCTTTAACTTCTTAACCGTTTGGCCGATTTTAACAAATTTGGTATTATGCCGAACTCGCCTTCGGCTCACTCGGCATTCAAAAGGCCCTATCCTGGTAACCCAGCCGAAAGTTGATCAACATGATCTACTTTTTTGAAGAAAAATACGGAATTTTCCTAATTGCTTTTGAGCAAGCTATTTAATGCTGAATTCACCCTCAGTGCGCTCAGGTACACAAATCACCCTGTCCTTCTAACCTCGCTGAAAGAACTCTCGGTCACTATGATCTGCCGTCGCATCATCTAATTTTTGAGAGGCCATGCTTCAACTTCAAATCAAAGGAGCCATTCATTTTACGAGGCCTAGGATGTTCTTTTGAATCATTTGGATCAACATAATGGATCAGTGATTACTTCGAGCAAGGAAAATCAACTCGCTGTATAATAAGATAACCAGGCGAGTTCCGCACAACGTTTTTAAATTGATTTCAGAATCTAATGAGATCTCAAACCCTCAGACAGAGCGAAATTTGCGTGTTTTGCTGAATTTTTCGTCATAGTTCTTGGTCAGGTTGCAATAAAGAATCACAAACAATAAAGGTTTACTGCGTTTCCTCTTCCGAAGAAATACATTTTTAGATTCAGAAAATTAAATTTGGAAAACAAAACTAACTTAGCTAGGTATTATCTATAATATCCTGAAGCCCTGAACAGTGAAATGGTAAAAGTTGTGTCATATTTCAGCTTAATTGATATGGAAATAAGAACTCGTAGTTCGATGATGGATGGGGGTTTCTGAAAGGAATCTGAAATTATAATGGAGACATATTAGAAGAATAGTATATTTCCTTTCTGATTTTCTCCATTAAAGATTTAATGTAGCGTTAAGGATTTGTGCCCATCGCTGAGTTAAGGGATATATTGTTATGTGCAAATAATACATTCTCTCCCCTTACGATCTTTTGTGATCTGGCCTATTCTTTCAATGAAATTTATTAAAGACAAGGGTTTTATATAAAGATACTTAAACGCTTTATCCCGTAAATCCTCAAAAGGTATTCTCAGAAGCCATCGAATCGCGAGCTCTTTATAAAATTGGATTTGAGATCTTTCTCTTCTATATAGAACTTTTTTATAATTACGCAATGGCTATTTTTAGAGAATGTGTTCGTTCACCGTTATATTTACAAACGCAAACTTGAACGTTGCGCGACATTGACACAGATCGGGGATTTTCAACCTTTCGAAAACGTGACCTACATCAAAATCGTTTGTCGCCACTTTACGCTTACGCCAATTTCGCATTAGAAAAAAAGGGGAGAATTTACATAATGCCTCCCTTAAATACCTCGGCCGCGGGCGGCTCCAACAAAGAGCCGACGACGAAAATGAAACCATAAAAAAATTATTAAGGGAACGATCTCGAATTAAGGGCGCTCGTTACGAGCACTTAGCACTTTACAAACAAACGCTTCCTCTTTGTCAACATCGCTAATTAGGCCTTTAATGTTCCAGGAGATCCAGTCGGAGCGGTTTGTCCGCAAGGAATGTTTCGATGCCCGGAGGGAAAATGCATCCCATCGCTGTGGGTCTGCAATTACTTGAAAAACTGCGAGAATGGAGAGGACGAATTCCAATCTTGTCGTAAGTATCCCCTGCAGTCATTTTAAAATTTTGTTTTCACCACTTAATTAAAAAAAAGAAATAAAACGACACTGTATCTAACGCCAGTGGTGGCTTAGAATGGACGAACAAAGGGTGGCTCATTGAAAAATGCTTCTCCACGTCAATTTCAATTTTCCTCTCCAAATTCAGGGGAGGAAGAACGAGCTTCCTATGTGTTAACTTAGTCCACCATTGGTGTGTGATACAATTGACATCGGTCAAACATTGAGCTCTGATTCATTTTCAAAGCGCCACCTCTGAAAACCGTACCTTCATTAATATTCCATAAACGCCTGTAACTGGAGTTTAGGTACCATACTTTACCTTAGTTATACAGCCATTAAAACGACCCTTTCTGTCTTAATCCCCACTTTTTTCAATTTTGCAACCACATCTTTAAAATGGCGACCAATCGGTTTTAGCGGCCATCTTTATTCGTTATCTTTATCCTACGTTTAAAAAATCAATTGCCAGAAGCATCGGCCGTTAAAAACCTTGGGTATTCAGTTCTCATTCTCATGCTGTGTCACGAAACGGAATCAACTCATCAAAAACAGGCATTAATTCTGTCTTATCTCCCGCCAGACTGGCGCGGTCAACTGTCTCACGCATTTAATCGGCCACCAAACTTGTTGAGATATCATTGACACGAAAACAATAGAGCAACAAACCCCTAAGGCCCTAACACCGCGCAACCCTTAAACAATTCAACTTTAAGCCTTTAATCTTGGGAATCCTCCCTTAAAGCCGTACCAAAATATAATAAAAATCGCGCCTACACCCCTGCGTACTAGGTAGTGGGTTCCCGTTGCATGGGATACACTGTTCTTAATTTTCTTGAATACATAGCAAAAAGAGGTGTAACGGGAGATCTGCCTTGCAGTTTGATTTATTCAAGTTTGTTTCATCGGATCTAAAGAATTTTATTTCAAATAGACACAGAAATGGAAAAAATTATTGAACTGTCATTCTAATTTTTGTTTTTTTTTGTAAAGTTACTAATTGTTTAATTAATTTAATGCTATTTCTTGTCTAAAACGCATAAATAATCTGGCCAGGTGTTTGTTAAAAAAGAGGTTTATATCGAAAAACCTGATTGGTTCTGTGATAAAAATACCATGTTCGAGATAAGCAACTCATGTGTTTATCAATACCGGGCGACGGAGCAGTGTTTCGTGTATCGCCGGGAATCTACGATATGTAATTGATGAATGGAGGTGATCTCTCGTTTAAATATGAAAATATACAAGGCTGTTTTTCGGGTCGATTGTGAAAGCGTATGTCACTGTTAAAAAAAGGCACTGTTACCCATAAAATTTTGTCATTGTATTAGTTTTTTTTTCTTAAAATGTGTTAGAATAAATTCTTGTAATTTTTATTAATCAATTATGTGTCAATTTGAATCCCAAGAGATTCAGGTAAAGGTTTAAATTTGCTGTCTGATTTTTTTTTAATTTCTTTTAATCGAAATGTCAATTTCATATCAAAATTTGAGTAGTGATTTTATTGGAATTTACGGAATTTGATTGAGGGCTTCGGTTCTTTCAAATCTATGAAAGTTGTAAGTCAATGTTAGGATTTTTTGTTTTTGTCAGAACCCAGTTGTGCCCTGAGAAAAATAGAACTAAGGTTGTAATTTGACCTAGCTGCTTGTGCCTGTTTGGGTGGTATTTTTGAACGTATCCTATTACACACAGCAATTGTAGTGTCGGGTCAAGTTATTAACGATAAGCGTTCGCATCTAGAGCGCATAGATAGTTCGAGGCAAAAATGCAGTGTAAACAAAGCATGCTGGTGTACTATTGGTTTAAAGGGGACGCCGGTCGCAGACATTCCGTTGGTTCCGTTTTGGCTTAATATAAATATCGAAGCGCAAAGAAAAAAAACAGAAATACCGATTGTGAAAGCGTAAAGTAAGTCTGGGCCTATTGAAAATAACTCAAATCTATTGACCCAGTGGGCCACATCGAGGTGCTCTGCCGTTTTTTAAGATCCGCTTTAGGGGTTTATTAAAATGTGAACATAATTAAATCAAAGTTAATGTAATATTAAAGTCAGGTTATAGAGGTAAAAGCTGATCACCTAGGGACATTTTATCTTAATTTCTCAATTGAATTTATAAGATTCCTCGAAAATATTATTTGCGTTTACCTTCAGGATACCTTACGATAAGGGGGTGAGAATTTTGGCGTGTGTAGCTCACAAAATAAGTTTCAGCTAATTTATTACTCACTACATACTTTATTGAGTTTTGATTATCGACCAGGTTGAGGATTTACTTCCTATAAGAAGAGAGAGAGAGACAGAGAGTGGTTGGAATCCAATTTCCTGAATCATTTTTTCGTGAGGTTCACCGTTCGACGGCGGGTTAAGGGTTGCTCGCGACGTGGCGGGGGACGTGGGAGAAAGGAGAAGGCGCGAAGGACGTTTCGAAGACACTTTTCCACGATTATCTCAAACGATAAGGGTAATCATCTCAAGCGCTCCTGGGGACAGGGTTTTTGGAAAACTTTTCAAGACTCTTTCGGAGGTAGCGATGAGGTTGAACACTTTTGAAGCCCCCCCCCCCCCCCAGATTGAGGTAAAACTCGCGCAACGATTAGTAAAAGCAAAATTGTCCGTATATTGAAGTTAGCGGTACGTGGTCGCGCATTAGAGATATTTGATGGGTTGGCGTTTTAGCAGAATGTGGGAAAAGATCCGTGGTAGTAGAAGGGGTAGCTGCCACAAGGCCCGACATAAATATGTCTTCTCCCATTTCGGGTCCGGTCCAGTCGAAATTTTCGAATTTTGTAGGAGCGCCAAGTGAAATTTTGAGTTCGTCATTGCGTTCTTTCCGATTTCATACTATAGATTGGGGTTTCGAAAATATCACCGTGGCTTTATGTAAAAATGCAAATTCACTTAAATAAAATGCAAAACTAACCAAATTTCTTCGTATGGATCCACTTATAATAATTAAATGCAATACAGATCTGTTCCATCCAATTAATTTAAATTAATTAAATTAAACCGACCAATGCTTCATAGAGTTCAAAAATTGAAGTACAGTAACTTCCATATATCGCTTGAACCGGTGTTTTTCTTTACATTTTCAATGGCACGGCTCCCTCCAAGAAAAATTAAAAACTGGATCGCTTTTGGGGTGATACAGTTGAATGTTTGCGATTCGCCCTGGGACAATCGCCTCTCATTGTACTAATGGAAAATTTCTGGACAATGAACTTTTACTTATCTTGACTGCATTCAAACCGCGCCAAAATTGTCGACAACGTAAATCGAGTTGTTGTTTGTGCACAAGAATAAAAAAGCCAAAATCCAAACTACACCGAACTCGCTAATTTCTTCGCTTGATATTTGAACTTTTTCGTAAGCGTAATGCCATCGAAATTATAATTCTTATTCTAGTTGTTTCTGTTTCAATTCACAATTTCTTCAACATGAGGTCACTGAACGTTCGGTGAATTTCCCTTTCTAGACTAACGTTTCGTTTCAATTCCGACTGGTCGTTCGCACAATTTTGTACACGAGGGCCCTACTCCAACTCAGACCCACAGACTCTTTACAACATTGGCGCGGACACCTTTTGAAACTCTCTTGAAACCGCTAGATAAAATATAGGTGATCGCAAGTTAAACTCGCATACTATTGCAATCGAAGTTAGGCGCCCCCTCCATCTCCAAGGTTCATCCTTGGAACAAACGCAAATGTTTCTCAACGCGCAAGCGCAAAGACACACCACAATTCAAATTCTCCAATCCAAAAAATTTATTGTTATTTAGGTTGGTGCTGAGTCGAATATATAAAACGGGTTGAACGCAAATATCACCACCGAAGCTAGCTCACGCATTTTTAGCTGCACGTCGCCTTCATCGAACCTACTCGCACTCTTCTTGCTTATCGGTACATGTGTCACTTTTACACTTGAAATTCGAAAAATTTAAATTTTGCTCATTACCGTTACCGTCGCAAATTGCAGCGACACGACGTTGCGGTAGGGAGTGACAACAGTAAACTATCATACTTGGTTGAAACTTTATTGATGGTTTTACGTGCTTTATTATTGTTATTCTTATGGATAAATTGATAACATTAAGGTATTTAGTAATATCACATATCTTAGATGTTAAATAACCTTAAAGTAATACAATTAATTTGCTCCTTAATTTTTCGTCATTCTACACCGGGCCGTGTAGATGGCGCTGTTTTTCGTGTCGCAAAATGCAAACAGTAGCGAATTTCCTGTATTAATATATAATTATATTGGTATTTGTCTATAGTCAACAAAAATAGTAGATTACATACCGAGCAGGGAAGTGGTTGATTACGCCGAGGGCTTATGGTAGTGGTGAGGTATAAGCGCGAGGCGTAGGTAATCAACTACTTCCCAGGTCGGTATGTAATCGAGAATCTACTACTAATTCCTAATTTATTGAATGCACCCAATTTCTACCCTGCAATAATTTATCGTTAGCAACCTCAGGAAAAAAAACGAATGACAGTAAACAAATTGAAGTTTTGGTTAAAACGCGTTCAAAAATTTCACCGATCAAAATTCTTTGCCAAATCTACAACAGGAAAAAATGCCTTGCCCACCGTGCTGTTCTCCCTGCTACCCATGCTGCTACCCCGCCCTTGCGCCCTGTTACCCGGTATCTTGCTCGCCGTGCGTGTGCGCTCCCTACTGCATGCCGTGTGCACCACCCTGCCCTCCCAAGGTACAAATATTGGTTTCAATTACCTTTTCTAACTGTTGGTTTTTTGCAGTGCTAGCATGGCTACGATTGGGTGCCATTAAAAGCCGAGGCAATTTTGAAATGTAATTTATATAAATGAAGAAATATATGAGCGTTTAGTTATTTGTTGTGTTCTTTATCTAATGACTGTAATCAGTACCTAGGTCCCCATTCTAGGACTGAAATTAAGTTTTGGAGATGATTTCATAACAATTAAGGATTGTTGTTTCCCCGAGTACGCTATTTTTGGTGTCAGATGATCTGATTAACTGAAAATTTAAATCTCATTTGTTTCTGTTGTAATATGTTCTTATAGCAACCATAAACAAACAAATAAAAATTTTGGCAACACACAAATTTTGCTCCTTAAATTTCCAACCCAAGAAGAAATATGCCTTGCTCACCTTGCTGTGCACCCTGCTACCCATGTTTCTACCCAGTTTGCGCGCCATGTTATCCAGTTTATTGCGCTCCGGTTGTGTGCGCACCTTGCTGCCCCCCTTGTGGACCATGCCCTCCTAAGGTAGTACAAGTGCTATTTTTTAAATTCCTCCTTAACCTTTGAATTTTTGTAGTGCTAGCAATGTTACACAATGGAAGCTCCAATAGCTACAGTTAGCGAGTATAAGGCAATGTAAAAAGTTAAATTAATAAATATTATTTGCAACTATAAATTTACTAAGTAATTATGTTAGGTGTGGGCTAACACCAAGAGTGTTCCTGGTTCGAAAACTGGTTTGCCCCAAAAGATTGACAATCGATAATTCAATTCGTGTTGCCCCTCCTTGCCCTCCAGGCAACGTGCACAAATTCATTGAGTGAAAGCAATGGATGACTTTCAATTTCGTTCAACACGCCAAAGTGTTACAGGAAGATTTTCCCACGAGTGAAATTTGAAAATTCGGCGTATCTATAAATATTGCAATAATCGAAAATGATTGATTGTAAGTAGTTAATGATTCCCACGACCTACATATTTAAGTGCGTTACTACCAATACGCGCTTGAAACCTTCAATGGTGAAAAGAAGGCTCTTACGAACATAAATGATGAAGAAGAGCAATCGATGTCGATCTTTAGTTTTTTAATAAGTGGTTTTAAAATCATTGTTACACATGAAAGTGTCTATTTCCGGTAGTGAAGCTGTATCAGTGGCTACACCTTGAAAAATCGTGCGATGACTGAATGTTGTACTTGGTTTGAGGTCAACATTTTTCTACTGTCGACACTGTCTGCATAAAGTCGTTATTTGTTAGGGAAACTGTCGAACGCACGGGAATGGCAAAACTATGGAGAAATCCCATATTGAGATTGAGATAAAACGAAGAAGACTTTCAATAGGTAAAAGGATAATGCAAAATAAACATGAGTTGTAAAACGTATCGTTCGATTCAAAAAGATTTCCTATAAATTTAGTGGGGATGCGCCATCTTAGAATTTTCATAAACATTTTCGAGCCCCGAGTACCTAAAACTTTGAACGCAAATCATGTGCCCCACTCGCTCGTGATGATATTCAAGGAGCTGTGGATGTGATAAAAAATGCCTCCAGCCATCTAGATTAAAATCACCGGGCATCCCATCTCGTGTTACATCAGCTACAAGTGGAACCCGGTCCAATTCTGTGCTGGAGAATCTCCCCAACGCGATTAGTCACAAATCCTTTGTATCGGATCGTCTCCGACCTGAGCAAACTAAATATCTACTGTCCACGAATCGAGAAAGAAATGCGTAGAGTGTAATTTCGACTCAATTTGCTTCTTAATCGTAATGGCCCAACGACTCCCCATTACGGCTCCTTGAATCTCCAAGCGTGGTATTGTCAATGAGTTTGCAGGAGCAACCCTCGTTTTAGCCCTGAGCCATCGTACATGAACAGACCTTCCGACACGTAAGAATCCAACAGCACCAAATTCTTGTTCGATGGCGTTTGTGAACACGTGTGGCTGTGTGTCATCAGCTTCCGGAAGAAGGGGACGATCACGGTAAAGAAAATTTCGCAATTCTTTTTAAGTCCTCTAGCCACAGCATCCACTTCACTCTGATGCCCTGCGGCATAGGTTCATCCAACTCCGTTCCGCCACACCACCTGAACCAGCTTTTTAGCGCATTTCCACAAAAAAAAAATGCGCTATTGTGGCCACTTTGTCCGTCCGTCCGTCCGTCCGGCTGTCCGTCGGTCCGTCCGTCCGTCCGCTCGTTTTGCGACGCTACTAGTTCTTTATCTTAAGAGCTATTGTTCTACTTTTTTCGCTATTTGGTTCGTTATGGTTTCGAGTCTTGTACCAAGGAAGGAATTTTTTCTGTACCGCTTACAAAAAAAGTTATTGTAAAAAAAACAAAAAAACCGTTTTTTACATGTTCCATAATTTTACACTTTTGCCGTTTATTAACGATCCTAGAGATCGTTTATAATTTTGCATTACTATCTGTCGTCTGCCTGTTGGTCTGTCCGTCTGTTCCTTTGTCTGTCTGTCTATCTATCTGTCCGTGTGAACGATAACTTTGTTTAGAAATGTCCGATCGCTTTTACATCTCCGTTAGTAATGAACTGAATTGCATGAAATTCAATATGGGCATAGCTTTAGCCATATAATACGCAATGCCAAACGTTGAATCTAATCGATTCAAAATTCACAGTGCCGTTTTCGCATCTCGACCATTTATAAACCGAATTGCAAACTTTTGGAACAAAGGAAAATCTAACATTAGTTTCAAAATTTAGTTGTGCGCATGCGCAGTGCCAATTTTCTTATTTAGAAAAGCATTGAAATGAAATTCTTCTCATAAACTGAAATTGAAGTAGCACGTCAAAAATGGATTGCCCATGTACAACGCTATCTTTCATATTTGTGGCCGGATTTTTACGATTTTAATAGAAGTTGCATCTTACAAATGGGAAATGAATACAAGTGGAAATGCGCTTTATGTAAATCGTTTACGATTACTTTTTAACTTGTTTTCCTTTGAGCACGAACTGCCCCACAAACCCATGAGTGTCGAACACTGACATGACGACACTCAACAGTTCCCTCTTGGCAGGGATCCGAACCCAAATGAAATATCGGTTCCGGTTCTGTTTATATTTAAGCGAAAATATTTATAACGGTTCGGGTCCGTTTTCGGTTCTTAAAAAAATAACGAGTCGGTTCTGCGCATTTTTTTCTGTCCATAACGGATTTTAATTTGTTAATTAGATGTGAAGAAGAAGTAGAAAATCATCAATACTAACACGTGACATATCGTCAGTGTAGCTAATTTACAACGACAAGGGGAATAAAAGAGGAAGAGGGAAATATGTATTTAAACATAATTTATTAATAAAAAACAGAAAAAATACACAAAAACTTATGTAAAAAATTGTGTATAGAGCATTGTTTTTTACTTTTATTTTCTAAAACCTCGCCCCTCCTTTTATTATTTACATTTACAGTAGTGGACAAATTACCGCCACCTTATTAAAAATGTATAATCCACCGATGGCCGACGCCGTGTTTGCCGGCGCGTCCTGCAACCCCATAACCTGTTGGGAACCGTAAAAAACCGAAAAGAACCGAAAACAAGTATAAATTGTGCACAACTCTTGTACAGATAAAGCGCATTTTTTTAACCGAAATAGCTTTTGTTTTGACATGACCAATGGATATATTTCTTGCAGACGTCTCAATCGCCCTTTGTGAGTACCCTCTTCCGACAATCCGTTCTTGAGGTATAAGGGAATATACCCGATCACGATAAGAGGTCGAGGAGACGGCTGTGGTTGGTAAAAATTAATTCCTTTCGTTGAGACCTTTCATTAGAGTACGATGAAGGATAAAACTAGTTTTACTCCCCCCCCCCTCCCTTCCCCCCGTACTTTGATAAGAGGACAGAAAGAAGGGCAGTAGTTGGTAGAAAACGGTTCCTTTCGCTGAGACCTTTAATTAGAATACAATGAGAGATAACATTAATTCTTAAAAAATGCGATAAAAAATTATGTATAGAGAATTTATTTTCTAAAACCTCACCCCTCCTTTTATTATTTACATTTACAGTAGTGGCTAAATTACCGCCACCGCCACCCGTAAGTCCTGCCTTCAATTTCGACACCTTATTAAAAATGTATAATCCACCGATGGCCGTGCTTGCCGGCGCGTCCTTTAACTTCCAATATCATGTTGCGAACCGTAAGAAACCGAAAAGAACCGAAAAAAATTATACGGGTTCCGGTTCTCAATAAGTTTCAATTTCTGAAGGAATAACGGTTTCGGTTCGGTTTTCGATCCTGATAAAAATACCGGTTTCGGTTTCGTTCCCTGCCTCTTGGTTGGCATTCCTTTTCCAATCGCTACATCCTCAGGTAGCTTGTTGAATTTCAGTGAGAATGTGAATACATCTTCTTCTAGTTTCCTAGAATAATCCAAGTGCTCCCTCGATTTGACCCTCATCGCCTCGAAAGGCCTTTCCGTAATTAATCCCTCTCAGATTTTCAGGAACCTTTTGATAGTTTGAAACACAGGAGCAAATTTCAAATCCACCAGCTGCATGCACTTTGATGACGTCACCCACAAGCCCGCCGCCGTCTCCTCGTGATCCTCACAATCCAAATAATCGTCCAGGCTGGGTATGTGAGTTTCAGGGTAAACGAGTCTGTCCGAAGTTGTCCGATGAGACACGATTTGAGACTGTCAACCTATAAATTAACAAACGTCAATTAATGAATCGCCTAGATATCACAAAAAAAAGCAAACTTATTCTTATTTGTGGACGTATAGCAAATAATGAAGAGCATTTAAAGCTTCCCGTACTACGCGGTTACTATAAAGCTGCTCTTTAAGCGATCCTATTGGTGTTTACACGACTTTAGTTTACCCTGAGATTCACATACCCACGACTACAGTGCCCTCTATCCGTGACCATCAATTTTGTATTGAAAGCATAGGGCGAATAGCAGTCCATGTACTATATGGTCTAAGGGTATCTATCATCCGCAAAGGCGACTCTTCTCTCCCTGAACCGCATCAAAATCCCTGGAAGGGACTCCAACAAATCAGGACCTGTGGGAAGATTGTCGTCGAGACTTTTTGCGGGCGCATCTAAAACCACTTTGATTTTATTTGTCTTTTTGGGATGGAAGACCCCCAAAGTGGGGCAAATATCCTTTGCCCTTTGAGTTTGTCCCTATCAACTTTTTGTACATACCTATTCCATTTGTTCATTGTGAATCATCTTGTCTTGCTAGAGCTTTGCTTTGTTCGAATCTTCTTTCCAGAAAATTGAGACGTCTCAAAGCTTCTTCTCTGTTTTCATGAAGAGAAACGTTGTCATCACGTCAGAGCAAACCGGTTTCCCAACGTCCCGAGTCAACTCTCTTTGTGGTTAACTCCATCTCCGCACGCTTGTCTTCCTGTGACCATTGCGGGTCATCCTCGACACTCACTCCAAATGCCTTTGTACTCATGAACTCTCGCATCATCCATTCAATTGGGGTTTCTTTCTCAGCCATGAATAACGAAGTCTCATTTGTGCATACCTTGCTAGGGTTTGGACGGACTATGAACTGTCCATCCTCCTAACTTACACCTTGATATCCACGGAGCGTTCTTTATTGCATTCTCCTGGAATGATGAGATCAGAATTTGTGGCTCACTCGCCCTCTCAGACAAGTTCACATTCTGAAAATGTGGCCAACGGTCCAGCAGTGTCTTCTCGTCAAGTCCAAGCTCCTCAGATAGATTTTGCTCCATAGTTGTAGTCATTGAGCCATCATCCAGCATGGCTGTTGTTGTTATAACATGTTGTTCAGCCTTGGTCTTCATTGTTTCGAATTCGAGCTGTCCTCTTTTGGCTTCTATTTCTGAAGCTAATCTCTTCTCCTCAAGGTCAGCTAATCTCTGCTTGGCTTCCAACGTAGCCTTTCTCTTCTTGTTTGGTTAAACTGTGAAGTGTCTGGAACTTTATGTACACGCACTGTATTGCTAACACTATTGCCTTGATTGGCCGCCGTGGTCGTGACGTCCAAGGGGTTTCCGGATGTCTCTCCGCCGCTTGACCTCGTCTGCTGACCCGGATACATCCATTCTCCATACCATTTTTTCTTGGTTGCTACGTCTCACACGATCCATGTCATCTTATTGGCTCATGATCAGCCAATCACAGTTTACAAGCAATAATTATAATGAACATTAATCCACGAACCGATCCGTGCTCGAAGGAACCAAAATGTCAGGGTCAGTTCTAACACTTTCAAATGTCCACTTGGGAAATAATGCTCAGAACAATAAATAAAATTCTTTAAAACGGTAATAAATACTTATTTCCACTCCAGTATATTTTCAACGACACGCGTAATTTGGGGGTGGGGGGGGGGTTAAATTATTTAGACTGATTGCTTTTAATTTATCGCAATATGGGTTGCACCGACTAGCGCAATCGAACAAAAATCTGGGACATAGAAAAGCTGTATGATAATCAAAATGGAATTTAATGTGCATTCTATACATTCAATGGAGTAATAAAAGTAAAAATTTAGTAGGTCCCTAAGTGATCGCTTTTGCTTTAATATTATATAATAAGGACCTTGTTTAAAATTTAATAATCTTACTTCTAAGGTGCTGACAATAATTTGTACTTAAATGGGAGTAGGTTCATTAACAAAAATTCTAATGAGACAATAAATAATCCAACTAATTCGTAATTAATCTTCCCTATCTTACTCTTTTTTGGGTTAAAAACAAAACTCACAATTCCTTTACGTCGTAGTAGACAATTCCCCTAGGTCATGGTTAGCGTTCGATGGTATGTGTAGTTTCTTTCTTTAGGGGAAATGGAAAAGACTCGACATATGTTGACAAGTTGATGTGCAATTTTTCCCAGATTAAGTAGATTCCAGCCCATTAATTCAACAGTTCCAGCCTTCGACCAGGTCAAAGATATCAATAGACCAGTTCGCACTTGCGATGTCAAACAAAGATCATAAATATACTCGCTGTTTCGGAGAGCGTGTCGCGATTTTACTGACACTGTCATCACTTTCAGGGGCCTCTCAGCTTACAGGTAGCTGTCGGAGTCAGCGTCGTGAGAGTCCCAAATGTCATTATTGCTGTTTTTATTATGGTAACAGTATCGGATGTTCAAAAGCAAGTTTTGATGCGGAAAAACAGACCTTGTCAAATATACCTACTTCATTTATGTTATCAAGCAGCTTTCGATCAACTTTGAAGGTGCGAAGTACAAAACTTATCTTAACTTTAAAATATGAAAAAACGAACATGATTGGACTTTACATTTCTGTTCGACATGCAAACATGCAAACTCTGTGCGCCATGTATTCATATATGAAAGAGCGACTTTCAGAAACTAAAAAGTTATAAGAAAATTTTATTTCCGTCGTCGGGAGAAGTTATTAAAGCGAGTTGGAAACATATCATTTTCGTTATTCTAAGTGGGCTCAAAGTTGTGCCAAAAAAATGCTTTTCGACAGTTTTATTGGCGAACTTCGTGCACTTAAAGGTGATAGGCGGACACATAAAGAAATATATACGATGTCTTCGTAAATGAAGCATTTTATCGGTGTTTTGGATTGTTTTTGGCTACTTGCAACTCTCGGAGATGAAAAAAAGATCAACTTGTATCTAGATTTAACTAATTAGTGCGGATGTGCGATGAAACAAAGCGGTAGGACAAAAAGTAATACAAAAGAAACTTATTGCGTAGTGTGGCCGTTTTTGTCTTCCAAGTTCGCGGCGTCTTTACTTGCCGTTTAAACAGTTTAAATTTATGTCCGGGCTAGTTACTTAATTCTCTAAAAGTTCTAATACCTCATGCTAAGACTTTGGCTTTAAATATCTCGGCCTGAATTTAATTAAACGTCATTTTTTCTTGTTTCAGCCCCTCCCGATTGTGATCCTGGCCAATTAACGTGCGGGCAGTACGTCTGGAACAAGACATACTGCATACCCCCATATTATCGCTGTGATATGACCATCGATTGTGTTGATGGAACAGATGAGGCCGAGTGCAGTAAGTATCTACCGAAACTTAAGCGATTTTAAGTCGAATTCGCGTCGCAGCGTATAGAAAATGCCAGCCCGACGACTTTCACTGCGGCCCGGAAGGGAACACTGCGAGGGCCGTCGACCCTTGTATTCCCAAGGAGAAAAGATGCGACGGATATTTGGACTGTAGGTCGGGTAAAGACGAAATGGGCTGCCCTGGTGTTTCTTGCAATCTCGATCAATTTCGATGTGCCAATGGACAGCGTTGTATAGATACGAATCAAAAATGTGATCACAAAAATGACTGCGGGGATAATTCTGATGAATTGGGATGTAGTGAGTATCTTTTGATTAAGAGTATTAGTATTTTTGAACTCAGCTGGAGGATTTGCATTATTTAATATTAAGTTCAATGTACACAAATTTTAATTTCCTCTAGATAGGCCCACACAATATGCACAAATTGCAATTCGATTTTTTTAAATCGATTGAAAAAATGATCGAATTTTTAAGACTGATTAAATGATATTAAATAATATTCCTTGTCTTGGAAATAAACTATTTAAGGTCAAACCGTTGTTATCTTTATTGATTGAAATTCCACTATTGTTCGCATTTACGGTGATAGTGTTTAAACCGGAAATTGCGCCGTTTCAAAGCAGGAAAGGGCATACATTCAAATTTTGGTCGTTGTAGACTTTCCACTGTGCCATGGAGGTCAATTTAGATGTCAAAATCAGTTGTGCATACCCGTCGCGTACCACTGCGACGGTCACCAAGATTGCGCGGACGGCTCCGACGAGCTAAATTGCACAGCAATAGCTTGTCCCGACAACAAATTCCTATGCCCGAAAGGGGGGCCGGGCGGCGCGCCCAAATGTATCGCCAAATCTCAACTTTGCAACGGTAAAAGAGACTGTGAGGACGGAGCGGATGAGGAAGTAGCTTGCTGTACGTATCCGCTGAAATTTAACCAAAATTTTTACCACGTCAATTGTAGCGATATTATCTTGTCCATCTCTCGGCTGTGAATATAAGTGCCAAGCGTCCCTGACCGGGGGCATGTGCTACTGTGCGGAAGGACGGAAATTGGGCAGGGATAACCGGACCTGCGTCGATAGAAATGAGTGTTTGGAATGGGGTTATTGCGACCAACTGTGTACGAACACCGATGGGGGATATTCGTGTTCGTGCGCCCCCGGTTACATAGCGCAAGACAAAAAGAAATGTGCCGCTCCAAATGCGAGCTCGATGTATATATTTTTCGCTCACGACCGAAACGTTTATAGAATGAACTCGAGGGGCGAAGATGTGAAAATTATCGCCAATACCACCGGTGCGAGTGGGCTGGATTTTCATTACCAGAAAAACTTGCTCTTTTGGTCCGATGTGAAAACTAGAAAGGTAGAGCTTCGCTTTAATTTATGTCCATGAACCTAGCAGAGCAAGGTCAGCAGAACACAATCAAACATATTGCATAATTAGGTGCTAATTAAGTGCCCTATTCCCGAATTAAATGCTCCTTTTTTTTAAATTATTACATGTTTCGCCAGGTTCATATGAACTCTGCAGAGCACTACCTTAAAAAACCCAAGAAAATGAAAAATGAACTAACTATAATTAGGTGCTAATTAAGTGCCCTATTCCCGAATAAATGCTCCTTTTTCTAAATTATGACATGTTCTGCGAGGTTCATATGAACTCGGCAGAGCACTACCTTAAAAAACCCAAGAAAATGAAAAGTGAACTAACTATAATTAGGTGCTAATTGGGTGCTAATTAAGTGCCCTGTTCCCGAATTAAATGCTCCTTTTTTTTAAATTATTACATGTTCTGCAGGTTCATGTGAACTCTGCAGAGCACTACCTCAACAAACCAAAAAAATGAAAAGTGAACTAATTATAATTAGGTGCTAATTAAGTGCCCTATTCCCGAATAAATGCTCCTTTTTCTAAATTATGACATGTTCTGCGAGGTTCATATGAACTCGGCAGAGCACTACCTTAAAAAACCAAAAAAATGAAAAGTGAACTAACTATAATTAGGTGCTAATTGGGTGCTAATTAAGTGCCCTATTCCCGAATTAAATGCTCCTTTTTTTAAATTATTACATGTTCTGCAGGTTCATATGAACTCAGCAGAGCACTACCTTAAAAACCCAAGAAAATGAAAAGTGAACTAGCTATAATTAGGTGCTAATTAAGTGTCCTATCCCCGAATTAAATGCTCCTTTTTTTTAAATTATTACATGTTCTGCCAGGTTCATATGAACTCTGCAGAGCACTACCTCAACAAACCAAAAAAATGAAAAGTGAACTAATTATAATTAGGTGCTAATTAAGTGCCCTATTCCCGAATAAATGCTCCTTTTTCTAAATTATGACATGTTCTGCGAGATTCATATGAACTCGGCAGAGCACTACCTTAAAAAACCAAGAAAATGAAAAGTGAACTAGCTATAATTAGGTGCTAATTAAGTGTCCTATCCCCGAATTAAATGCTCCTTTTTTTAAAATTATTACATGTTCTGCAGGTTCATATGTACTCTGCAGAGCACTACCTCAACAAACCAAAAAAATGAAAAGTGAACTAATTATAATTAGGTGCTAATTGGGTGCTAATTAAGTGCCCTATTCCCGAATTAAATGCTCCTTTTTTTAAATTATTACATGTCTGGCAGGTTCATATGAACTCAGCAGAGCACTACCTTAAAAACCCAAGAAAATGAAAAGTGAACTAACTATAATTAGGTGCTAATTAGGTGCTAATTAAGTGCCCTATTCCCAAGTTAGATGCTCCTTTTTAGGGTATTTCCACAAAAATAAAATAAAAATGCGGTATTGTGGTCACTTTGTGACTACTTTTTTCGCTATTTGGTTCGTTATGGTGTCGAGGCTTGCAACAAGGAAGGAATTTTTTGTGCGTTTATTGCTAAAAAAGTTATTGTAAAAAAACCAAAAAACCGTTTTTTACATTTTATAATTTTGTATTGCTGTCTGTCGTCTGTCTGTTGGTCTGTCCGTATGTTCCTTTGTCTGTCTGTCTCTCTATCTGTCCGTGTGAACGATAATTTTGTTTAGAAATGTCCGATCGCTTTTAGATCTCCGTTAGTTATGAACTGAATTGTTTGAAATTCAATATGGGCATAGCTTTAGCCAGCAATGCCAAAAGTTGAGTCGAATCGATTTAAAATTCACAGTGCCCTTTTCGCATCTCGACCATTTATAAACCGAATTGCAAACTTTTTTATTTATAAAAGTATTTCAATGAAATTTGATAGATAGGTGCTTGGAATAAAGGAAAATCTAACGTTAGTTTCAAAATTTAGATTTGCGCATGCGCAGTTCCAACTTTCTTATTTAGAAAAGCATTGAAATGAAATTCTTCTTATAAACTGAAATTGAAGTAGCACGTCAAAAATGGATTGCACATATGCAACGCTATGTTTCATATTTGTGGCAGGATTGTTACGATTTTTACAGAAGTTGCATCTTACAAATGGGAAATGAATGGAAGTGGAAATGCGCTTTTTGTAAATCGTTTACGATTACTTTTTAACTTGTTTTTGTTTTAATTATTACATGTTCTTCCAGGTTCATATGAACTCTGGTGAGCACTACCTTAAAAACCCAAGAAAATGAAAAGTGAACTAACTAATAATAGGTTTTATCTTAATTATCACGAACACTTAAAGACGTATTTGTTTTTGTAAACACAGTGCCTGTCTGCTTAAATCATGTAAATAGTAGAAGTAGAAATTAAATATGAACCTTACAGAACATGTAATAATTTAAAAAAAAGGAGCATTTAATTCGGTGGTAGGGCACTTAATTAGCACCTAACTATAGTTAGTTCACTTTTCATTTTCTTGGTTTTTTGAGGTAGTGCTCTGATGAGTTCATATGCACCTGGCAGAACATGTAATAATTTTTAAAAAAAGGAGCTAATTATGCAATATGTTTGATTGTGTTCTGCTGACCTTGGTCTGCTAGGTTCATGGACATCTTTAATTTATCTAAGCTAACGTTGAGCTCTTGCAGATTCATTCCCAACAGTTGAAAGATCCAGTTATCGGTTTGACCATGGTACACGAACTGGATATTATGTCGCCGGGAACGTGGTCGCCCGTTGCTATAGCTGTTGACTGGATAGGAGATAAGCTATACGTTGTGGATTCCATCGGTCAAAAAATTGACGTATTCGAGCTAAGCAGTCGGTGGCATGCCATCGCGCTAGGTTCCAATTTAACCAACCCCGCCGATATTGCTCTGGATCCGCTGATGGGTTACATGTTTGTGGCTGACAGCTCTCAAGTGCTTCGAGCCAATATGGACGGAACTCAAGTGCACGCTATCGTGACGGAAGCGGCTTACAAAACTACGGGTGTTGCAGTTGACATAATCGCCAAGAGAGTGTTTTGGTGCGATTCCCTATTGGACTATATCGAGACTGTGAATTACGACGGCCAAAATCGATTTTTAGTGGTTCGTGGACAGTCCGTGCCCAACCCGTCTCGTCTAGCACTATTCGAAAACAGAATCTTTTGGACCGACGCCACCAAACAAGGCATTATGTCTTTGGATAAGTACGAAAGCAGCTCGAGCATACACTCGATCTACCGCATGCGAGACCTTAGAGATCCTAGAGCGTTGAAGATAGTTCACGAAATCGTACAACCGACAGTTACCAATCCGTGCGGGAATAATAATGGCGGCTGCCAACATTTGTGCATCATCACCAACATTGTATCGGGGTTGGGTTTCCGATGCGCTTGCCATATCGGCTGGAAATTGTCACCGAATTTGAAAAACTGCGATTTAGTGTCGGAATTCCTGATGTACTCTCAGCAAAGGTTTATTAAGGGCAAGGTTTTAAACCCGGTTCTAGAAGGATTTAGTGACGCGATGGTACCCGTCGTTTCCCGACGCGCCAGATTTGTCGGACTCGACTTTGACGCCAGAGACAAATACATTTATTACTCCGATGTTTTGCAAGATGTCATCTATCGCGTGCATCGTAATGGAACTACGAGGGAGATCGTACTTGCGTCACAAAACGAAGGCGTCGAAGGTTTATCCGTCGATTGGATGTCTAAGAACCTGTACTACATCGACAGTAGAAAAGGCACGTTGAATATGCTTTCAACTCGAAATATAACGTATCGAAGGACGCTTCTTAAAAATCTGAAACGACCAAGAGCGATAGTGGTTCATCCGAACAGAGGTTACATATTCTTCTCGGAGTGGGATCGGCCTGCGAATATCTCTAGGGCTTACAGCGACGGCAGCAACTTGATGGTTTTCAAAAATGTTACTCTTGGATGGCCGAATGGTTTGGCAATCGACTTCTACGAAGATCGCCTGTATTGGTGCGACGCGCTTTTAGACCACGTACAACACTCGACACTAGACGGCACCGATGTCAAGACTGTCAACTCGCGCCTTATCCGACATCCTTTCAGTATAGTCATTTACAATACCCACATGTACATAACCGACTGGAGACTAGATGCTATTATCAAACTCGATAAGTTGACCGGAGAACAGGAGCAAATCCTAATCAAAGAGCCACAAACCAACCGACTGTATGGTGTCAAGGTAAGGCTTTTGGGGTCCGTTAACTTGGCCCCCCACTGAGAGATTTGATAGTCATATTATTTTAAAATGAATGCGCTCGTTATGCGCTCATATGCGCCACCGATAAATAACTCTTGCGCCATTATCGTTTTTTAGAAATCCGAAAAAACATTTGGGAGGGGCAAATTTTCAAAAAGTGGGGGGGCCAACTTAACGTTTTTAAAAGTAACTTTTTTTTAACATCTTTTCATACGAAATTGTACTCTGAGGTATGCGCTAAAATGCGCCGTAAATAGATATCTTTGCGCCATTCTTGTTTTTTGGTTATCCTTAAATATATTTGGGAGGGGCCAAGTGAACGGTACCCCCCCATAACGCATTTTGCTACCGGTATTTGTGCCACTTGATACATCTGGTTATGCGCTCAATTGCGCCACTTGAATTAAAGCTAGCGCCATTACGGTTAAGCCATTAATAGTATATTAAGATACAAGTGTATAATCAAGTCTTTAAAGCACGCGCAACGAGTTTAAGGGCACGACGCAAAGCGGAGTGCCTTTAACGTTGCAAGTGCTTTAAAGACCAATTATACACGTGTATCTTATAGTATTTTTTATTATACCTGCAGTATAATTTAAAAATAGGAAATACAATGAAGTCATATTGACGTTATACTCGAATTGTCTAATTAATCGTAATTTCACGATTGCCATGGAAATGTCACTTGACGTTTGCTTATAAAAATCATCGTGTTAAACGATTTCCGTTGAAAAAGATAATACACCGTCCATTAAATCGATTGTTGTAAAATCTAAACAAACGTTGGTAGGTGTAAAATCCAACTCCAGTAAAGCCTATTATAAGGAATATGAAAAGCTGTTTCCATGGATGAATAGGAAGTTACTTACGAATACAGTCTTAAATGCATCCATAATGCTAGCATATATGAAGGAAATGTCAAAGGTATTTAAATCTTCTATATTTTGGTGCATTCATTCAAAACTTTAAAGCAATGCTGCGACTAAAAAGTGGAACAGATTTGGAAGCATACACTAAATTACGCGCGTTTGTGAAAGCTTCAACCAAAGGATAGGTACAAAAGCAAAAGAAATGTTCTGCATTTACAGAAAGCGACCTAAGAGGATTTTTTATTTCATCCAGATGACAGTTTCAAAAGTCATACTTGAAGTATCGTTACTTAGCAACTTTAAAGCACGTGTGTTTTAAAGGCCCTTTTTCGCACGCATTTGAGTGTTTAAAACGGAGATTGTGATTCAGGTATAATAAAAAAAATTTTTTAAAACGAGGGGCTAACAAAGCGTTTTCAAAAGTTACGTTTTTTAACATGTTTTTTCTACTACATCGTACCTTTCATAATGCGCTAAAATGGGCCGTAAACATATGCGCTATTATAGTTTTTGGGAACCTTTTTTAGTACCTATAGAACTATAACGCTATTCATTTTAAGAAGGTAGCGGTAGAAAGCATAGGGTCAGTTTGACCTTCAGTGTGATTGGTTAAAACACGAGTCAGTATTACCCTGAAAAATAAAACGAGTGACGTAAGAAGTTTCAATTACGAACTAAACTGTCATTAGCTGTCAATTTCAAAGATCCAAGCGTGATATCGTTTGATTTATAAATATATTTTTCAAATTTTGTGCCGTTTTATATTTTTCCCTCGATTTTTCCTGTGTGTGTCGATCTTCAAACACAGCGCCATCTACTACCTTCTTATAATGAATGCAGTATATACAGGGCGAGGTTTTTTTCATTTTATGTATTGGGATCTCGGAAACCATAAGACACGGATTCGGTTAAATGAGGAAAGAGTTGTCGTTTTAAGAGTTTATTTAAGATGTGCTTTTGTTTTTTGAAAAAATCCATAGTTCCCTAGATATGAGCGAAAAACAGATTTAGTGATTTTTCATTTAACTGTTGTAGAATCGTTATTATTAGAAATACAACAAAATAACACGAATAAAAGTTTTAGACATTTTAATGCTTAACATGATGAACATACTAATTTATTTTTAGATCTTACAATTTTTGAGTTATAATACAAATTTTAATTTTTTTTAAATGGTAGTCATAGTTGGCTTTGACATTTTTAAAAAAGACAAATTTTTCTCTTTATAACGATATAAGGCTTGCTAAATGTACTTTAATAAATAAACGTCCTGCAGTAATTTTCGTATTATTGAGAGGTAAGTAAACAGAGTTGGCAATGGAAAACAATATCTAGCGAGATAGGTACCTTTCATTTACGGCGAAAATTGGACAGGCCAATTTTACCTATCTTCATTTTCTACCAAATGAATTTCAAGATATTTAGGATGGGTTAGATTTGGAAACACGACGTAATTTACGCTGGTTTCAACACAACGGTGCCCAGGCGCACAACTAACTGCAAGTTAAATATTATAATAGACAGTAATTAAGAGAACAAAAATGTTTCCCATGGCAAAATCTGTTTTTACTACTCTTAATAATACAAATAGTTCTGTATCACGTTAATTTGTCAAAGTAAGTAGGAATAAACTTTATAACATTGTAAACAGAAAAAAATGCACTTTTTAAAAATGTCACAGCCAACTATGATTACCATTTAAAAAAAGTAAGTCTGCGTTATAACTCGAAAATTATAAAAGAAGAATAAATATTAATAAATGTATCATATTAAGCGCAAAAAATGTACAATTTTTGTTCTTTGCATATTTCTGTATTTCTAATACTAACGATTCTATAACAGTTAAATGAAAAATCACTAAATCTGTTTTTCGCTCATATCTAGTCAACTGTGTATTAAAAAAAAAACAAAAGCATATCTTGAATAAGCTCTTAAAACTACAACTCTTTCCGGTTTCCGAGATTCTAATGCTTAAAATGAAAAAAAACTCACCCTGTATATGGGTATGCGGTGAAGTTATGTTCTAATGGTGCAATTTTAACTCGGTTTGCAATAATCGCCAATAACTCATAGGTATTAACTTACTTGGTTTGGAGTTGATGCATTATGCCGCAATGTAGGTAGTTCATGTATTAACGATCCTCGAGATCCGTCTGCCTGTGCACGATAACTTTGTTTAGAAACGTCCGGTACACATGTTCTTAAGGATATAAGAAAGGTCGCTATTGTTTTTCAGTTACGTAGACTAACGGGCCATAAAGTTACAGCGCAAAAACTGGCCGAACCTTCAAAGAATGGTATCTTTTATAATAAATTCTTGTTACAAAGAACATATAAATGCCCGGTTTTTTGTGTCAGCAAATATTCCTTAAACCTCAAACAACTTTGAAGATGAAAAAATAATATTGCGCATGCGCAATCCAATTTTTGTATTTGTTAAGATGTTTAAATGAAATTGTATGTACTCACCTCGAGTAAAAGTACAAGTAATGAGTAAAGATATTATTAAAACGATGAAGGTTAGTGTTATTTGATGAGATCGTCTGTTAATTTTAATTTAATTCCCCCCCCCCCCTCTTTAGAGATTACATAGTCATAGGACTGACTGTATAAAGTAATGTGCTCACATGCGCACACCAAGGATAATTTTTGCACTATTATCTAATTTTTAAAAATGCGAAAATGCATTTGAGAGGGGTTAAGTATACATCACCCCCACCTTCCCCCCCCCTCACGGCCACCACTATGTATTTTATTGGTATCTATGCCATCTGGTAATACGCGCCAATTGTTAGTCATGACAAATTTTCAAAAAGTGCTGTAGGGGCTAACTTCACATTTTCAAAAGTTACGTTTTTAACATGTTTTTTTGCACTACCTTGCACCTTTCACCATGGGCTCAAATGCGCCGTAAGCAGACATGTTTGCGCCTTTTAGGACCCCTTTGCAGTATACACTGTGTCCAAGATATACACATCCGAAACTATACAAGATATGACGATGGTCAAATTAGGGAAAAATTGCGCAATTAAAGAGCTATTATGATGCTTTCAAGATAACTAGATCCTCTTTACTTCCGCACCCGCGTACAACGTCCTAATTGTGCGAAAATACCTATCGGACACATTTTTCATTTTGCATGAACTTTGTAAAGTTGATGATGATTTATTTCTCTGAAACGAGACGTTGTATTGAAAATCTCTCAACGGTGTCTTGTAGAGCTCAAAAAGTGCCCACGAGAAAGTGTTTATTATTTTTAATACCTGTTCAAATAACATTAAAAAAAATTTAAAACGAAATCGGCGCAAATTTCGATTTTTCTGGTATATCTTAGAAAGTAATCGGCTTTTTCTGGTTTACTTTAAAGTGTGATAATAACTCTTTCATTGCACAACTTTGTGCTAGTTTGACCGTCGTCGTATCTTTTATGATTTCCGAGATTCCCATGACAGGACACTGTATACTACACAGGGTGTTTTTCTGGGAGCTTTAGTTAAAAGTTTCTGGGAAAGTAAAATAGGTAGGTTTTTGAAAATTTGTACTGAGGAGTTACTCTGAAGGCCGAATTGATGTAAAATAATTTCAAAATGGCCGCACTTCCGGAAACACCGGAAGTAGATAGTAACTTAAAATTAAGTTATTTTGACTTTAAGAAAAAAAAATGGCGGATGCAGATGGTACCTTGATAATTAATTACTTGAAAAAGGTTATATATAGTCATGGCAACCCATTTTTATCAGTGCATAGAGAATGAATAGAGCTTTCTTTTAGTGCACTTAAAAAAAAAGTTAAGTTGCGTACGACCGCCCCTATGGATATCCAAATGTATGAAACTTCAAAGACTAAAAACTCAGTTTTTTTTAAATGGAATGACCATGTTCTTACTATTCCACGAGATAGAGAATTGAAATGGGCATATTTTGACAATACATGTTCGTATAGCTATCTTTAACAGTTTCTGACTTATTCCCATTTTATTGAATTGACACTATTTTTTTCGGATTTTCTTTTTAGTAGTCGGCCATGATTCTATAACAATTGAATTTTAAACAAATCTATTGACACTAATCCGTCACCTACTGTTCTACGTTAACACAGTTTTTCAAAAATCGAAAAATGACTCGCGGCGCGTGCTTTCCGTACATTCATTCGAAAACTGGAACGAAATTGTATGAATTTTGGAAATTTTGTACCCCTAACGCACTCCAAACCGTTGAAGCACAAGTGATACAAAGCTCTACAAGAGAAAATTTAAGAAAATGAATTGAATTGCAAATGCAAGATTAACAAAATAAATTCAATGCTAAATATAAAAAACTTCGTTGAAACATTTTTGGTATGGAATTGTTGCTAGAACAAATATCGCATTAATTTCCAGACTTATACGTTGTTTAAGAAATTCAGTTGAACGACTGGTATTAAAGAATCCATTCCTTGATTTGTTTAAAATTCGATTGTTATAAAATCATGGCCAACTAGGTACTAAAAAGAAAATGCGAAAAAAAAAATGGCATCAATTTCGAGATCAATTCAATGAAATGGGAATAAATCAGAAACTGTTAAAGATAGCTATAGGAACATGTAATATGAAAAAATGCCAATTTCGATTCTCTATCTCATGCAATATTAAGAACATGATCATTCCATTTAAAAAAAATCTGGATTTATAGACTAAGTTTCTTAAATTTGGATCTCCATAGGTGCGGTTGTACGCAACTCAACTTTTTTTTTAAGTACACTAAGAGAAAGCCCTATCTCTATGCACTGATAAAAATGGGTTGCCATGACTATATATAACCTTTTTCATCCGCCATTTTTTTTCTTAAAGTCAAAATAACTTAAAAACCATAAATGGCGGATATCGACATATGGTTATCAAAAGAACTGAAATTTCACGTGGAATCCAAAAATGCAATAAAAAATAGGGGTTGCCATTTAAAATAACGAAGTTACTCTCTACTTCCGGTGTTTCCGGAAGTGCCGACATTTTGAAAATATTTTACATAGATTCGGCCTTCAGAGTAACTCTTAAGTACCAATTTTCAAAAACCTACGTATTTTACTTTCCCAGAAACGTAAACGTAAACTAAAGCTCCCAAAAAAACACCCTGTATAGAGTGTTTCTGAAACACTATAACGGCGCATTTTAGCGCATGATGAAAGGTACGATGTAGTAGAAAAAACATGTTAAAAAACGTAACTTTTGAAAACGTTAAGTTAGCCCCCCCCCACTTTTAAAAAATTTTTTATGGCTTAACCGTAATGGCGCTAGCTTTAATTCAAGTGGCGCAATTGAGCGCATAACCAAATGTATCAAGTGACCTAGTTACAAGCGACAAAATACGTACTGGGGAGGGGGGGGGCTACGTTCACTTGGCCCCGCCCCCCAAATGTTTTTTCGGATTTCTAAAAAACGATAATGGCGCAAGAGTTATTATCGGTGGCGCATATGAGCGCATTCATTTTAAAATAATACGGCTATCAAATCTAACAGTTGGGGAGCCAAGTTAACGGACCCAGGTTTTTGACTTGTTGAAGCTGAGATAACGATCTTCTTTAAGATATTCAGCGAAAATGAGCAGAGAATCGACCCGTTGCAACCGTGCTGGACGAACAATGGCGGATGCGCCAAACTATGCTTCGCGATACCTCACAATGACACCGGAGGTTTGCAGGCGGTGTGCGGTTGTCCCTACGGCGAACGGCTAACCGCGGATATGCGAACCTGTCAGCTCGATCCCAGCAGCGAGCCACCGGTGCAGGCCTGCCCTCACACCTGGGATTTCACTTGTAACAATCAAAGGTGTATACCGAAATCGTGGGTTTGCGACGGCGATAATGATTGTCTTGACAATAGTGATGAGGAGCAGAATTGTACCAGTAAGAGACATGATCGAGAGGGATTTCGAATCTTGATTATTTTCTGTTGTAGAACCGACCTGTGGCACTAACGAGTTCCAGTGTAAATCCGGTCGCTGTATACCGATGACGTTTAGGTGTGATGCCGAAAACGACTGTGGGGACTTCAGTGATGAAACTGGCTGCGTTAACGTCACCTGCGGATCGACGCAGTTTCAATGCGAGAATGGCAGGTGCATTCCCAACACATGGAAGTGCGACTCGGAGAATGACTGCGGTGACGGTTCAGACGAAGGGGACCATTGCGCCGAGAAGACTTGCGCTTACTACCAATTCACATGTCCGCGTACTGGCCACTGCATACCCCAAAGTTGGGTTTGTGACGGTGACGATGATTGTTTCGACAAACAAGATGAGCAAGACTGTCCGCCTATAACGTGTCTTCCTAGCCAATTCAAATGCGCCGATTTAAGACAATGCGTCCAGGAGAGCTACAAATGTGATGGAATTCCCGATTGCAACGACGGCAGTGATGAGCTGGGATGTCGTACGTATTCTTCTCAAGCTTAACACTCGCACTAAACATTATTTTTTCTAGCTTCCTTGGCGCCCGATCAGTGCAACAGCGAAAAACAATTTCAATGTCAGTCGTCCGGAATATGCATTCCAAAGTCGTGGCATTGCGACGGTACACCCGATTGCGACGACCGATCCGATGAGCCTGAATCCTGCGGCCAAATCAATTGTCCTAACAACTTCTTCAAGTGTAAAAATTCGCGCTGCATTTTCAAGGCGTACGTGTGCGACGGCAACGACGATTGCGGCGATGGATCCGATGAAAGCTACGAATTTGCTTGCACACGTCCACCGTTTAGATGTCCTGACGGGCAGTGGCAGTGCCCTGGTGTGACGGAACGTTGCGTGCCCTTAGAAAAGGTGTGCGACGGAAGTACCGACTGTCCGAACGGCGCTGATGAAGGTCCAGGTTGTGATTTGGCGGAATGCACGCATCGCGGCGGATTGTGCTCTAACGGGTGTAAACAGACGCCTCAAGTGAGTAAATCGGTGATATAACAATTACTTATTCGTTTTACTTAGGGTGTGTTGTGCACGTGTCCGAAAGGGGAAGTTCTCGGAAATGACACCTACACTTGCGAAGACCTAGACGAATGCAAACCACCTGGTCTGTGCTCGCAAGTTTGTACAAATACCAAATCTTCGTATCATTGCGGCTGCGTCGCCGGATACACGTTAGAACCAGACAAGCATCGCTGCAAGGCATTTAGTAAGTACTGATCCAGCATTGATCTAATTGCTGTCAATCAAAGATCTCAAACTACCCTTTATTTAATCATTCTATAACAAATTATTTGCACTAAGAAATCACGAGATTTGATTTGTTTTCATTGATGATCTAAAATAGAATGAAGGGAAGAGAGTATGGATCATACCGAGGCCTATCGATACTTATTGAATACATTACGGCTTATGGAAAATCCGTGCGCGGCTCCACTATTTATTTTTTTACTACGGATCCGTTTAACATAGCGCCACGAAATTTCACTGAGAGCTGCTCGATGGTACCTACAGACAATTAAATTATCGTGTTTATTAATTTTTAATAACACGGGAAATAATTAATTTTAAGATTTATAAAGTCTTTGAAGATAAAACGACGATAGTAAATCCGTGTTTTTTCCATATTTCCACCGTCATATTTCTGTTTTTAGGAACGATATCATTATAATTCTGTCGGTGTCTTAAACTAGAATGATATGCGCCTCCAATTATGCGTATATAATGCCTTATCTGGTATTAGTGTAGATTTAACAGGCCCTACAAGATCGCTCATTAATTATCCGCGCAGAGCAAAATTCACCATGCGAGAAACTTTTTTGTTGTTGGTACAATTGTATCGCATATATAGAATGAATTGTGGCAAAAGAACACAAAAATGTTTTTCGGAAGGAATTTTTAAGAAATGGTCTTTTGTTTCCTTTTTTCAGCAGTTTTAGTAACCTCCGGAACACGCGAACGCGCAATGGAAATTATTAGTTTTTAAATAATTATTACTAATCGACTTTCAAATAATGTTTGTAATATTTAGAGAACCATTAAACTCATAGAATAAAATATACAGGGTTAGTCAAAAGTATGGAAAATATCATATCTTCGTTAATATTAATTTTACATTATAGCTTCCGGAAAATTCGCGTTTAGAACAATTCGCTCCTGTAGAATTCTTTAACAGAGTATGAGTTTTTCTAATAATGTTTAAAGCTTATGCGATTGATGTATTGTTCCATCGTTCTTTATTTTAAACTTGTTGTGTGATGCAGAATGGAATCAAAGAAAATCTTTTTTAAACACGTTTTTTATTAGGTCCTATTGCGGCTATCGATTTCGACCTTATAAGGTCATCTTCAGGCCGAGCTATAATATATTGTTTAATGATACAATTATAATGTGGTTAAAGCTTATGCCCTAGCAAGTGGCTGGTGTAGAATGTGTGAAATATTGTGCACATTCCCTTGGAAGCCACTGAAGAAGTGTTATATGCATCATTTGTGGCAATTTCTTCATATTTTTGTTATTTATCTGGCTGTCTGACAAACAATCCTCTGTGCACGTCTCGCCGTCTACAAGAGCTCATAGTCGGTGACCACCCGGTTTCCTTATGTGTGCATTACAATGTTCTCTATAATACTCACTACCATTAGAAACTAAATAGATGTCTACCACTGGTAAGTGACAATTATATTGTTTTAACTCATAAAATGAAATGTATATGTTAAATTAGGTAAAACTTAACGTGAAGATCAAGTCACCACTGCCATAATCATGGCGAACAGAAATGGAAGTATTCGTTGATGATGCTGATGTAGAGGATGGCAATATATCTGCAATGTTCTGTTGGTCATAAACGAGGTCATAAAGCGACTTTCATAAAAAAAAGAATATCCGTACTTTTGGCTAACCCTGTATATAATTTTTTTTAATGTTGTAAGCTTAATGGTTCTCTACATATTACAAACACTATTTGAAAATCCATCAGTGATACCAAATCGCCCCTTCTCCTATAATATATCCAAACTATACAACCATCTACCTGACAGTCTAAAAGATCTCCCCGCCCTCGTTTTTAAGCAGAAACTTCGCGAGTTCTTAATATTACAACAGATTTCTTCTAATATCCAAACATCTGTGCTACTTTTAAGTTGTTTTTTAGTTGTTTCTTTTCTTTAAACTATGAATTAGTATATTTTCAACGATCACCGAATAAGATAGATCAAGGCAATTTTTCATTAGGATAGGTATTAAATTTATAAGTTTTGTTTGTTCTGTCAAGGTTTAAGTGGTAGAACAGGATACGAAGATTTCTCTTTGTATATCTGAACTTCGCCTTGTGATTCTTCTGTCTTTTTTGTTTTCGAATTTTTTTTCCATGTCATTACGTTTATAGGAGAAGAATAAAGATTATTATTATTATTATTATTTAAAAAATAATAATTTCCATTGCGCGTTCGCGTGTTTCTGAAGTCGTGCTATTTACTAAAACTGCTGAAAAAAGGCAACAAAAGACAATTGCTTAAAAATTCCTTCTGAAAAACATTTTTGTGTCCTTTGGCCACAATTCAACAAAACAGTTTCTCTCATCATGAATTTTGCTCTGCGCGGATAATAAATGCGCGATCTTGTAGGGGCTGTTGAATCCTAATACCAGATAAGGCATTATATACGCATAATTGGAGGCGCATATCATTCTAGTTTAAGACCCCGAAAGAATTATAATGATATCGTTCCTAGAAACAGAAATATGACGGTGGAAATATAGAAAAACACAGGATTTACTATCGTCGTTTTATCTTCAAATACTTTAAACCTTAAAAAATTATTTCTAGTGTTACTAAAAATTAACAAACACCATAATTTAATTGTTTGTACCATTGACCAGCTCTCATTGAAATTTCGTGACGCTATGTTAAACGGGTCTGGAGTAAAAAATAGTATATTAAGATACAAGTGTATAATCAAGTCTTTAAAGCACGCGCAACGAGTTTAAGGGCACGACGCAAAGTGGAGTGCCTTTAACGTTGCAAGTGCTTTAAAGACCAATTATACACGTGTATCTTATAGTATTTTTTATTATACCTGCAGTATAATTTAAAAATAGGAAATTCAATGAAATCATATTGACGTTATACTCGAATACATGTCTAATTAAGTGGGCTGGGTGTTCGTAATTTCACGATTGCCATGGAAATGTCACTTGACGTTTGCTTATAAAAATCGTCGTCTTTGTGAATAAAACGATTTCCGTTGAAAAAGATAATACACCGTCCATTAAATCGCTTGTTGTAAAATCTAAACAAACGTTGGTAGGTGTAAAATCTCAATCCAGTAAAGCTATTATCAAGCATATGAAAAGTTGTTTCCATGGATGAATAGGAAGTTACTTACGAATAAAGTCTTAAATGCATCGATAATGCTGGCATATATGAAGGAAATGTCAAAGGTATTTAAATCTTCTATCTTTTGGTGCATTCATTCAAAACTTCACTTATTGCTGGGACTGAAAAGTGGAACAGATTTGAAAGCATACCCTAAATTACGCGCGTTTGTAAAAACTTCAACCAAAGGATAGGTACAAGCCGAAGAAATGTTCTGCATTTACAGAAAGTGACTTAGGAAGATTTTTTATTTCACCAAGATGACAGTTTCAAAAGTCACACTTGAAGTATCGTTACTTAGCAACTTTAAAGCACGTGTGTTTTAAAGGCCTTTTTTCGCACGCATTTGAGTGTTTAAAACGGAGATTGTGATTCAGGTATAATAAAAAATAAATAGTGGAGCCGCGCACGGATTTTCTATAAGCCGTATCCTAAGGTCACGTGATTTTTTCGAGCGCTCCGGCCTGTAAGTATTGTAGGCCTCGATCATACCTATATTAGTGAAAGATAAGAGGATAAATAATCGGCAATCGTCGAATTTAGATTGATAAAGTTGGCACCCCACTTTGCCCAAATAAAGTAAAAATACGGCTATAATCTAGGACTAATTAAAGACTAATTTGTACCCACAAAATTAGAATTTGTACCCGGCTTGGTTCATCCGGAAAACCGAGTCTAAGGTGGGAAGTGAATCAATTTAGCACCCCCACTTTTTCCGATTGAAATTTTATTAGTCGCATCAAACAATATGAATTAAAGACTGATTTGTACCCAATAAGTTAGATTTTCATTGTTTAAACAATTTGTACGTTATTTAAACAATTTTTTTTTCTAAAAAATGGACAATTCTCGAAATTACCTACTAAAAAGAAATGCAACTAATTTGTACACCCAAACATTTTTAAACAAATTGTATGGTCGAAATAATGCACTCTGCTAAATTAGTAACGAACTATCAACTAACGATGCTTGAGATCGTTTATAATTTTGTATTGCTGTCTACCTATCTGTCCGTTTGTCTGTCTGTTCATGTGCCCAATAACAATAATTGTTTAGAAACGCTTGATCGCTTTGAAAATTGATAAACACGTTCTCAAAAATATAAGAAAGATCGCTATTGATTTTCCGATGTATTGCTCCATTAGAATTATAAGCGTCTTATTAAAAGGCTGCGTAGAATATCTTATAATTATTAAAAAAAATTTCTTGGTAATCTATTTATGTATTTTAGCCTTTGACGCTAAGGTCTGATGATGGATTTGATTTCCGAAATACCGAAAAAAAACGGTTACGCAAAACTAACTAATTTATTAGAGCGAAATTGTTATCTTTTTTTGAGTTCCACTATATTTTTATCAACGTTAGTTTATTACAAATTGTATGACATCTTCTTTCTAGAATTTTTAATCGATAAACAATCTACAAAGCAGTTTTAGAATTATTTGTATAATTATAGGTTTCAACTCAACCGCATTCGTTTAATATTAGTAGTTATTTAATAATTTTTGCTTATTTTTCCTATTGCATATTCGTAGTGAAGGTAAAATAAACTTTCCAACAATGTGTTGCAAGACCTATGTTGCCATTAAAAAAAACAAAATGGCGGTCGTGTCAAAATACCATACGGGATAAAAGATAAATATCTAAGATGTGTTTGTGCATATTCATAGCATGAAAAAAAAGTCCTAAAACTTTCAAACCGATATCTCCAAACGTTTTCACACCAGCGTTGTGGTTCCATATTTATTAGTCACTCTGTATATCTCATATGACAGATATAATTGGCATATAATACGCAAATGAAAAATAAATAAACTCGAGAATAAACTTCTGTTTGCTGTGCTGTCAATATTTGAAAAATTACAAAAAAAAGAACGGGCCGATCAACAGCGTGATATACGTTTACACGCTAGTTCTAGCCTATGTAAAGAGACCATTGCGGTGACAGGCGTTTAAAAATCATCGCACAAAATATGTCGCAGTTCAAGAAAAAAGTAAGACAACTTCTAATACAAAAATGAGCGTATAATCTTGAAGAGCTTTAATGTGTTTAATGTAAAATGTTGTTATTATCATTTTTATGATCTTTGTTTATGTGTATTGTAGCGAATATTCTAGAAATTTCGATAGACATCGAGGGGCCATAAAAGATCGGTCATCGGCAATAAGAGAAAAGCAAGCGGATATGACGCTTTTTTCCGGGAAATATGGCATGTTTGTTTCTTTGAGAATATTCTAAAATATTCGGGAGCGTTCGGAAGCGTTCGAAAACTTTCGAAAAAGATCGGCGTTTGCTATATATAAGCAAATCGAATTGTGTTTTGAGTAATTAAATTAAATTCGAAGTAAATTATTAACTTAACTATAACAAAGTAATCCATTTCAAGACTATTATAAATGACGTGCAGACACGTGCATGGTTTTTTTTTCAAACTTCTCGTCGAAAGGAATTTGTTTCTACAAACTATAACTTTCATCCGCGACTACTAAGATGACTGGGTGATGGGCAGAAGAGGTGGAGGTTAGAAATTTATTTTATCTTTCTTACCAACCACTGTCTTCCCGCCTCCTTGACCCCTTAACGTGATTGGTTCTAATATCTCTAGAGCGAAATGTCGGAGGAGGGTAGGTACTCACAACGGGCGATTGGTACGCTTGGAAGAAATATATCCATTAGCGATGTCAAATCTTTAAGAACGAATGTCTGGAAAAGTATCAGAAGAGGATACTCATAAAGGGCAAGGGGTCGACTGGCCGAGACACATCTACTAGTGATGTTAAAACATTCATTGCCAAATACCTGCAGAACGGAGTGTCGGAGGAGGATACAAGGTTTCGGAGGCCTTGAATCTTCTTGCGTACTATGCGATCAAAAATGATTTGCTGTCGAGTCACCTTTGGAATTTTTGTTTCTACAATGGGAAATCGTACTTAACTTAAACTTCCAAAGGAGACACGAGAGCAACTCATTTTTGATCGCCCGTTATATTGTTAATTTATGCCAGGCGGCCTTTAAATGCTTATTACCTTAGCATCAGTTTTCCGGAGGAACTAAGCGGGTACAAATTTTAATTTTGTGAGTACAAATTAGTCTTTAATTATAGGCAAATTTTTACTTGATTTAGACAAAGTGGGGGTGTGTAGCAACTACCGACCTGTCGAATTTCAAGGTTTTTTTAATCCACGCGATTCGATTATGTTATGTTGTTGACTCGTTGATTGACCGAAATCGAAGAAATTTACGTGACAATTGAGCCATTTCAGCATTTTTATCGCTCTCACGTTGTCTTGAGTTTCTAAGGCACCCTATCTATTAATACTTTAGGCTCGACTTTAGGAGTGCGATCAATTGTGATCAATATTGATTGTTTGAGATCTTTGATTTACCACCGCGCATGCAATACTTATTAATTGCTTTTTAGATCACAGTGCCGCATTTTTAATTATATCGAATCGTCACTCCATTTTGGTGGCGGACTTGAACGAGCAGGGCCTGGAGCGCGTGCCCATAATTGTGGAAAACGTAGTCGCAACCACCTCGAATATGCACACAGGCACAATATTCTGGTCGGACATGAAGCTTAAAAAAATTTCGCGTCTCGACAGAAACAGCGAGCCGGTCGATGTTATCTCGACTGGCTTAGATTTGGTGGAAGGTCTCGCTTATGATTGGGTCGGAGGAAATCTGTATTGGTTGGATTCGAAATTGAATACGATCGAAGTGGCGAAGGAGAATGGAACCGGTAGAATAGTGCTGGTTAAAGAGAATATCACGCAGCCAAGAGGAATGTGCTTGGATCCCAGTCCTGGGTATATTTCTTTTGGTGTATTTCAGTGATTTAATAATTGTTTTAGGGCACGGTTACTGTTTTGGACTGATTGGGGGGAGAATCCTAGAATAGAGAATGTCGGAATGGATGGAAATAATCGTTCAATAATAATCAATACGAAAATTTACTGGCCGAACGGTTTGACACTTGATACTGCAAATAAGCGTGTGTACTTCGCCGATTCAAAGCTTGATTTTATCGATTTTTGTAATTACGACGGCACAGGCAGGCAACAGGTGCTCGCGGGTAGTCATTACCTGCTCCACCCTCATTCTCTAACCTTGTTTGAAGATACAATGTACTGGACGGACCGACAACTTAACCGAGTTTTATCAGCTCATAAATTCAAAGGTTAACTCTCCATGGGGAAATTGCTCAATTTACAATTTGTGTTTTAGGCAACAATCAAACAGTAGTGTCGCATCTTATTTCCCAACCGTTGAGTATACATGTGCACCACCCATCTTTACAGCCAATGTCCGATAATCCCTGTCAAGTTTCACCTTGCCAACACTTGTGCCTACTTTCGCCGGTATCGGCCAATGGGTACACGTGTAAATGCAAACCGGGTTATCGTATTACTGCCGACGGCCATTGCATGGAGGAGGAACATCCGTTTATTATGCTAATGCGTGGTTCTCAGATAATCGATCTTTCATTGACCTCTGGCGAAACGTCGACTGGATTCTTGATTCCTATCATTGGAGTCGAGCATGGTCTTCAAATCGATTACGATCGTAAAACTAGTACCATATTTTGGATTGAAGGGAAGGAGAACGATGAAGAAAACGTAAGTATTTTTATTTCCACTTTTTTTGCAAAATGCGTGTCCAGATATTCAGATTATATTTTGTTTTATTAGTATTTGTGTATTTGTTGCAAAGTTTAATTTTAAATATGTTCCTTTATTTTAGTGTACCATTTGGACAACACCTTACGGCGGCGGTAACAAGACACAATTCCTCGGACTCGAAACTGGCGTGGTCGGTGCACCTGCCACAATGGCCTTTGATTGGTTGGGACGAAATTTGTTCGTCGGCAATCGTGTAGCCGGAAATTTGGAGGTAATAAAGGTCGACGGCAAGGTGAAACACCGATCGATCATCTTATCGAATGACGGAAATAGAACCTCGGTGGCGAAGCCTCGTTCCATTTGCGTCGATCCGACTGACGGCAAAGTGTATTGGACCGACGACGGAGGTTTCGGTGTACCACAGAAAGTCGGAAAGGTCAACATGGACGGATCGAATTCGTTGGTGCTGTTGGAAGACGTGGAAAGGCCAGATGCTATCGTCATTGATGTTGATCTTAAAGTGTTGTACTTCAGTACGCGGTATCCTCCGCTTGTAATCTCGATGAACGTCGACGGTACCAACCGCATGAACATACTCAGCGAGGAGAATAGTATAGCAAACCCGCAAGCTTTGGGCATTTTGGACAGTCGGTTATATCTTATGGACCCGATATACGAAAAATTGGAACGTGTTGACTTAAAAGGTGGGCTTAATTCGAAACTTCTGCTCGAGAATGAACCGGATTTAAAAACGTTTACTATATACAAAAAAAGACAACTGTTCGATCACCCTTGCTTGCAAAATAATGGGGGCTGTGACCAAATTTGTTTACCAGCGGAGGGCAAGTCAAGAGTGTGCACTTGCAGCATCGGTTACAGAAAAGAAAACGAAGTGAGTTGCATACATTACAAAACCTACGTGGTCGTCTCCCAACTTGATATGGTGAAAGGCTTCAGTTTGAAGGACAGCGCCGAAGCAATGGTGCCAATCGCAGGACCTGGCCATCACGTTTTGCACGTCGACGTCCTCTATCTGGAGAACTGGATCTACTGGGTCGAATTCAACCGAGGCACGTGGAATGGAATTTATAGAATCAGACCGAATGGCACCGAACTACAGCCGATAATCAAAGACGGAATTGGAAGTAACGGAATTCGTGGATTGGCGATCGATTGGGTTGCCGGTAACTTATACTTCACAAACGTTTTTCCTCACGAGAATTATCTGGAGGTATGCTGGCTGGATGGTAGCAATCGGAAAATCTTGGTAAAAACGACGACTGATGCCCCGCGAGAGTTGGCGGTGAACCCGCTCAAGCGACTGCTTTATTGGATTGATTATGGACAATACCCGAGAATTGGAAAGGCCTACTTAGACGGTTCGAATTGGACCCCTCTAGTCACTTCGGGTATTCGCAATCCGAGAGATCTGACGATCGATATGTTAACTCACGACGTCTATTGGGTCGATTCCAAGCTAGATATGATCCAGAAGATTTCCTACAACGGTGGCAATAGGCAGGTGATTAGACGCAACTTACCGAACCCCATGGGAATTGCCGTGCATATGGGAGACGTGTACTGGGTGGATAGGAACATGCAAACCCTTTTCAAAGCTTCCAAGTTAACCGGAAACGTAACACTTCCTACGCGTGTTAGAACCAACCTACAGAAACTACGCGACATCGCCATGTTCGATATCGCAAACCAGCCCGCTGATGAAACGAACCCATGTCTCAGGTTTGGCAACGGAGGCTGCGAGCAACTTTGCTTTAGTTTCCCGTCAGATGTCACAATCACCTTCCAACCGGGCTCTTCTCCGAACACTTTGGGCTACACGTGTGCTTGCGCTACCGGTCATCTAGCGGCCGATGGACGTAAATGCGACTTCGTCAACGAGTACCTCGTCTTCAGCACCCGCACGGAGATACGATCGATTAATCTCGACCCGAAATCGACAAGTGTGCCATTTAATCCAATAGTGAATTTGACTAACGTGGTCGGTATAGATTTCGATCATGCCGACCGCAAGCTGCTTTTCACGCAGATCCGACCTTGGGCGCGAATTGCGTGGATGCCTTCTAACAATCCCAGCAATACGGCGATCACTAACATTCTAAATCGGGGAATCAATCCCGAGGGAATCGCTTACGATTGGACGCAGAAGAAGATCTACTGGACGGATTCGTCCAATCACAGTATTTACGCTATGAACTTGGACGGTTCCGATTTGGTAATGATCGCTAGAGTTGAGCGACCTCGCGCTATCGTTGTCGATCCGTGCAATGGCACCCTGTTCTTCACCGATTGGGGTAAATTTGGAACTTCGGGGAAAATATTTAGAACGACCATGGCCGGATCATTGAAAAGAGTGATCATTGATAAAAATCTGGCGCAACCGTCAGGTTTGGCGATCGACTACGATGATCAAATGTTGTATTGGACGGATGCCGTAAGGGAGAAGATTGAACGCTCCAATTTGGACGGTCTAAACCGTGTAGTGTTGGTTTCGGCCACAATTTATCCGTTTTCCATTACTGTCTTCGGCAACTACATTTACTGGACCGATTTGCAACTGAGAGGAGTGTATCGAGCCGAAAAGCACACCGGAGCAAACATGATTGAAATGGTTAAACGATTAGAAGACAGCCCGAGAGATATCCAAGTGTTTTCGAGTTCGCGGCAAACTTGCAGCGTGAATCCATGCCACATTCACAACGGAGGTTGCGCGCAAAGTTGCCATCCCGCGCCCAATGCGACGTCCGAATGTAAATGCGACGATAACACAAAGTTAGTGAACGAAGGCAGAATGTGTGTCCCTAAAAATTTAACTTGCGACTCGAGTAAATTTTACTGCACCAACGGCAAATGCATCTCGCGGATGTGGGCGTGCGATGGTGAAGACGACTGCGGTGATAATACCGATGAAAATTTGACGTATTGCTGTACGTTGAATCTTTGCGTGGCAATTGCACTTATCCGTTTATTTGCAGCTTTCCATTCGTGCTCGTCGAACGAATTCCGCTGCGCTAACGGTAGATGCATCTTCAAGTCATGGAAATGCGACCACGAAAACGATTGCAAGGACGGGTCCGATGAGAAAGATTGCCAATATCCGCCGTGTGCTCCTGCAACCGAATTTAGTTGCGCCAATTTAAGATGTATCCCCTTGTCTCAGGTAATCTATCCATTTTTCTAGACTCCTATCACTTCGGGCGTAATTCACTATTTTAGTATACCATATTAAATCAAATATAATGCAATTATAAAAAAAGATGCATACCCTTTCCCATATATGTCATCAAACAGAGAAAAATTGGTCTACAGAATACACGGACCGTGTATAGAATATTGATAATCGTAATCGATAGAAACAAACATAATTTTCCAGGGATGCATACCCAGTTCCTTACATATCGCCACTTTACTATAAGTGTATCTTGTAGGTATTGCAAACGTTTGTCAACACAAAGATAGTGATTGCTTTGCGAATACCTATGCGGTTCACAATTAAACTTAAAAGTCCCATTTCAATTGAACCGTTGACATGATTGTTTTTGCTTGTTCAGGTCTGCAATGGGGTGAACGACTGTAAGGATAACTACACTTCCGACGAGAGTTACATTCATTGCCCTCAGAACACCACCTGCCCTCCTAATCACCTAAAGTGCGAGAGGACCAACATTTGCGTGGAACCTTATTGGTTGTGCGATGGCGATAACGATTGCGGTGACAATTCCGATGAAAATCCGTTGCACTGCGCCCAAAGAACGTGTCCGCAGAATAGCTTCCGGTGTCCAAACCATCGTTGCATTCCTGCCACATGGTATTTTAAATGTTGTTCTATCGCATCCTGTAATTTTTCGTTGAAGGTATTGCGATGGTGACGATGACTGCGGCGACGGCGCCGATGAGCCGCCGGAGTATTGCAAGAGCGAAGGCCGGACTTGCTTTGGCGACCTGTTCACGTGCGACAATGGCAACTGTGTTCCAAGGATTTATATTTGCGACGGCGATAATGACTGCCTCGATAATAGTGATGAAGACAACCGGCATCAGTGCAGTAAGTTCACTTATGAAAAATTAGACTACCTGATTAATGAATTTTTCTCTTTTAGACAACAGGAAGTGTGACGAGGAAACAGAATTTACTTGCGAGGCGAATAAGGCTTGGGGGAGAGCGCAGTGTATCCCGCGAAAATGGCTGTGCGATGGTGATCCAGATTGTGTCGATGGCGCTGATGAAAATTCTACCCTGCATCAATGTGCTACGCCTCAACCCTGCAGCGAGGATCAGTTTACGTGTGCCAATGGACGATGTATTAACATGGTAAAGACTAAGAGTTCTATTTTTTATTTATTTACGTACTAAATGTGCATGAGAGTGATATTTTAAAAGGGCTAATTGGATTGTGATCTAAACTTCTGGGTTAAATAAGATACTTAGCTTGTTTTCGAATGGATATCTTCGCCTAAACCAAGCAATATCTAGCTTGAAAGCTTAAATCCGCCTGCGCCATTGATACTACAAATTCCCAGTTTTCCTGAGCTAATACGGCGCGAAAGAAGATGCGTATCCATTGCTGTATTGTACAACTAAATTAGATAATAAAAATAGTGATCTAGGATTACTATACGGGAAATGGTTTATATCTTAAATTCAAGTGGTCTCTTATGCTTTGTTCTTGGGTTATCAATTTCTCTACCTTTGTAAGACTAACTATGGAAAACTTCGCAGGGATGGTTATGCGATCATGACAACGACTGTGGCGACGGTACCGATGAAGGTAAAGAATGCAACAACAAATACAAGACGTGCTCGCCCCAAGAATTTACCTGCCAAAACTTCAAATGCATACGTAACCAGTACCGGTGCGATGGTGAAGACGATTGCGGCGACAGGTCAGATGAAGTGAACTGCAGTAAGTAGAAAATCTTAAGTCGTACCAAAGTCGGTACCCATATCATTTGTTTGTAGACAAAACGAATAGTACATGCGAGACGCCAAAACAATTTACATGTAATAATGGTCAGTGTATTGACGCACAATTAGTATGCAATAAAGTGGCCGATTGCGACGACGAATCTGATGAGCCGTTGCATTGCAATGTGGACGAATGTGCCAAAGTGGAAATTAATCAGTGCGGTCACAAATGCGTGGATACTCCAACGGGTTATTATTGCGAGTGCAACCAAGGATACAAGTAAGTGTAGCTTTCAAAATGTGCCCTGGTCCGTTTTGAATTTTTACAAAATGTTTACTGTATGTAAAAGTACTAAATGAACCACCTTCACATACATGCTTTCGAATTCTAAAATGCGAGGGTCCTTTTGTAGATTAATGGACGATGGGAAGGCATGTACAGATATCGATGAGTGCATCGAAACACCTGAGGTTTGTTCGCAGTACTGCGAGAACACGCCTGGCGGATTTTATTGTAAGTGTGACGAGCTCTATTACGAACGGCAAGATGATAGGCGCACCTGTAAGCGCAAAGACAACCAAGAGCCATGGATAATATTCACCAACAAGTACTACGTACGGAATATGTCGACGGACGCTTCAGTCTACAACTTGGTGCACCAAGACTTGATGAACGTGGTCGCCTTGGATTACGACTATTCAGCGCAAAAGATGTACTTCTGCGACGTAACAGCGAAGACCATCTTCAGATCGAATATCAACGGAAACGGCGAAAAAGAACCCATCATCCGTCACGACTCTCACGGCTTGGAAGGTATTTCGGTTGACTGGATCGGAAGGAAATTGTATTGGCTCGACAGACATTCCAAAAACCTGGACGTCGCCGAACTAGACGGAACTAATCGCAGAACTTTGAAAACGGGCATCGCGGATCCCAGAGCTCTAGTTGTACATCCCGGAATCGGATACTTGTACTTCACCTCGTGGCACCTGCAAGCGTACATCGCAAAGATCGGAATGGACGGTTCAAATTTCACCAGAATTTTAACTTGGGAAGACGACATCGCCTGGCCCAACGCGCTAACAGTCGACTTTTTCACTAACCGAATTTACTGGGCCGACGCTCACTTGGATTACATCGCGTTCGCCGATTTAGAAGGTCGACACCGTCACATCGTACTATCGGGCACGTCCGTACCGCACGTGTTTGCTCTCACTCTCTTCGATGACTTCATCTTTTGGACGGACTGGAACGTGAAAGGTATCAGCAGAGCCAATAAATACTCCGGAAAGGAATTGCGCCTACTTCGCAACACGACGCATAGGCCTTACGATATACACATTTACCATCGCCTCAGACAGTTACCGTACACTAATCCGTGTGGAACGAATAACGGGGGATGTTCTCATTTGTGTCTGATTGCTCCACCGCCCGCATCCAGCTACCTAAACATCGAGGGGTACGGCGAAAATGGGGAAACGACCTACAAGTGCGCTTGCCCGAATCAGTTCTACTTGGCGCAAGACGGTAAAACTTGCATCGCGAATTGTACTTCCGGACAATGGCGGTGCGAAGGAAATGATGAGAAGTGCATACCATGGTACTGGAAGTAAGTATTAATTTGCTGATATGAATGAGAGTGTTTTATATGTAAGTGATAACATGGTACCCCCCTTCCAAGAAAAGGCATACCTGCAGGAAGGAAATGTTGTCACGAATACCCTTAGCAGAACGCGCTGCGAGGGGAGGGTTATCCATGATAACTCATGCCACACCCCGTACATTTCAAAAAGTCCCCCGATTTTCGCAAATCGGCATTGGCTTAAGTTCCATTCTATATCCTATCACCATTCCTGCGGTATTTTCTTGTTTCTTTCCAGAACTGTCTATGTCGTTCTCACAGCTTTCCAGGGCATTTTAGACGCTTTCCCGAGCTTTCCGTTTGGTTCCAGAGCGTAAAAAGCTCTGGAAATAGTCAGAAAGTTCTGGATAGGCTATTAAATGCTGTGGGAGAGTGATAGGATGCTCTGGGGAGTTGCATAAAGGTCTGGAGAAATCTAAGAGGCTCTGGAAAGCCTACTGATACTCTGGACAGGACCAGAGTCACTCAAGTCATTTCAGAATGTTTTAGCCCCTTTGTAGAGTTTTCGAGAAATTTCAAAACCCTTGCTAGAATGGTGTAGAAATGACTTAAATAGAGCACTTATCTTATAAGTGCTTCTGAGAGCATTCAAACACTTTCAGTAGGTTTTTTCTAGATTGATCAAGCAACCTTCATCCATCTTAGGCCCCTTACAACACTTTCTGTGCTCTTCCAAAGCTCTCTACAATATCTTTTTATGCGGAAACATTTTTGTTCGCCAGATTTGTCTTCACTCGACGCGGGACGCCGACGCCTCGAATGGAAAATTATAACCTTGTGATCGTAAACGGTGTCCTCGTGTTGGAGGAAAAACGGTTACCAAGAACATGTTTGCACATTACGAACAATTGCGATTCGAATCCAAGGCCTTGTTGATTTGTGCCTGGCGCGTGCGTGGTAAATTCGACCACTCCCTCTCTCCTTCATCCCTCGATATGGCGGATCAGTGAGATTACGCCTACATGTAATCGCTGTAACATCTCCTCCCCTCCCCACCCCCGCGAACTTAAACGTCCACCTTCAACAACAAATCTTGGGAAGTCGACGCAGATGAAGATCTTCTACCGATAGTGAAGGTTCGAAAGTCTGGTTTTACAAGTGATCTCCGAAGAATGTCTCCCGACTCTTCCCTTCCTTTTCCCTAAGAGATATTAAATGTGCCTCGCCGGGCGGGAGGATTACCCAGGCCCAGTGGAGTGCCTGTAGACGTGGGCTAAAGTTGATGGGTTTCGGAGCGAGTGAAAATGTTAGTGTTAGGTTCACCAAGGCCCGTATAAACTTGAATAACTCAATTTCCTCTAAACAAGCACACTTCCCTCTTGATTACTCACAGCCCTAATAAACAAATATAATAAAATACAATGAAATAATCGAGAGTGACTAAAAAGCACAATACACATATCAGAACGCATGCAAATATGTACAGGGTGGCCAAATAAGAATGCGAGGTACTGTATCTACGAACCTGTCCATCGTAGAGGCTTACGATAAAAAAAGTTATTACTAAAACGGTCACGAGAAAAACCTGGAAAATATTTTTAAGCTTCTGAAATGGCCGCTAGGGGGCGTAACTACAATCTGGAATCTGAAAAAGTGATTTTTCTGTGAATTCCGCTATATTAACCTAACAAAAAAATGTCCGGTCTTTGAAGTTGACGATAATCTGAACAATTTTTGTTTGACAATTTTTCCTGTATCTCTAAAAATGAAGTGGTGGGGGGTATTCAAAGATTTCCGTAAAGAACACCCTGTATCTTCGGGACGGACATTTTTTTGTTAGGTTAATATGGCGGAATTCACAGAAACATCACTTTTAGATTCCAGATTACAGTTACGCCCCCTAGCGTTCATTTCAGAAACTTAAAAATATTTTCCAGGTTTTGCTCTTGGCCGTTTTAGTAATAAATTTTAATACCGCAAGCCTCTACGATGGATAGATTTTCAGATACAGTACCTCGCATTCTTAGTTGGCCACCCTGTACACAATGGGCACAGCCCTACCGACAATGAAACATAATTGCCAATACCAACAAAGGTTACACATTAGAGGTACAAGTAATTGAATCCAGTAAGTACATAGGTAAAGGGTTACGATCTGCATTTAAGTTAGGCACATTCCGAGCTTAATTGAATAAAGCAAATGCCTCACCTGATAAAAAAAACAAAAGCACACAGCAATCATTAAGGTATAACAAAATATTTCAAGATCAGCCGTACTTTACACAACTTCCCCAAGCGACGCTGTAACTTGATCCCTTAACACCCCTGAAAACCACCCGAAAATCGCCCATTCCCTGCATTTCACGCATTTCTAGGAAAAAAACTGGACTGCAGGTGTTTGAAATGGTAAACACATGTGGTTTTCCGATTAATTTATAAGTTCGTGTCTGAGAAATTCCATCCGTCTCATCTTTGCTCTCTTTCTCTTTTCTGCAATCCCACCAGATTTCGGTTGGCAGCATTTGTAACTAACATGATGTGTAGGGTGCTTCGTATCGACAATCATATTCACAGGATGTTGCTAATGTTGGGGCATCTCAAGGGTAAACTCCAAGTACTCATTTTTGCGGTCCTGGGATTTGAACCCGGCACTTGCGTGTTTGTAAGTTAATGTCCATACCACTAACCTACCGCCTCTTCCGAAACATCGTTTTACCTCCGAAACGATGGGTTTCTCTTCTACCTCTTATCGCTCCCTACCTCGCGTCAGCGCCACACACGTAGGCTCCATGGATGGGGCTTACCGACCGATGGGCGATGCGTATCCAATACCATTTGTTTTGTCTATTTTGGATTATACCGTACCTCAGACCGTAGACAATAGCGTAAAGTTCTACACAATGTTAACGTGTCCAAACACGAAATTAATGATTATATTTAATTAGGTGTGACGGAGAGAAGGATTGTAAAGATGGATCCGACGAGCCGTCATCATGTCCACCACGCCAATGCAGATCGGGAACATTCCAATGTCGCAGCGGTAACTGCACACCGTCCACCACCATATGCGACGGTACAGACGACTGCGGCGATGGATCCGACGAACAGCACTGTCAAATGCCTTGTCCCGAGCTCGAATTTAAATGTCGCTCCAACGGACGCTGCATACTGAACAGTTGGAAATGCGACGGCGACGCCGACTGTAAAGACGGCTCCGATGAAGATCCCGCAATGTGTCACAAGAGAGCCTGCGACCCCGATACCGAGTTTAGTTGCAAAAACGGCCGTTGCATTCAAAAGTTGTGGGTGTGCGACTTCGATAACGATTGCGGCGACGATTCGGACGAACCCGCGTACATGTGCCGTCAGAGAAATTGTACGACCGGCTGGCAGCGTTGTCCCGGACGCGCCAATTACCGATGCATTCCCAAGTGGTTGTTCTGCGACGGTAAGGACGATTGCCGGGATGGATCCGACGAGCTTCCCGAACACTGTCCGATTTGTAATCCAAAAGTTGACTTTAAATGTAACAACAATCGCTGCATACCGAAACAGTGGCAGTGCGATTTCTCGGACGATTGCGGTGACGGTTCCGATGAGGTTGCCGCTTTGTGTAAAGGACGATACCGCGAATGCTCCGAGTCGGAATTCCGATGCGGGAATGGGAAATGTATTTCAACAAGGTGGCGTTGTGATCACGAGAATGACTGCGAAGATGGCAGCGATGAAATGGGTTGTAGTGATTTTAAGTGTAAAAATGGCACATTCCAGTGCGCTTCAGGACATTGCATAGCTTCCTACTTTAGATGCGATGGGGACCGAGACTGTCGCGACATGTCCGACGAGATGAATTGTCCACCTAGGTATCCTGGCGGTCGATATTGTCCAGAATCGAGGTATCAGTGTGATAATCACTTGTGTATCAGTCAAGCTGATTTGTGCGATGGAACCGATGACTGCGGTGATGGATCGGATGAAGCATCAGAAGTTTGTAACAATTTCACGTGTGATACTTTACGCCGATTCCAGTGTAACAATCATAAGTGTGTGCCTCGGTATCAGGTTTGTGACGGCATAGACAATTGTGGTGATGGTTCTGACGAAAACAATATTACCTTGTGTTCCTCGAAAATTAAACCTTGCGACATGTTTAACGAATATCAGTGCGCGAATAAGAAGTGCGTGAATAAAACGCAAGTATGCGACTTTGCCGATGATTGCGGTGATAGTTCCGATGAGTTGGGCTGCCATCATAACAAGGTGTGTTCGGACGAAAACCGAGGCGGATGTGAGCACCAGTGCATGAATCTCACAGATGGAGGCTACATTTGTGTGTGCCATCCCGGTTTCATTATCTCTAAAGAAAACAGAAAGAAGTGTCAAGATGTCGACGAGTGTACCATGGACCTGCATCAGTGCTCGCAGATTTGCACAAACCTAAACGGAACTTACAGCTGTTCGTGCCACGACGGATTTAGATTGTCCGATGGACTTTCGGGCGTCTGCAAGGCCGAAGAAAGAGAAGCCACCTTACTCTTCGCGAACGGTCCCGAAATCAGAGCGTATATGATCACTAATCGCGAAGAATTGGATGTCATCAGCGAGGAAAAACGAATTGAGGCAATCGACTACGATCCCGTATCGGAAATTGTCTTTTGGGCGGACAGTTACGACAAAACCATAAAAAGGTCATACATGCTGAATGCCTTAAACGGCGAAGTGAAAACCGGTTATGCTCAAGATTTAAATATGAAGGGTAACTCGAAACCAACCGCTTTAGCTGTCGACTGGATCGGCGACAACTTATACTGGACAGAAACCGATAGGGCTGGCTCGAAACCGAAAGGTAGAGTGATGGTAGCGAAAACCGACGGAAGATATCGACGCGCCATTATCGGTTCCGGCTTGGAAAGTCCGACCTCACTAGTTGTCGATCCACAACTCGGACGCATGTATTGGTCAGATGCCGGTTCGGCACCCAAAATCGAAGTCTCCTGGATGGACGGATCGAAACGAAAGCCGCTGATAACCGAAAATATTCGACACCCCGCCGGATTGGCCATCGATTACAGTATGGAACACATTATTTACTGGGTGGACACTAAACTCAACACGATTGAGTCAATGAGGCACGACGGAAGCGGCCGAAAAACGATCTTGAAGGGAGACAAACTGAAGCATCCCATTTCGTTGGACGTGTTCGAGTCTAATCTATTTTGGGTTACCAAGGACACAGGGGAGTTGCTTCAACAGGATAAATTCGGACGCGGCGTGCTCGTGCTGGTCCAAGGAGATTTGGTAAATCCGTCAGGAGTTAAAGGTAAGTTGGATTACACACTTTAAAATTAATGGCGCTTTATAAAATTTCAAACAATTAGACTGTGGTAGTTGCCCAAGTTTACGTCATTAGTGCCACTTGATGCCTCCATTTTGTGGAATAGTTGTTTGTGCAACCAGTTGGGAAAAGCACTATTTTCGTAACAAGCGGAGATTGTGAGTTACGAGTAGTAGTGTTTCCCAACATGTTTCACACAATATTTTTAGATGTGACTCATCTTTGGTGCAATAAAAACTTTTGTTAAGAGCAAGATGGAAAATTATATAGCCTTGTAGGCAAAACAAAATATGGGGAAATCAATTGCAACTCTATATCACACATAGATTCCAAACGAAGAGTTTTTGATTAGTGTTATTTTGCCCCAAGATAGGTAACTCGCCCCTAGTTTCCGTGTTTCGAGCCTTCAGTTGAATATCGAAAACAATCACGGAATTAGGTGTCGTAACTCATTTGATTACAGTTTTTTGTTACCCCCGTGACTGCTTCATTCGCGGCGAAATTGTTGGTTGACAAACGACAAGTCAGTACAAATACACACATCAAAACAATTCGATAATTTCCCCATGTTTAAAAGATTGATCAAAACATATGAAGATTACTTCTGGTCAAGACCATGTAATCAAAACATAAACATAAATTAAGCAAGCATTACACCAAAAACGTAAACGATTACAAACACTTTTGTACATTTGATACCGTTATCAACGATAGATCAAGTTAATTTCAAAAACAAAGATTGAAACTCACAAAAGTATAAAATACTGCATACAAAACTCTATGAGAGTACAGACAGACCGACATCATCGAGATTTTGTTTGATTCGGATTCCTGGTGCTTCAAAACGTGGGGGGGGGGTTATTTATTACCCCAATGTAATATCTGCTACTACTAACGTGCGGGTGGTAATAAATACCCGTGGCGAATTAGCGATGCCTACCCTTTACCGTATGTTTTGGACATATGCGATTACATCTATTCCAGAAGTTTTCCATTTGAAATGGTATTTCTGATTACCTTATAAAATTATATAGTTTGGAGCATGTGGTTACTGGTGGAGTAGAATTGTCACAGAATAATTCAGCCGTTTAGCCGGAAATGAGAGTACAGACGGACCGACATCATCGAGATTTTGTTTGATTCGGATTCCTGGTGCTTCAAAATGTGGAGGGGGGGTCATTTATTACCCCAATGCAATATCTGTTGCTACTAACGTGCGGGTGGTAATAAAAATACCCGTGGTTAATTAGCGATGCCTACCCTTTACCGTATGTTTCGGACATATGCGATTACATCCATCCCAGAAGTTTTCCATTTGAAATGGTATGTCTGATTATCTTATAAAATTATATAGTTTGGAGCACGGTTTGGAGCATAATATGGTTACCGGTGGAGTAGAACTGTCACAGAATAATTGTTTAGTTTAGCACTGAAGCATCACCTCAATTATAATAAAACTTTACAGTTTACCACAATTTGAGATACAACATGTCGATAACAAATCCATGCCGCAACAACGAGTGTTCCCATTTGTGCCTCCTCGTTCCCGGAGGTCACAGGTGTATTTGCCCGGATTCTGCCGCACCGGGTCAACGGGCGAAGTCGGAGATTACCTGCGACGCTGCGTCCGAACGTCCCAGACCCTCTCCAAAAGTGTGCTCGTGCCTTAACGGCGGAGTATGTCGAGAGACCGACACTTTAGATTTGTTATGCGAATGCCCCGACGACTTCCAAGGCCAGTTCTGCGATCTCCACGCCGCCCACAGCAAAACGTTGAGCGGCTCGAACACGATCGCCATCATTATACCGATCGTCGTCATTATGCTGGTTCTTGGTGCGGCCGCCGGCGTGTGGTTCTTCTTAAGGAAGCGACCATTGTAACTATTCCGACTGTAGTAGGTTACAAATTGCACAGGCTTGTTTTAGCGGAAAAGGCACGACTTTAAGCAGCCTAGCGAGCAGTCAAAGTGTATCGTTCCGCCAGGGAAGTAACGTCGAATTTAGCAACAACACCTTCGGCGCAAACGGCGCGAGCGGCGGTTTAGAACCGATGGACGTCGCGTACAGTTTGGATCCGCTCGGCAACAAAACGCGAGACTTCCACAATCCAATGTACGATGCTGTACAAAACAATTCCGACGCCACCGTCAACGGCAGTTCAGGTACGCCACCTCGTACAGTAATTCTGATTGAGCACAATAATGTTTCAGCATTATACGAAGTTCCGACGGAGATGAATAAGTCTAAATCCGATACATTTTCAGAACCTCCCACAGCGATCATCGCTCCCTCTAGTGTAACGCATAAAACATCTCCACAGGTACACGTACGGCACAGAGAATTAGACCCTGCATCCGACACGGGGAAGGACACTCAAAAGTTAGTAGAAGAAGACTGCTGATATAAAAGGAAAGTAAAACTTTATCGGTTAGTGCTATCTCAATTGAAAATTAGTGATATATTTTACATTCATTGATATAGGAAGCAATTCTTGTAACACTATCTAAGTGTCTAATTTTTATTTGTTGATTGATTGTTAAATAGAGTGGTATTTTTTAAATTATTTTGTTACGCCGCCGATTGCTGCTTAGTCAATTTTTTTTGCAAAGGAATCCTTTCAGGGAATTATTATCAGTTAGTCGTCCTCTTTGTAAGATATTGTTTCTTAATGCAGAGTCCTGCAGCTCCTTAAAATGCAGAGTTATTAGGCTAAAAACAAAAACATATTTTTGTACTAAGGTGTTGGTGACTGTTAATTTGATGTTAAAATCAGTCGTCGATGATTCTGTTCGTGCGATAGAAGCAAGTGCCATCGTAACATCAAATAAATACCGCCAAATTGCGTCGTGCTGATTTTAAGTTGTACAAGACGAGAACTACGAGATGTAATTACAGTTTTTAGGAGGATAAGTTCAATTTTGCAACTTTATAGCGTATGTCTATGTAAATATAGTGTAAGGTAGCGTGTAAATGATCGTCGTGATTTTATTGAATCTACAGGAGACTGCTTTGTTAAAAACATTCCATATTTGTCAGTGTTATGCTGTTTAAAGTTTTATTAATTTGTTGTAAACTTAGTTTTATTTACTTAGATTTTAAAACGTTTCCGATTCGTTTCAACGACCTTGTATCAAATCTTGTAAATTTCAATACCGTCCATGTTGATATCAGATTATTATAGATATTATCCTTATCAAAGAGCTACATAAGTTTATGACTAAGTGTAGTTAAACTTTTCAGAGGCGGACAAATCCGTTAATGAATTTTGTAATTTAATATTAAGATTTACTAAGAACATTATAAATTGAATTATATAAAATACCAAAAATCTCAAGGGAAAAAAACTATTTAAAACAGCCCTATGTACTTATACTACAACTTATATTCAATTTTCAAAGTTAGATTCGTACAGCAAATATAAGATCAATTTGTACAGAACTTGTTATACAATTTTTGGGATCAAATGTGTATTATTACAGTAAATATTGTAACATTTGTTAATTGCCTGTGTTTTATTGCTCGTTACAGGACTGCTGGTTGATGGTACGTATGGAAAAAAGCACTACAACCGAGTAGTTTTCTGCTCGTTATTATTTTCATAGCAACAAATGTATTCACTTAGTAGAGCTATCTATAACATAAATGTCACTGAAACTTTAAAAACCACCCTTCAATATTTCAAACAACGTATTTTCGCAAGTGGCTCATTTTTCTCTAAATCATGCCGTTACCTTATATAGAATTCCCAAAATACCGAATTGGAATTTCCAGCCGGTCGGCATACCTACTCGGGTGTAAAGTCCAAAAATTAAAACTGCTTTAATTAACTACCAAACCCCCTGACGTCCTAAAAATCTGATATTAATCTTGGAAGTCTATGTTAATTAAGCGCGCTTCATTTGACACTAGACATAATCTAATCGGACGGGATTTTCCGCAGAACATCTCATTAGCTACCGGTGTTTATACTAACATAATTGACCGGATTAAAATTCCAAAATTCGGTAATCCCGTACGTGCTTATCGTTACATGGAATTTCAAGTCGATCGCAAACGGTCTGCGATAATGAAATAAACTGCACGGCCTTGCAATTACTTTTTACCTTCCACTAGTAAAAATAGAAAAATCAAAGGGCTGTAACTTTTGAGCTAGCAGCCCAATCTTGGAACTGTTTCAAATTATGGATTCTACAGGCCACATTCTATAAGAAAATTTTTTTCCGGGTCGTTCTGAGACAATTTTTTTTTCGGGCTTCAAAAAAAGGCAGTGTATAACCTTCCTTTTTTACCAAAAATGGACTACACCAAAATTTCTCGGGAAAACACTTTTTCTTATTAATTTTGGTGCGTAGAATCCAAAACAATTCGTACTTTTTCGATTAAACTTCTCAATCAAAAGTTATAGACTAGAAACCAATTTCGAAAAAAAATTCAAAGGGCTGTAACTTTTGAACTAGTAGCCCAATCTTGGAACTGTTTGAAATTATGGATTCTACAGGCCACATTCTATAAGAAAATTTTTTTCCGCGTCGATCTGACACAATTTTTTTTTCGCGCCTCAAAAAAAGGCAGTGTATAACCTTTCTTTTTTACCAAAAATCGACTACACCAAAATTTCTCGGGAAAACACTTTTTCTTATTAATTTTGGGGCGTAGAATCCAAAACAATTCGTACTTTTTCGATCAGACTTCTCAATCAAAAGTTATAGACTAGAAACCAATTTCGAAAGAAAATTCAAAGGGCTGTAACTTTTGAACTAGTAGCCCAATCTTGGAACTGTTTGAAATTATGAATTCTACAGGCTACATTCTATAAGAAAATTTTTTTTCCGGGTCGTTCTGAGACAATTTTTTTTCAGGCCTCAAAAAATCGACTACACCAAAAAGTATTTAGTATTCAAATACCTTTCATTTGTGTAAAGTATTTACTATTTAGTATTCAAATACTTTTTTAAAGTATTCTGCCCAGCTCTGAGTCCATAGCCAGATAGCCTCAATGCACGACCGCATCGTTACTCTATGACGACTGTTACTATGGTTTCTCCTGCAGTGCAGGCTGCATACTTATTTATGTTTTATCGTTTGCAGGTACTATCTAAACATACCTAATTCAGTTGTAATACACCGATGGCGTGCGTGCAAACTTAGGAAAATATACAGTGATATTTATGTAGAAGTAGACATAGGGATTTCCTATAGGAATTTCATATGTCTACTTTTACATGATAAAAAGTCTCCTGAAAGACGCCTAATTTTATGCAACCAAAATAACTTCTTGAAACAAATAAAGATCTGGCTGTCATATTAATTAAATTTGAATATTGTTGCTTTATCTTCACAGAAAATAAATCTCTTAAGCTCCTTTAACTGTTATCGGCACTATACCAATTGGAAAGATCAACTTTTTGTTTAGGTGAATACATTGCACACGAACCGAAATTAGAATCAAAGCGATAATATTCAAATTAATTACTATGATAGGCAGATCCTCATTTGTTGTAGGTAGTTACTTTGGTTGCATAAAATTAGGCGTCTTTCAGGAGATCATGTAAAAGTAGAGGATATTCCTATAGGAAATCCCTATGTACTTCTACATAAATATCGCTGCATATAAACACAGATTTCAATATTTTAAACTATTCACCTATACTGTGAGGACTGTAATTTTTGTGCTACTTCATATATTTTTGTTTCGTTGTTTGCTATTGTTTTACAAAGCTCACAAGCCATCACCCTCTAAATGCACAGAAAAGTACAGTCCTTTTAGTTTCAGAAATTCCAGGTTTTTTAAGAAAACGCACTTAGGTACATATTATTACGTAAACGTAGGCATAGTTATACAAATCTAGAAATTGTAATTTTATATTATCAAGCTGGGAAACGGAACTATGATTGGGAATTGTGGAATGATGTTAAGGTTTTCATACAGTTTGCAAGTATATACATCGTATATAAACTTTCTCACAATTCAAATAATACAATTCAGTGCTTCTCGCAAATTGTCAGAACCATCACGTTTCACGCATTCGTGAATTGTATGACTCTGAAGACATTCTTGATCTGTCTTCGTAAATTCCTCGATGTCGTGTATCAACACCTCACACTGAGTTTGAAAATTGTTTTGTAAAATAATCTTCATGTACCTAACGGTCAATAAATCGGGATCCAACAAGTCCGTAATGGTTTCCAATATTGAATTGACACTAACCGGTAAATCTGTATTGCTGTATTTTGTAACATCGACTAGACACTCCGCGAAATTCTGCAAATGTCTAATGGTCGTTTGGCCGGCGTTACTTATACGACGATTGTGACATCGGCTTTCGTCCTTCAACACTTGATCGAGTTTATTTAACTGGTTTCCAATGTCTTCTAAATAGTCGATTGGTATGTCAAAGAAGTTTCCTGTTAAAAGAGTAAGTACATCGGCCGTAATTTTCAAACTGAGCTTTTTATCTAAAATTTGGCGGATAAGTAAAAGAAGCTTGCCTAAAAACGTACCCACCTATGGCCAACGAGTGACACTCTGCTAGTAAGAGACTGGTCACCGTAAGAAAAATGACACCGATCTTCATTTTCAATGTGTAAGTGGGTACCTATCTGTAGGTCAGTATATACTACCAGAAAAGGTGTTTAAGGCATAACAAAACAAGGAAGTTATAATTAATTAATGAAATGGATATGGGCGTTTTTTTAAAGGCATAATACCATAACCATAGTTTATCAATGTGATAAGTATCCTGTACAGGATTGATAATAATTTAATTTGATTAGGTACGTAGGTACGTTAATTTATTTTGCGTCGTAATAAAGGTAGGTAGGAGTTAATTTTACATTGGTTTGGATAATGCCTACAATAATTTTAGATAGCGCATTCTCTTCATTGGTTCTCGCTTCTTTGTGTTGATGTACCATCAGTTGGTCTTTGGTCCTTTCTTGTAGGTCTATCATTTCTACGTTTTTTTCTTCTATAAAGCTTTGTATTAAAATTGTGGAAAATTAAAATTTAGGGCTTCTCCCGCAAATTTTTTTGTCGAAAACGCCTAATTAAAGCGCCCTATAGTTATTTTTATCAATTTCATGATCGTACCTGGGGGCGTAATAGAGTCACGTAACCGATTCTCTGAAACACGATTCAGTGCTTAGATTTACATATTTGTATATTGGATTTCATTCCTGTAATGATCTTAGCCTCCTACTATCTTGGCGGGCTAATGGCAACTTCAAGTCACACTGGAATATTTGACCATATTCTGTAGTAGCGGGAATGCCAAACTAACATGGCTACCTATTTGAATATTCTCGCTTAAGTTTCCCGCGAGAATCTGTCACTCGGGGGCCACTCCGAGTGCACTAAGATCGTGATCGTCATGTATTACACCTACGTTGTGTAATAACCGGGTTCTCAGCAGACACTGAGGGCGTTTTATGGGTAAGGAACACCAAAAGCAATAGCAGATTAAGATTATATTGAAGCTAATACCAATACCAATACGGCGCCCCTGCAGAGGATCATAAGTGGTTCTATACTACTCCGGCATTTACCTTACGAATTAGGAAAACTGCAGGAAAACCTAATTCGGAGTAGTCCTATTAATTATGAACAAAGCCTACAGCTAACATCTAATGTACAGCACTCTTGAGCCCTCTCGAACCCGGGGTAAATACCACATACACGCTATGAGTAACCAAAATGGAATCGAGCCATTCCCCAGGTATTACAACACATACATCAGATAAAACTAAGAGATATTAAATATGCCTCGCCGGACGGTAGGATTACCCAGGCCCAGTGGGGTGCCTGTAGACGTGGGCTAAAGTTGTTGGGTTTCGGAACGAGTGTAAATGTTAGTGTTGGGTTCATCAAGGCCCGCACAAACTTGAATAACTTGATCCCCTCTAAACAAGCACACTTTCCTCTTGATTACTCACAGCCCAAATAATAGTACATTATATATCAAGGTAGAGAAGTACAGTATTATTGCCTGAGCACCAAGATTACATCTCGAGGCGCTTGCGCCGAGGAGTGTAAGGTGCGAAGGCAATAATAGACTTCTCTACCGTGGTATATATACTATTTTTTTCACTACTAGCACTTGAAATCCTGTAAATTAACATATTATATTGATAAGAAAGTGAACGGTTGGACAAAATGGTTTGTTTCTTAATTTAACATGTCAATCAAGTACGTAGAAGTCAAACAGGCCGTATTTTGTTCTGTCATTGAGATATTTGCAAAGAGTAATTTCCTTCGAATTTTTTCAAAATGTGATAATTTTAGGTATGTAATTTCTCTGGAAATGGCGGATGGTGGCAATTATTCATTTTAGAGAACTTGTCCAAACGTTTATTGAGCGAAATTTCGGGTTGTGTTTTCTAAAAGTGACAGCGCGACAGTTCTCATTATTGACTACTAGTTAATAATGTCCACATTATTAACCACTTTGAACAAATGCCGAGAAAGCCTACTTTACAAGTGGAAAAAAGGTTAATAATCATATCATCAGACGCTAGTAGTGAAAAAACAATTATAATAAAATGCAATGCAATAATCGATCGAGAGTGATTAAAAAGCACGATACGTAAATAGTGGGACGCATGAAAATATGTACAAAACAGATACAGCCCTACCAACAATGACACATGATTGCCAATACCAACAAAGGTTACACATTAAGAGGTACAAGTGATTGAATTCAGTAAGTACATAAGTAAAGGGTTACAATCTGCGTTCAAGTTAAACACATTTATGGATTAATTGAATAAAGCAAATACCTCACCTGATATAAAAACAAAAGCACACAGTACTGATTAAGGTGTATAACAAAATATTTCAAGATCAGCCGTACTTTACACTTAAGCCGGTTACAAGAAAAAGACCATGAACACATATGTTAAATTGTATTTATTGACTACCCCAAGCGACGCAGTAACTTGATCTCCTAACACCCCTAAAAACCACCCGCAGGTGTTCGAAATGGTAAACACATGTGGTCTTCCGAGAAATTCCATCCGTCTCATCTTCGCTCTCTTTCCCTTTTCTGTAATCCCCCCAGATTTCGGTTGGCAGTTTGTGTAACTAACAATGATGTATAGTGTGCTTCGTATCGATAATCATAGGACGTTGCTAAGGTTGGGGCATCTCAGTCTACAACTAACGTAAGGGAGTTCTGCCTTTGATGTTTGATCACGTGCCAATTTTCAAATTTAGCGAGATCTTGTTTAGTTTTGGAGGGAACAGCTTATATATATGGGGAACAGTCATTCGGGTGGCCATTTTTAAACGTTGCCGGGTTGACTTTATTTCCGTGTTCTTGTAGAGTGTTGCACATTTTCGTACAGGCAAGCTATCGGAACTCTCATGTACATCTGATGCTTGACACAAGATCAGACTTGGCATACAGAGTTCTAGAAAGTTTTCAAATATATTTGAGAGGGTGCTCAGCAACAAGTCGCTCAACGTCTTGAATCGTTGTAAAGTAAGCAAGTGGAGCGATTTCTTGACTGAGCTGAAGATAACCTCTACGACTGAAGCAGAAATTATCGCTGCGAACGATGGTGCCAAAAAGGCTATACTTAACTTAAATGTGTTCCTTTGATTCACAATGCAGCCGCTGTTATAGTAATGATTTTTGATGGTAACAAATCCAGACTATTGCTACCAAGCAGATTTCCAATTGTAATATTTCTACAGAACATCATTAAGTCATTAAACTACTCTTAATTTTGAAAAAGAATTTCCTAACAGATATGACTTCCTAGTTCCCTTTACTCTTCGTCTATATTTTCCTAGTGTAGAGGATAACAAACTAATGAAGTCTAAAATTTGAATTGTTTTTCCATGACGTGTATTACAAGTTGCCTATTTTCAATAACAGTCAACGTGTTGCCATGTCTCTTAGGTTCGGTGTAAGCAACATCGCTAACAAAATGACGTAAAATATTGGCCGCCTTCTCTTATAAGCAAAAATGAGGTTATACACAAATTTTAATGTTTACTTCTAATACTTGCGTTTATAATGGACGAAATTGTTGAAATTTCAGATACGTAAGTAACAGTTTTAGTTTAGCACCTTGTATAATACTGTATTTCGTTTGAAGAGAGGAAGAGAATCCGAAGACGAGCACAAGTACAATTAACAGGAGTGGAAAGGCATCTACCTCTAAGAGCGATTCTGTTAGACATGTGGACATTAATCAGATTACTCAGAGCAGCTCCTCGGTGCTACGTGTAAATGAAGTTCCACAGTTAATTCTTTCAAATTCTTCAACCTCGCCTTCTGATGCACAGCTTGTTACCCTTCAATGTAAAAAGCTACTTCTACCCGCTTCATATGTCACATCTAATAGTTTAAATTCTCTCAAATTGCACGAGATACAAATTGGCAACTCGAAGAAGGTGTTTCTGGTGAATATTGGCAAACAATCTACTCTACCTGCAAATGAAGCTACTAAAGAAATAAGAACGCCCACGCTTGTACCATTATCTGCTCCAACCTTGACGTCCGTGCCACCTCCTCTAACCGCCTTTTCTGGACAGACCCCAATCACTTTGATTAATTGCGCTCCTTTGTCCAATTCCGTTTGTACATCTACTCCTATTCTGCCCAAACCCGTGAAGCACCCAGTTCTGTACGTTCCATCACCTGGTAAAACCACCGACATACCCAACGTTAATTCTGTCTGCCTTCGAGCGAAACGGCAGGTGAGAAAAATAGATTGGGAAGGATTTACCGCGACCGACCGTTTAGGATTTAACTTCAATGAAGGGGCACGTTCCATGCGGTGTTTACGTCTTTTAAACATGCACATCGGCATTCGAGAGGGTCATCTGGCGAAAGTTATGTCTCCGCTAACAAATGACAAGACGACGTCAAGTACACCAAAAGATGATACACAAGGAAATAAAAAATTGGAAGTTCAGTTTAAAGCGACAGCTGACATCGAAGTGGCCAAAGTAAACAGAAAAAGTTTGCCAAAAGCTGCGATGACTACGTATTTGTTACCGAAACGTATACGTACGAAACGGAAATTTAAAAAATGCACGCACAATATCAAACTTTGTGATAAATCCGCCAACTTTCATGAAATCAAAGTTTGTACGGCAGAAGACGCGTGCTGTCAGTTTCAGTGTGTTCAATTGCCATTAAGTTACGAAAAGATGACGTATCCCGAATCCAAGAATCATTCAAGTACATATTACGTTGGCCCGACTAATCTTCATGACGTCGATAGTATTAAGAAAATGGAACCTTCTAGCAGTATTTATTTTATAAATGAACACGACACGATAACAGATCTCTATATGGATTCTATACCTTCCCTTCGAAGCAAAGTGAAGATTATTGATAAGTTGGTGTATGATAATTATAAGAATTTAAGGTCAGTGAAAAAAATTCCAGAGAAAGGTATAATGCAAAAGAGAAAAAGATTTAATCAGTTTATTAATAATTACCATGATGGCCAATTTTATCAAAGTAAACGAGCGAGCTTATAACCTTCGGTTTAAACATAAATTACTATAGGCATTCAGCTTTCGTATTTTAAATACAGCCAGGTCATTCCAAAAAAATGTTTTGGATATTTGGGTACATTTAGATGTTCTTTTGGTTGGACAGACTGGTTTTGTACCTTTTATTTGTCTTTTTCTGCACATGCCCACATTTGCTTTATTTAGTTTTTATTAATATATCACCCCACACATAATAAAGTTGAGTCTGGACCTGTGCCAATTTTTTTATCATTGCAGTCATACCTTAATTTTGTTTGTTAATTATATACAGGCTGTTGTTTTTATAATAAAATGAGATGTCTACAAATTTGTTGCTTGATCTTGTGTTTTCACTGAGCCGGTTTTGAGGTATAGCCATTCTATGCTAATTATTATTAACAAAAAATAGAGCCAACAACCATTCATATTTTAACTAATTACCTGAACACTAGAAATCTATGGAAAAATCAGACAGTAAAGCATAAATAATTATAACATTAACTTTTAGCACAAGGCTTTATTCAACAGATACAAATAAAGTGAATTTGTGAAAGGGAAAATATGATTCATTAGAAGTGATGATCGCTTGAATTTCGCGCGTAAGGTTTTAGTATTTTTTGCATGATTAGATTGGCGGTTTGAATTTTGTTAGTAATTTTTTTCTGTCATGACTGTCATTTAAGAAACCAGTGTCGCCGTTAATTGTTGTGTGCCATTTGCGGTTTATTACTTTTTCTATTTTGAACAATTTTTAGAGTTGATGCACTAAAATATGTAAGAAACGTGACTGTGTCTAGTGTTAGTTTATAATTTGTGGTAAAACAGAAGCAGTATTTGTAGATTATAAATAAGTAAACGATTTACTGAAAGCATGATGATACACCACTGCAATTAAATAAATGATCATCAGTTAGTACCAACTTCATAATTTTTTTGATTTGCGGGAAATTCAAATTGTCCTCACTTCTAATGAATCACCCGGTATATACCTACTTACTAAATAGTCGCAAAATGTTGTAAAAATAACGTTCCCTTCTTTGCACCCACCTTTTCTTGCATATTGTTACAGTACACGAGGCAGATGAGCTGAAGATTGCATTGACCCTGATCTATGATAACTTGTGGGCCTCCCGATACAGTATTTCGTTTATTATTTTATAAACGTTTGGGGTATTATTACCTACATTAACATTGTTGACGATTGAGAAACAAATAGGTAGGTACAATTTTGCACAAATCGCAAAAATATCTATTGGAACCTGGAATATGTCTGCAAAGCGCTGTTCTGCCCCTAACCATAGAGTATTTACTTTATGCCCTAACTCAACCCATTTTGGGAATTCTAAGAATAACCTGCACCGGGCACGCAACCTGTGAAGATCCTCTAAAGACGACTTTGTGGAGAAACATTGCAAAGAGAATTGCATCTGCGGATGGGAGGTTAGACGTCAGTTTTGCCTTCAAGATCGATCCAAATTATTTGGAATCACCGCGAAAGAGGGCCACCGGCCAATGATTCTAGGGAATTCTGTATTTGAACAGTGAAAACCAACTCCTCTGTCCCTTTAAGTTGATACCTATAACTTCTGGAACATCTTTATTAAAATAAAAAAAAATTTTGAGTTAAGTCCGGCCCAGGAGTGTTTGTTGACCATATATATAGCAAAAAGATATATATGTTGTTGACAGGAGGTCTTGCTCTTAAGTACGTTTGTGATTTTTTAATTGTGCGTTTAAGCCGTGAGATATGACGTGTTGTTTGAGGTTACAGGTAAATTTTACTCTAATTTTACAAATGTAGACTTTACATATTTTTGGAGAACACAGCTAAGGCGGATTTATAGTTCCGTAGCTGTAAGAACTTAAGAACGTAACCGTAACAACTTACGTTTACGAAAATACTCCGATTTATATATACTATGCGATCTGAGTTGCTGCTAGTCATCTTTTGAATTTTTGTTTACATACGTAACTTGAATTTCCAAAGGTGACTTGACAGTAACTCATTTTTGATCGCCAGTTAATTACCTAATGTAGTGGCAAGACCAATGAATAAAGAATACCAGGAAGGAGCATTACCCGGGTTGTATACAAGAGAGAGTGGGACGGAAGTCGGCCATTTGCAAAAGGCACTTATGACTCATTTTTGTTTTGCAGTGACATAAAATAATGGTTAGTTGTTGGGCTTATGGTTGCTCCAAAACAGAAAAAAAAAGTTTGGGAATTACATTTCATGTGTAAGTATTGATACCAATATTGTTTTTATAGTACATGTAAATTTACAAATTTTTTATCGGAATGTAGTTTGAAGTTAGTTAAACAAAAGTCATAGGCGGAGTAGACACACGGGGGTTTAGATTGTTTTCGTGTAAAATTCTTTATTATTGTATCCTTCTACAACTGTAAGGTAGGTACGCCACTGGAACAGGAAACTACTGTCCGCCATTTGCAAAAGCCATCGCGGTCGCACGTATATTGTTGATATTCTGTATTCTTTATTCATTGGGCAAGACCCATATAAGACCACTGAACTCATACTGGAACCCTTTCCTTCTCTAAGCTGGAACCACTGAGCTAAAAATAATATAAGTATTTATGTGATTGGAACGCCGCGCTCCGCCCATCACCTAGCCCGCCATCGTCATCCGAGAGAGAGGACCACAAGGGGGATCTCTATCCTTATCCTTTATAAAATGTCGTTAGTTATAGACGGTGATAATAACACGCTTCTCATTAAAATCGAACCAAAACGAGAAGAAGAAATCCATTCCTTTCTTCAGGAACACATTTCAGTAACCAACGAAATTCTGGTGACAATAAAGGACGAAATTACCAGTAGTACACCATGTTCTAAATCTCCTTATAATGAAGAAGTACAGCAACACCCTGACTTTCAGTGTTACCTTTTAACTCAGTGTGAAACAGTGTCTAAAAATTTTAAATATGCTGATTGTGATTATGTAACCGATAATAAACGCGTCGTCAAACGACATCTTAAAGTTTCCATGAATTTTAAATGTGCTGATTGTGATTTTGAAACAAACAATCAATCTTACTTTAACAGACACTTTTTAAAACATACTGTTTCTAAGGATTTTAAATGTGGTCATTGTGATTATGTGACAAACAACAAATATACCTTTAAATATCATCTTTTAAAACATAAGGATTCAAAGGATTTTAAATGTGCTAATTGCGATTACGGGACAAGTAATAAACGCAACCTCAAACAGCATCTTTTAACACACCGAGCATCTAAAGATTTTAATTGTGCTGTTTGTGATTATGGCACAAATTTTAAATTCAGCTACAAACGACACCTTTTAATACATAAAGTTTCGAAAGAATTTAAATGTGCTGTTTGTGATTATGAGACAAACGATAAAACCCGCTTCAAACGACATCCTTTAAAACATAAAATTTCGAAGGATTTTAAATGTGCCGATTGTGATTATGGGACAAACGATAAGCACTGCTTCAAAAAACATCTTTTAAAACATAAAGTGGATAAAGCTTTTAAATGTGCTGATTGTGATTATGGGACAAATACTAAAGGCAACTTGAAACTACATCTTTTAACACATAAAACTTCTAAAGATCTTAAATGTACTGCTTGTGATTTCGCGACAAATAATAAATACCACTTCAAACAACATCTTTTAAAACATGAAGCATCTAAAGGGAGTTCTAAAGATTTTAAATGTGCTAATTGTGATTATGGAACAAATAATAAATCAGACTTGAAAAACCATTTTTTAAAACATAAAGTTTCTAAAGATTTTCAATGTGCTACTTGTGATTATGGGACAAATAATAAACACCACTTCAAACAACATCTTTTAACACATAAAGCTTCTAAGGATCTTAAATGTGCTGTTTGTGATTTCGGGACAAATAATAAATACCGCTTGAAACAACATCTTTTAAAACATAAAGTCTCGATGGATTTTAAATGTGGTACTTGTGATTATGGGACAAATAATAAACACTACTTCAAACAACATCTTTTAACACATGAAGCATCTAAAGCTTTTAAATGTGCTGTTTGTGGTTATCACACAAATGTTAAATGCAACTACAAACAACATCTTTTAAGGCACAAAGATTCAAAGGAATTTAAATGTGCTCATTGTGATTATGGGACAAATGTTACAAAGTACTTCAAACAACACCTTTTAATACATAAAGTTTCCAAATGTGGTACTTGTGATTATAGTACAAATGTTACAAAGTACTTCAAACAACATCTTTTAACTCATGAAGCTACTAAAAATTTTAAGTGTGCTGTTTGTGCTTATAGCACAAATGCTAAATACAACTACAAACAACATCTTTTAAGTCATAAAGATTCAAAGGAATTTAAATGTGCCCATTGTGATTATGGGACAAATGTTAAGAAGTACTTCAAACAACACCTTTTAATACATAAAGTTTCTAAATGTGGTACTTGTGATTATAGTACAAATGTTAGAAAGTACTTCAAACAACATCTTTTAACACATGATTCTTCTAGAGATTTCAAGTGTGCTGTTTGTGTTTATAGCACAAATGTAAAATGCAACTACAAACGACATCTTTTAAGACATATAGGTTCGAAGGATTTTAAATGTGCTCATTGTGATTATGGGACACGTGATAAATGCGACCTCAAACAACATCTTTTAACACATAAAGTTTCAAGGCTTTGAACTATGACGATTGTGGTTATGGCCGGGACAAGTGATAACCGCAAGCTCAAACGACATCTTTTAAAACATAGAGCTTCTATAGATTTTAAATGTACTACTTGTGATTATAGAAGTACAAATGATAAACACTAGGTACTTCAAACGACTTCTTTTAAAACACTATTTTATTATTATTTTTACTATAGATTTTAAATGTGCTATTTGTTATTATGAGACATCATCTTCATCTTTTAATATATTAATGTGCCAATGACTGCGTGGCAGTGATGAATTCTTTTTCGTGTATGTTTAATCAATATAGATGCAAAATAACAACTCATCGAATACGCCTTTATTTATTAAATTTAATATTATAAATTATTATTAATGCAATTTTTTGCTGCAAGTTCTTGCATGTTGTATTGTTCCATGTGAAGCGACCTCAAAGCTTTTGTTATATAATGCCACTTATTGTTATATAAGCTTGTAGAGGGGGGATTGATGGCTGCAAAGCTTTTCCTAGCTCTTAATAAAGAAATATTATTGTTATTAAAAAAAGCTTAAACGATGAAAAATGCCGAATTTTAAGGCGAGATATCATCAGTGTTATATTCTTGTACATAAACTTGTACTTCTAAAGCTTGTTTATTGGGATAATTGTATTACAAAAACACAAAATCATTGTACATTAGCAACCTTGTGTACAACCTTGACATCCGGTTAGTGCCATGTTGCCACATTCACTACAATCAGATCACGGTGCAGCGTGTATTCTTAAGGCCCATCCACATTATCGATCGGCTTACAGTCAGAACATGTTCTTAAGGAATACACGCTACAATAATTAACCGGACCGTGACATGACCGATAATGTGAATCAGGCTTTATGATAAAACAGAAGAGAAGATGTCAGTTTTGTTTTATTACGCAACTGCCAATGGTGACGCGTTTCCCCCACTCTTATAACATCCTTTTCCGTAGCATGCCTTTTTAATGCAAGGTTCTCTCCTCTTATTTTGATTCGTAGAACCGTATTATACAGTGATATTCATTTACAAATAGACAAAGGGATTTGTATGAATTGTTTTCCTTATGTCGCCTAATTTTATGCAACCAAAATAACTTTTTAAAACAAATTAATTTGGCTTCCGTACTTTTACTTTCGTTCGTGTGCGATGTATTCAATTGAAGAAAACGTTGATGTTAATTGGTATAGTGTCAGTTTAATGAGCGTAAGAGACTTTAAAATTAGTGGTTGTTAACATCCGATGCACATAAGACACCGTAAACGGTTCTCAGTTTTAACAGAGGATATGAAACGGAACATTTAAATTTTTGTGGAAGCGAATCCCATAAGAAACCTAAGAGGAATAGCCGCCGAATTTAATATCTACTCATCATAAGCTAAAAAAAAAGCATTCTACTCTTTGCTGTCGCTTTTATTAAAATCCAGAATGACAGTGCAGAATGCGTACGCATGTTATTTTGGTTGCATAAAATTAGGAGTCTTTCAAAAGAGTTTTTTGTTTTCTTTTAAATAAAATACTCTGTTTAACTTGGCAACCTTGCACTTAGTTTGAGAGTAGCTATATTCAAGAACCAACTAAAGAACGGGATAGATAGATTTTAGCTGGGTAAGTACCTTTTCTTTACATTCTCTTTTTCTTTTTAAACATAAGGGCAAAGCTCAAAATAAAGGTATATCTGTCAGGGGTTTGGTCCCGTAGAAGGTTTCCCTGGTATTGTTTTGTTGTGTGCGTAATATATTTATTTGTTCTTGTCATTTCTTTTGCACAAAAGTTCTGTCTTTTATTTAATTCCCTTCCCAATTATGTCTCACGTCCCAACACATACAAGAACCGATTACACAATGTAGGAGTTCATATCGAGCCGACTGCCATCCAAATTTAAAAGTGCTGGGAAACTTCCGTTTCGACTTGAAAGGTAGGTGATTCTGCTTGTAGTTTTTTCTCAGAGTTGCCAATGGTAAGTATTGGGTACGTCAACGTTTACAGTGTCGGCTTGATAAGACCCCTAGAAACATTACAACTGTCAATGTTACCCTACCCTAAGAAAACATTGTCCCTTATGAAAGTATCGTATTTGTCAATGTTTTGGGGTAAATAGTGTAAATTGACACTTACCTTTGATCTATAATGCCAACATTGGCATAGAAAATATAATAATAATAATAATAAGTATACAATTAAGAAATATTCGCTGTATAAAATGGCGATTGATTCATATTTTTTTAAACGATAATTTCATACCAAAAAATAAGGCTATTAAGTTTATTGAGAGTACTTAGACAATACTGCAATTGTACACTAGTTCGTAAAACACAGAAGTTGGTCTAAAACTAAGATTATCACGAATTAAAATACATTTTTCAAAAGTTAATAGTTATAAGCAAAATTACCTCCCCTTTGAAAACCTCGTCCTCGGAAATTCCCATTAAAATTGTTTCCTCCCCACCCGCGATTATTAAAACCACCTCTGAAATTTCCACCTGACTGGTAGTTATTATATCCTCCACCGTACCCACCCCTACTGTTAAACCCACGTCTTATTTTGGGAGGCGGAGGTCCCGCCGATCTCCCTAATGAAAAGTTTCCGCTCGGACGATTCCCTTCCTCTAAATGTTGTCTACATAGCTGTTCGATAACCTGTATTACTTTCTGATCCAACGGCGTCATCTCCATAACTTGCTCAGGATCTTTCGCCGCCCGTATCACCAAACTTTCGAGGGCGGGGCGAAGTGCGAGAATCTTGGATGCTACGTACGGATCCAATCCTAAGTTGATCCAGTTATCCAGGCGCACGACACCGTCAACCCATTCGACCTTTCGCGATCCAAACAGTAACAAATGCAAAGGTGAGACCATCGACATCTGCTTGCAGCAAACCGCTCTGGTACGGATCTTTTCTCCGAATACGAAGAATGGAGAAGGAAACTTCTGATCGAAACTGCAGTTGACCGACGTTTTATGGATCAATGCCATTTTGTTTCCCGTGGTCAAAACCTGGTTGATTAAAATAATTCATTCTGCTCATCCTAGTCAACATACCTTTCGTTTATCTTTATGAAAACAAACATTCGGGTACAACCCCATACACATAAGCGCCATTACCACATCCAACTTCGGATCATCCCCCACAGTTTCCATTGGTACGGGCATGAAAGTCTCTTCCGGAATACCCACCGAGGTTAAAATATCCTGCAATTGATGTTTCGCCTCCCACGTCACGCGCAATGTAGGCATGCTCAAGCCTTTTTGTTCACAAAATTGAATTTCGGAGTCCTCCCCCTTTTGGCGAATTCGGTTCCACAACTAAAATACATAGATCAGTGACATCACCCACATGAATTTGACTCGAATCACCTCAAAAGCAGACAGCATGGCTACATGATCGGAACATCTGTCACCCGCCAACCTGCGTTGCTGATAGGTCAAACGGCGCAGTCCTTCGAGAACAAATATTTCAGGAAACGTCGCCGAATTCGCTGCCATCGTCGAGAGAGCGTCGCCGCACTTAAAAATGCATCCCATGATCATCATTTTGCCCAGTCGAGGCTCAATTGGTAGCTTGGCCAGAATACGACCCAGAGGCGTCAATTCATCATTCTTATCCAAACACTTCATTTCGCGCAGCATAACCTCGGCTTCGATCACTGCATCGATGGGCGGAGGCTCAATCGCCTTACTCAGAAAATGCCCAATCGAACCGAGGTGGAGTAATTTAATACTGAGAGCGATTTCGTGTAGTGGAGATCTAAACATTTCGGGTGTCATATGCTCGTCGAGCTTGTCGTATCTCGCCTTTGAGCATAGATGGAAGCAAATTCCGGGGCGAACGCGACCCGCCCGCCCCTTGCGCTGCTCAAGATTTGTCCGCGACGCCCACACCGTCGCGTAACTTGTCATGTTATTGTGGGAGGTGAACAATTTCATTTTCGCCTTGCAGCTGTCAATTACAAAAACGACGTCATTGATGGTTATAGACGTCTCGGCGATATTTGTCGAAAGAATAACCTAAAATGCACTTCCGAGTTAAAGTTGGATGTAAATGTTATATACCTTTCGGACATCAGAGGGCACCGGTTCAAACACGCGTCTTTGATCCTCACGAGGCAATTGAGAATGAAGTGGCAAAATACAAAACCTCGGGCTACCAAATTTGGGATGTTGCTGTAAGTGCCGCATCAGTTTAAATATGAGATTCCAGCCGGGGAGGAACACAAGTACGGCACCTTCGATATCCAAAGAGTCGATATAAATTAACAAGGCTTCCAGTAGTTCAAAAGACACTTCTTTCTCACTCAAACGTTGAATTGCATTTTGAGTCTGTTGGCTGTAATTTCCCACTGTCACCTAAAAATATTGTCGTCAAAATCTTGCTTCGTTTTATTAATTAATTAATTAATTAATTTTAGCTCTCATTGTATTCTAATTAAAGGTCTCAACGAAAGGAACCGTTTTCTACCATATGCTGCCCTTCTGTCTGTCCGCTTATCAAAGTACGGGGTGGAGGGGGTGGAACTAGTTTTATCCTTCATGGTACTCTAATAAAAGGTCTCAACGAAAGGAATTAATTTCTACCAACCATAGCCCTCCTCCTTGACCTCTTATCGTAATCGGGTATCTTCCCTCATACCTCAAGAACGGGTTGAGACCTTTCATTAGAATACCATGAAGGGTAGAACATGTGTTAACCCCCCCCCCCCCCATGCATGCGTATGCAAAACCTGAGACCAATTGGTTGTCGTATGTCAAAGTTATGCATGTTTTACTTTCAAAAACAGCATCCCAGGAAATAATTCGTGGGGGGGGGGGGGGCTTTTAGACAGCGACATTTGATGGCCGTCTGGCACACCTTCAAGGTATAGGCTACCTACTGCAAAACATTCCAGGACTCTAGGACCATTACCCTAGAAGCAGTTCGCAACGGCAGAACTGGATCCAAACGGACTGACAAAACGCAAACAATAGCACATTTTTATGGCGTTTTATTTGACAAAAAAAGAACAAAAAAGCCCCACACTATCAGGGTTAGCGCTAATCGGACGAACATGCTTTTGGAAGCGACTGAATTGCAATGGTAGTGCTATACTACCCCCCCCCCTCGACCATATACTCAAAGGATATTACAAAATTTATAAAGAGACTAGATAAAATCAAAGTGGTACCTGGCGCTAGGTAAGTAGAACACAAATACAAAACGAAAAAACTACAAAACTACTCAAAAAAAGAAAGTGGGAGAAATTTCCTCTTACACTATTCGGGGGTGGCGCTGGCTTTAAAATCTAATGCGCTAGGTCTGAAGAACACAACGGTTGCTTTTGGAAGTTTGATGCAATGGTGGGGCTAGAGTTAATATAACCCCCCTGAAAGTCAGGTGCTTTTTTGAAAATTTATAATTGCACTAGCTGAACTCATGCTACAACTCAAAAGGCCAACATTTTACTCAAAAACAAAATGGTGGTGCTAGAAGAAATTGGCTGGCTGCCGGCCCTCTCTAGCAAGTCAATAAAGTCAAAATTTGCTGTGGCCAGCACAAATGCGACTCGAACCGCATTAGAGTTAAAATGTATTATGATTGTTTAATGAATAAACAGTGCCAGTGGCGGTCCCAGGAGTTGGTAAAAGGAGGGGCCCAAACCCGAACTTTGTCCCAAAACGGAAAAAAATAAAAAAATTGATTTGGGGGGGGGGGGGCCTTGAGACCGCCATTGAACAGTGCTATTACGTAAGGCAAATAAACTTGGGCTATATACGCAATTAGGAAAGTGCAGTCACAATTATTTATGAAATCATAAAATTATTATTTTTAAGGATTTGCGCAATTCCGATTTTGAAGATCTACTTCAGTTCTTGGTAGTGTCTATAAAACAATTTGGTTCCATTAGATGCCACATATTGACAATCTTTTGTTACTTTACAGTTTACACATTTGCGCATATGCAAATCTGCCCAATCTCAGCTCTTCCTTTTATGTCTAAGAACTTGTGTACCAAATTTGGTACTAATCGGTTCGGCCATTTAGCCGGAAAGCAGACAGATTGACACCGTCGAGATTTTGTTTGATTTGGATACCTGGTGCTCCAAAACGTGTATTTCCGTAAAAAAGTGAGGGAGGGGGGTCATTTTTTTTTTTTTTTTTTTTTTTTATTATCCCTCTCTTGTTTTGGGCCCTCAACAGGCATGCGCCCAATTACAGAGTGACCCGCATAATGCTATTTAGAGGTGCCTCTGCAGAAGGTCTTAAGTTGGTCTATACTACTCCGGTATTTACCTTACGAATTAGGAAAACTGCAGGAAAACCTAATTCGGAGTAGCCGGTAGAATGCTCGGAACTGGCCTAAGGTAATTTCCATCTCCGCCACAGATGAAAAATTCACCTCAACCCAGGTTCGAACACCCGACCTTCGGATTTATAACCCAATGCTCTTACCACTGAGCCATAAATCCGATTTCTACCCCAATGGAATATCTCCCTTTACTAACGTGCGGGTGGTATTAAAAAGTTGTTATTTTTGCTTTATACAATTGCCGACAGAGGCGCGCAATGACATAATATATAAACATATACTCTATTCATTCTAAGAAGGTAGCGGTAGAAATCGTAGGGAAGCTTTGACCGTCTCTGTGATTGGTTAAACCCGAGTCTGTATTACGCTGACAAATAAAATGTGTGACCAATTTTGTTATGTTAGTAGTTACGGTTATGAACTAAACTGTCGAACTGATATTATAGACGGAGAGCTGGCGACATATTTCACTAAGCGTCTCTTATGTGACTCAAAATTCGCTGAGCGATAGGTATGGGGTTCGTCTCAAGTAACCCGTGAGTCTGCCAGCCCAAAGCCGTTGTGTTCAAGCACGTGGCTCAGGTGAAAATCGCGATTTTTCAAGTCATCGTTATATGGTCTGTTCCAACTCAGATTTGCTCGACTGTTCTATTAAATTGTTGCTTTAAACAGGCAGACACGTAGGTTGTTGTTAACATGGTTGCAGAATTAATAATAATGATTTTTTTAATAAATATTTTCAAGTCATAGTTTTACGTCTGCCAATTTTGTTTTCATAAAGTACAATGTCGCCCTACAACACATGTAAAAGGGCAGATTGAAATTCCGTTGCAAACACCTCGAAAATAATTAATAAAGTTCCGTAAAATTGTACCAAAGTCGGGCCAGCGCGGGCGGTGGCGGGATGGGGGTTCCACGAAACGACGGGACTGGCCGAGTGGAGGATATCCAGCTGTGCGGCAACAGTCTACCGTGGGTTTGTAGTAGCCAAAGCTCGGACGTTTCCGTCTCGGCTCGTTCGTGTGTGTAAGACTTTGGTACAATTTTACGGAACTTTATTAATTATTTTCGAGGTGTTTGCAACGGAATTTCAATCTGCCCTTTTACATGTGTTGTAGGGCGACATTGTACTTTATGAAAACAGAATTGGCAGACGTAAAACTATGACTTGAAAATATTTATTAAAAAAATCATTATTATTAATTCTGCCACCATGTTAACAACAACCTACGTGTCTGCCTGTTTAAAGTAACAATTTAATAGAACAGTCGAGCAGATCTGAGTTGGAACAGACCATATAACAATGACTTGAAAAATCGCGATTTTTACCTGGGTCAGGTGCTTGAACGCAACGGCTTTGGGCTGGCAGACTCACGGGTTACTTGAGACGAACCCCGTATCTAGCGCTCAGCGACTTTTGAGCCATATAAGAGACGCTTAGTGAAATATGTCGCCAGCTCTTAGACTATTAGATGCCAATTTCAATGATCCAAACGTGAAATCTTATGATTTATATTCATATTTTTCAAATTTGGTGCCGTTTTATATTTATCCTGTGTGTCTATCTTTAAACACAGCGCCATCTACTACCTTCTTATAATGAATGCAGATATATTATAAATTAATATTGCTCCCGCTACTTCTGCCTGTCATTGATAGATGTCTCTAGTTACATTCAAGATAATTCTTCTGACCGGACACGTTGACTCAAAATCCTATATTATATGCTCAAAACCCTCACTGATACGGGGGCAGCCGATCAATTGCAAATCTGTAGGTAATATTACTAATTTCGGATTTCTTGATTGTTTAAAGCGACATCTTTGTAACAGTGGCGACACTAAGATGACATTTTTTAGTGCTTATAATTGACATACTTCGAATTTTTATTCAAAAAAAAGCACACATCTCATTTAATACTAATCTCTTCGATCCTAAAGTGTGCATTTCACTTCACTGTATCGCTTTTTGGACAAATAAAAATCATATTTCACCATCTACCACGCCTTCAACATAAGTTAGTTTCTTTACCATTCGCTACCATAATGGTTTTAACGCGTATAGGGGAAATCTTAAGTGAAAATATGTATACCTACCTCCACTACTAAAAAAAAATGCGTGAGATGCCACGATTACTGATTATTTAATTTAGAAGTAAAAAAAACTATTTACAAAAGCCCCACGTTGGACGCCAGTTTGTATCTCATTAAGGGGGCGATGCTTGGACCCATTTAAGAATATATATATTATATCCGTTATTTAAAAAAAAAATTTTTTTAACTTTACCACCCTGTATCTCAAAAATTAAAACGTTTAAGACACACGTTCATAGGAAGTTTTTTGTCTTAAAATGGGTCCAAGAATCACCCCCTTAAATATTAGCAAGTCTTTAAGGAACACCCTATATAATTGTATGTACAATCCGATGTAGAATCTAATAGCGTTTTCGATTGGCAAAACTCGTGCAGCAATGCTGCAATTTTTACGTTCTATTGGTAATTTTAGGGCAATTTTCTGTGTTCCATTGGCAAATGTGATGCAACAATTATGCACTCAGTGCAAATTTCGACGCACGAGATCCGAGAGCTCGTGGAGCTGCTAGTTAACAAATTTTCAAAACAAACGTGCGACAATTTGAATTTGTTTCTTGCGTTGGGAGAGTTTTTTGTCGTCATCTAGCGATAGCGAAGATGATGAACTAGCCATAACTTCTATTTTACAAAAAGTTGCACTTACTCATTAAACTGAACACCAAAAATTGGTCCTTTACAGGAATTTCAAATTTATATTCCTCATCGTTTATCATAAATAATACTGAAATCGTTTGTCATTTTTTAGAATAGAGATTTGTCGATTACCTAAATCTAAAATGAGGTTATGGACAAATGACAACAGATATTTACGAATATTTATGTTCCATTGAGAGCAATTTTCACATGGATTTCTTCAGTTTCTCGTGCAACACTCGTGCAGTACGAGTTTTGCCAATCGAAAACGCTATAAAGATGAAATATACATAGTGTTACACTTAATTTACTTCATGTACAGGGTGGCCAAATAAGAATGCAAGGTACTGTATCTGGGAACCTATCCATCGTAGAGGCTTGCAGTAAAAAAAGTTATTACTAAAACGGCCACGAGCAAAACCTGTAAAATATTTTTAAGTGTTTGAAATTGTCGCTAGGAGGCGTAACTGCAATCTGGAATCTAAAAAGTGATGTTTCTGTGAATTTCGCTATATTAACCTAACGGTCTTTGAAGACGACGATAATCTGAACCTTTTTTGTTTGACAATTTTTCCTGTATCTCAAAAAATGAAGTGGTGGGGGGTATTCAAAGGTTTCCGTAAAGAACACCCTGTATCTTTGGAACGGCTGAGCCAATTTAAACAAACTCGGATTAATTGAAAAGAGTTATTCTTCGGCTACAAATATTATAATATTTGAAGTTTTGTTAGTTTCACATATCGCCGCTTGAGGGCTTTTTTCGACATTCCGACAGAAATGGTTAATTTTCTCAAAAAAATTAAATGCGTTGGTTTGATTTTTTTTCATGAAAAAGTAGCTAAATGATGCCTAAACAAGCTCGCGAAAACCGCATCTCGATATCTTGTTCCTAACCTAAAATTTAGGCCAAAGAAAATTTTATACCCTCAAAATTTTATTTTTTTAAGCTAATTTTTCCGGAATTATTTTTATTATATAATTTGTGGCCTAAGGTGGGTCGATTTAAAAAAGGAAGCTTTTAATGCCACCGTAAATGCTCGAAATGCTGGCCATAATATATTTATCAAGATATCGAGATGCTGTTTTCGCGAGCTTGTTTAGGCATCATTTAGCTACTTTTTCATGAAAAAAAATCAAACCAACGCATTTAATTTTTTTGAGAAAATTAACCATTTCTGTCGGAATGTCGAAAAAAGCCCTCAAGCGGCGATATGTGAAACTAACAAAACTTACTATTTGTAGCCGAAGAATAACTCTTTTGAACTAACCCGGCTTTGTTTAAATTGGCTCAGCCTTTTCGAAGATACAGGGTTTACGGAAACCTTTGAATACCCCCACCACTTCATTTTTAGAGATACAGAAAAAATTGTCAAACAAAAAAGGTTCAGATTATCGTCGACTTCAGCGACCGGATATTTTTTTGTTAGGTTAATTCACAGAAACATCACTTTTTTAGATTCCAGATTGCAGTTACGCCCCCTAGCGGCCATTTCAGAAACTTAAAAATATTTTACAGGTTTTGCTCGTCGCCGTTTTAGTAATAATTTTTTTACCGCAAACCTCTACGATGGATAGGTTCTCAGATACAGTACCTCGCATTCTTAGTTGGCCACCCTGTACACGCGAAAAAATAACTGCTACAGTTGTGATCGGAGAAGAGCAATATATGATTTATACCTTTGTCAATCAACACATAGCTCAATAGCCACACCTTAAGCTATGTTTCATATTGTAATTAAATTGTGAACGAATCTTTGTCTGTCTGAGGTCCTATTTGTAGATGTTTAGCCAAATTAGCGACAGTAGCACAAAATTCGCGTTTCTTTATGGAAATGTTTCTAGGCTTTGTGACTAACTAATCAAATTGTGCATTTTACAATAATAATAAAAAATTAAACAAATATAGCAAACGAGGTCCTGGGTATGGCTACAGCATGTGCAAAACCAAATTTTAAACCTGATGTTAGTTTTGCTTTTATTTAAAGTGTATATGTATGAAATTTCATTTGAAGGCCTCCATAAATAAGCTGCGCATGCGCAAAACCAAATTTTGAAACTGATGTTAAATTTTCTTTTATTCCAAGTGGTTATGTACCAAATTTCATTTAAATCCCCCTATAAATCAGAAAGTTGTCACTGCGCATGCGCAAAACCAAATTTTGAAACTGGCGTTAAATTTACTTTTTCGTACTTCCGAGACTAAAGTGACAACTTCACTCCATTATGACAAGGACTGAAGTGTCACTTTTTGTCCCGCCGGGATTAAATTTGGACGAAAATCCCGGAAGGATGAAATTACTAAAAAGGCAATTTCAGTAGGTTGTTCCACATTTTGTATGCGACAGTACTTCTTAAACGCATCGTACTGCTGCTCATATAGTTTTTTGAATTTCGGTGGTATCAATTCTTTACCTACTTTGGCTGCTTTTGATCAATATCAAATACACCTTTGTCACCCACCACCAAAATTATGACACTAGCAATGACAGTTTCCAAATTATTTTTGTTACCATAGCATAGGGATTGTCATACCAACGCAACGTTCCTATAGTAACTTGTTAAGCAGCGATTATTTGAAAGAACACGTTCTCTTAACTCCATACATATTAAGTGTTTCAGTTTCGGAAGTACGAAAAATATCGTATATACTTTGCGACTGAAGTAGTGGTCTTAATCCCTCAGGTAAATTATGGCCCTCCCTTCGGTCGGGCCATAAACTTTACCTTCGGGATTAAAAGTACTACTTCAGTCCCGCGGTATATAATATACTATTATTCCAAGTGGCTATGTATCAAATTTTATTTAAATCCCTCCATAAATAAGAAAGTTGGCACTGCCCATGCGCAAAACCAAATTTTGAAACTGGCGTTAAATTTGCTTTTATTCCAAGTGGCTATGTATCAAATTTCATTTAAATACCTTCATAAATAAGAAAGTTTGCAATTCGGTCTGTAAATGGTCGAGATGCGCAAAGGGCACTGTGAATGCTGATCGATTAGGTTCGACTTTTGGAATTGTGTTTTATATGGCTAAAGCTATGCGCATATTGAATTTCATGCAATTCGGTTCATAACTAACGGAGATGTCAAAAGGGCCTTCCTTATTTTTTGGGCTACATTGCCAATTCACGAACTCCGATCTACAAATTTGATAAAGAATCCACCTGCAAAATTTTATCGTAATCGGTCCATTCGTTTATGAGTTATCGTGCTAACGGACGGATAGACAGACGACGGACGGACAAACAGACACAACAAAATTATAAACTCGCTAGGAGCTCGTTAATAACCAAAACTGTGTATATTTTCTACTGAAGCTGTAATGTAAAAAAACCAAACGTCACATTTTTCAGAAAATAACAATGCGACTTTTTCATATGGAACACCCTGTATATCATTACATCATACGACGGTCTATTAAACCAAAGTTCTTAATGACCATAGCCAAAATACTCCTACAAATAATCAAGATTTATCAATTATTTTCAATTTGATCTAGTTAACCATGGAAAGTTAACAGTAGTGCCAACTTAATTTGAAACAGACTGTATAGCTTATTGTAAGTTTTGAATATCAACCAATTTCTCATCGATTGCAGGAATGAATGAAGTGGGGTTTTGATCAAAACATTGTAACCTACACTAGATAGAATGGGACATTTCAAAATATGTGTCCTTTAAAGTGGCAAATCAAGTCACAGAGTACTGTACCTATGAATGATTGCGTAAAACTATTTGATTTAGGATCTATCCGAATCCTGAAATGTGATTAGTGTAACTATCCAATCGCGATATAAGCATGCCCACTCTGTGCAATCCACTTAGTAATTTCTACCTACCATATTAAGATTTTCCTCCGGTTCTTCTTCTGGAAGACCATCATCCCCACCTCTTGATTTGCGCTTTTTTGTCTCCATTTGCGGTACAAACTTCGTGAGCTCTATGCAGTCCTCTATGAAGTGCTGTTGAACTGGGAACGCGCGGCCAGGAATTTCAATTACAGGACAGTCATTGAAGTATTTCGAAAATAATGTTGTATCTATAGTTGCCGACATGAGTATCACACGCAAGTCGGGGTACTGATGAACCATATCGCGCAAAACCACCTAGCGGAAAAATGCTTAACTAAAAACGTTTGTGAAGTTTACCGTTACCATTATAAAGTCGCTGTTCACGTCTCTCTCGTGTATTTCGTCAACGATCACGTGACTAACGCCGCGTAGACCGCCTTCCAATTTACGCAGTAGTACTCCGACAGTACAAAACATGATGGACGCATACGGTCGTGGCAACGCAGACTCGAACCTCACCGAATACCCTGTCGATTCTCCCAATTGTTCGCCGCGTTCGGATGCGACACGCTCGGAAACAGAGACAGCAGATATACGCCGTGGTTGGGTAATGGCGATGTTGCACCATGCGCCGCCGCCGGACGCGATGAAATCGTCTAAAATAAACTGACAAACTTGCGTGGTTTTACCTGCAATAGCAACGTTGTATTTACGAGACCAAAATGGGCAACTACCAACCGCATCCTGTGTTTCCTCTTATAATAATAACAGGATTGTCATTGATTGCCTCCATTATTTCCGAACGCTTGCTATACACAGGTAAAGAAGTGCGTTCCTGTATGCTTTTCTGTAAATAACTGTCATTCTGCAGACGATTCCTGGAGTCTTCCGCCAACTGCTCGCTTAATTGATCGAGAGTCTTTGTCGCAAGTGGCCCTTCGTCGATGTTACAAGCAGTCCAAGGATTCCAGTTCGGTTGCGGCGGAGACCACGGTATAACACCGCCAGGTACCGGCGCGGACGGCACAAAATCGTCTAATATTTGAGAACTTAACAGAGAAACCGGCGTCGACGCTTCCTTGTCGGTTTTGAACGGCGGCACCATAATGTTCAATTCCCGCAAACAGTCGTCAATTTGCGCCTGCACATCAGGAGACACCTTCACCTCGTACGGTGGCATTTCGTCACCTTTTTCTTTTTTCAGCGTTCCACTGAACGCTTCGATTACGCCCAAGTGGAAAAGTTGGCGCACAATCGACAACGCGCAACTTTTACTCGCCATTTGCTTATTTGATCCGGTGTCTCGGCCGTGAATATGACGGCCCAACGCTTTTACGTAAAAATTCATTTCGGCCACAAAACTCCTGCAGAATGCGAGGAATTAACGAGTCGTACGATACTCTGATATACAATGTACTTACAATTACACACAAGCAAGAACAGAAAATTCAGTTTGACCAGACTCAACCTAAAGGAAAAAAACAGAAAAATGTACAGCTGTCTCATTTTCTAGTATGTAGATTTCAATTATTATAATATGAGGTGTAGTTCGGAACTAATTTTGCATGCGCAGAATCAACACTAATTGCTATGTGCAATAGCAGATGTTTATTAGCACCACCCACATCAAACTAGCTCAATTAAACTCAGATACTAACAAAATTGTTATAATTTTTCCAGGACCCGCCCTATCTGTTACAACGCACATTTTGATAAAACTTTAACTAAAACTTTTTGAACCCGCGGCAACCTCTGCCTCCTGCCCACAATTCCAAATAATTGAATTTAAAATTATTATTTAGACACCTGGCATAACCTAACAGATAATTTATCATGAAAACTCTTATCTGAGTCGTAATCAGGGTTCGATTAAACACTAGAGAAAGTTATTCGACAAAAATCAATTGATAATGCTAAAACAAAGGCACTTAGGGCCTGCAAACAATGTACCGCGCACTGCAGAACTACAGAAATTGTGAGAATTTTGGTAAGACGCCTCCTCTCGCCTCGCCCAGGTTCATAAAGGTCCATAGCTCGGCACCGCATTTTTTTTTAAGAAATAATCTAAAATGATTAATGTGTGTTCTTGTGGCGGATATTGACACGCGCCATATGATTTGAACGAAGACAATTTCTCAGTTTCAGTTTTGGTGTGGTAAGAAAATGCTATTGAACCAACCGAATTCACATTTTTTTTCAATACAAGGTGACTTTTTTGAAAAGTTCTATTCAACTTTATCTCCGGATCTCCACATAATCGCGTTCGATGTGACACGATTGATAAGATTGTTGACGTCAAACTGCGTCCAATTTCTGAGAATTTAAAAATTAATGCGATTTTGAGTCAATGTTCATGTTTGAGTCTCCAAAAAGGTCACTTAGGGACCTCAAATGTCTACCAAACTTGTACATTCACTTTATCTTGTAGTCTAACGTCGATTTTAGCAAAAAACTTTTTCATATCGATTCTGATTTAATGCGATTTAACGCACGAACGACTGTACAGGGTGGCCAAATGAGAATGCGAGGTACTGTATCTGGGAACCTGTCCATCGTAGAGGCTTGCGGTAAAAAAAGTTATTACTAAAACAGCCACGAGAACAACCTAGAAAATATTTTTAAGTTTCTGAAATGGCCGCTAGGGGGCGTAACTTCAATCTGGAATCTAAAAAAGTGATTTTTCTGTGAATTCCGCTATATTAACCTAACAAAAAAATGTCCGATCTTTCAAGACGACGATAATCTGAACCTTTTTTGTTTGACAATTTTTGCCGTATCTCTAAAAATGAAGTGGTAGGGGTTAGAGTCACTAGATATAGAAAGTACCGCAATCATCCGCCATTTTTGGACAAATTTGCTGCCAACTTAAAAAAATTGACAAATAAAATCTGAATAGCTGTAATTTTTTATAACCTAACTTCATAGTACTGTCATGTTTTATAAAAATATATACAGATATCTCCAAACAGGTGGAACAATCCCTAACATTAAAGTTACTAGAATCTGGTAACTTCCGCCATTTTTGGGCAAAAATCATGCGTTCTCTCTCTCACGAGCCCAATGGATTGCGGTACTTTCTATATTTAGTGACTTTAGTGGGGGTATTCGGCCATTTCAGAAACTTATAAATATTTTCCAGGTTTTGCTCGTGGCCGTTTTAGTAATAAATTTTTTTACCGCAAGCCTATACGATAGATAGATTCTCAGATACAGTACCTCGCATTCTTAGTTGGCCACCCTGTACTATAGGGATGGTAAGCAGCTGTAAGAAAGGTGGCCCCTAAGGTTTTTGTTTAGTAACAAAACCAAGAATTTCACCGGCATTTTGGTTAATTTTTTTAATTTTCACTTTTGTGTCATATTCGTAACGCTTTTGAAATTGTTGAGGCACTCAAAGTGAAATACGAGAGACCCATGCTTTTTGTAAAGGTATGCAAAAATGAAAATTGGCCCGTACGGTCAAAACCCTGCCGTCTTTATAGATTTAGGTATTTTTGCAATCCCCAATTTTGACAATTTTTTTCTTCAGTTTTTTCGTTTCAAGGATTTTTTTTCGCGCAACTTTTTAAGTAGGCTTCGTATTTCGACGAAACCTCTGTAGCGTGTTCTTTGTGATAAATTGCAACGTCCGATATGACGGTCGATCGAATCGGCAAATTTTTGAAATTTTGTGGGGTATCTTTGTTTCTTGAAAACATCAAGTAGGTATACAGACTGATTCAAATTCGATCTCGGGAACTGTAAAAGATAGGTAGGTAGTTTAAATTTATTTGGCAAAGTTGCGTATTTTGATGCTTAACAAAACCGAAAAAATTCCGACTACTTTCGGAGATATCCGGAAGAAAACGAAATTTTGCAAAATCGTTTTTATTTTTTACTGGTTATTTGAAACATTTTTCCAAAATAACACAATATTATGACCACTTTTTTCCCCTCTATAAATTGCTGGTTTTAAATTTTAAATCCGACGTGTCGTCTCCGATTAACCATCATCAACTTTGTGTTTTCTAATGGAAGTAATGTTTACTTTTTGTGTCATTTGATAGAGAATTTTTTTCTGATTTCAATTTCGTTGAGACGAGATCTACAATCGCCCAATTTTACGTTTCGCTCTAGGTCTAACCGTTCAGGCTCCACGAGGCGTCAAAGTTGCAAAACGCGAAACTGCCCTTTCACCACACCGAACCATAGATTTTAATCGCACCCTAGCAAAAATATGCTCCTCCACGTCGGCCAAGATCTCAGACAACCGAAAAAAGATTGTAGTTTTAGTTTTTGAGCTACGGTTTTTTTTTCGAAAATGTTCGATTTTTCGATTCTTACGGCAGCCACCCTGACGGAAGCGGGCGGAATTGTTTCAATCTCATGAAAAGTCGCCCGCACTACCCCAACAGATTTGGGCTTAATCCAAATTAACAACCACATTTATGCTTGAGATTCAATTATACAAATGACCCTAACAGGTGCCAGTACTTTACAAAAACGTCCATACGGCGTAGTTTACATAACATTATTGTCATTTGTATGCCTCTAGAGTAAAAACGATATCCATCGCCATTTTGTAAAGATGTCTAATGACCTACAATTTGAACCACACCTCTTCAAAAGAAATGATTACACACAGTATTTTTCTACAGCACAAAGAAACTGAAGCGCGTTTTTTTTTGGTGGGCACCGTCGTCCGCCGATTTCTGCAAACCACTTCTGCACGACAAAATATCTTCATCCGCCGCTTCTTCTATTCGATCACTTCCTAATTGTAGACATCTTTATGAAATTTGGTACATGTCTTCTTTTCATCAAGATGCATTTTCTGATGTGCTGATGTGCAAAAGTTTTTATTTTCTCTACCAGTGGCGTCCGTACGGCTTTTGCATTGAATATTTTTGGAGAAAAAATACTACGCCACTGCTTTCTCTTAAAATAAAAATTATTTTTTAAATCCTCATTCATATTTGAGCAAATTTGATGTTCTGGTTTTTCTTTGCCCAACGCATGGTTTTCGCTTAAAAAAAGTTTTACTTAAGGATCAATTTCCTAAAAATAAGCGAAAACCATGCGTTGGGCAAAGAAAAACCAGAAGATCAAATTTGCTCAAATATGAATGAGGATTTATAAAATAATTTTTATTTTAAGAGAACGCGGTGGCGTTGTATTTTTTTCTCCAAAAATATTCAATGCAAAAGCCGTGCGGACGCCACTGATAGAGAAAATAAAAATTTTTGCACATCAGAAAATGTATCTTGATGCATAGAAGACATGTACCAAATTCCATAAAGATGTCTACTCTACAATATTCTCTATTTTAAAAAACTTTTTTTTTAACTTTACCACCCTGTATCTCAAAAATTAAAACGTTTAGGACATAAGTTCATAGGAAGTTTTTTTCTTAAAATGGGTCCAAGAATCACCTCCTTAAATATTAGCAAATCTTTGCTTTCCATGATTAACTGAACAATTTATGTCCATCTAAAGTGCAAACAAAAATGATGTTATACAACAATCTACAAAAACAACCATAGATGGGTCAAATAAAGAATCTTGATACTTGTACCATAAACTTAGTTTACCATTAGAGCCTAGACGGCGACACTACATAGAAACCTAATCATAAAGTGGCACATATGGCATAGGCAAATCATACAGGGTGTCAAATCTTAAAACTTGCAGTCGGCCATACTTTCCAAACTGAGGAAGATATTGAAAATCGCGTAAAACCGTTTCGGGGGTATCGAGGGGGAACCAGAATGACGTTATGAGTGACAACCTCCCCCCCGCCCCTCTTCAAAAATCCTAAATGGGAACCCCATACTTGTGACACATTGTTGGAAAGCTGCTGCTTTCCAGTGGTACCAATAAAGTCAATATTCATTAAGACAATTTAACAAAAATTTAATAATTAGGAAAAAAAACTAAATGTTGACATTGAGCGATTTATGACAAATTGACCAAAAACTTCAACCTGAGCTGGTTCATTAAGAAATCTTGGTTGCTTTCTTTTTTTATTGATAACAGATCGCGTTTCTTCGAATTTAGCGACCAAATCTTGAACATAGGCGTGGCTTAATTTTTATTTTTTTTTGTTTATTATTAAATTTTTGTTCAATTGTCAATGAATATTACTTTATCGGAACCACTGGGAAGCATTTTTCAGTAGCTTTCCAACGATGTGTCACAAGTATGGGGTCGCCATTTACAATTTTTAAAGGGGGACTGGGGGGGGGGGGTTAAGAGAGGGTGGAGGGTCGTCACTTATAACGTCATTCTGGTTCCTCCTAGATGCCCCCAAAACGGTTTTGCGCGATTTTCAATGTCTTCTTTTGTTTGGAAAATATGGCAAGTTTTAAAATTGACACCCTGTACATTACACATTTGTTTTTTAATGCTTGTGGCCGCAACACGTTTTCCAGTTTCTTTCTGCTTTTGCTCGAATTTTATAGAATTCGCTAATCAGCATGTACATCACCTCACTTTTACAATTAAGATTAATCGCAGACTAAACCAATTCAATTGCCGATTTAGTCTGCGACTGACCTCGCTACGATTTAGTATCTCAATTAATATACGAGCGATTAGCATTCGAATTTACAGCTGTACATTTTCCTAGTTTTCATCGAGACCAACGAAAAAATAATACGCTAATTTATAAGACCGCATCATCTTTTGAGATGCGGAACTACAAATTAGAATCGTGCCTAAGACTAAGAATACGCACTTACTTGGTGTGATCGGGGCCGATCGGTGAATATCTATAATCGGTGTTAATTTTATTAGATTGCAGGAATTGATGTAGTTTAGATTTAGCATTTTCGATCGTCCAGTTACCGTGAATTTGAGCGTTGACGTCTAAATCTTCGGCCTCCTCGACCTGCTTCTGTTGCTGCACGCGGTCCATGTAGCTCCACTGGCCATCGCGCTGATCGACGCCCTTGTACGCTTCGCCCAAACTCGCCGGGCCGGTGCCCTCTCTAAATACCGAATGTTGAGGACCCGAAGGTGCCAGACCTAAACGCACTCTTAGTATATAGGGTTAGGTTAACGGTGACTTACCAGAGTCTGGAGCGGCGGTGTTGCCACCAGTTAGTCCTAAATCGGTGGGTACATCTTTTGAGTTAACGTGCCCTTGGCGTACCAAAAAGCTGACGAAATCGCGGGATGCGTTACTCTGTGCATCTTTCTTATTCGTGGAATTGCCAGCCCCAACGTAAGTATAACCGGCAACGCGAACCTCGCATAAAAACCGTTGCCGATGTTTTGGTCCTGTAGGTCGAACTTCGAATTGCGGTTCAACTTTATTTTTTTGACAAAACTGATGTAGAAACGATTTAATTTCACTCATTGCGGTTGATTAAATAATTCGCACACTTGTAAATTGTAATTTGTTATTAATATTTGTAACACAAATGATGGCGACGAACGCGTCTTCAGTGTCTCCGCTACGTCTGCCCACCTCTGCGCGCGCTGTTGCTGTGGCTATGTTACCAAATGAGAATTTGTATATCACTACTAAAGTCACTAGATATAGAAAGTACCGCAATCATCCGCCATTTTATTTATTTATTTTATTTAGTGACTTTAATCACTACGAGCAGTACAACCTTTGATTATAGTATGTACAACGGTCTACACTAAACTGAGGTTGCAGTTGCAAACAAATCTTTTGAAGTTAAGCTGACGGAACTTTGGGCGATCCTGACGTGAACAACTCAACGACTGCGTACAGATCGCGAGCGCCGGTGGAAACGCACCTTTAGAAGTAGAACCCTTTTTAAGCCCGCTTGACATGGAGCAAAAGAATTGCAATTGAATGCAAGTTGCAAAGCCAGACCAGCTAATCAATTGCTGTAAGAGACTTGTTTACAATTTTTATGTATCTTTCTTGCATGAACGCGCAATTCCAGGAATAAATCTAGTTGTTATTGCGTCATCTAACGAGTAAAATACAGCGGGGGCAACTACGATGCTGAAGGACGCACTGATTACTGATTAGGATGAATCATTAGACGATGCAATTTATATTGCAATTCTTGAAGCAATTAGTTGCCGCAAGAAATTGCACGAAAAATTGCTTCGCCTATTATCAAAATTGAACGTGCAAGCTCTTGCTCCAAGACATTCTGCAATTTTCTTGTTTAGAACTTGCTATTTTTCTTGTAATTTAGTAATTATTTTAGTAACATATAATTTTTAAATTAATTAAAGTGGTTCCTATGCACTGGAAAACATTTTCTCCCTAGCTATGATCAGGTTTGTTATTTAAAACTGAAATAGATTGTAGTCTACAAAAGGTAAGTTCATAGCTCTCCGTTCATACGTTTCCGTTTGTCCGTTAGCCAATCAGAAGACGGCAAATTTTTAAATCGTATTTCGTCCGTTTACGACGGAATAGTTGATTGAAGTTCAACATTTGCGTTTCCGTTCACACTACAAGAACACGGAAATAAAGTCAACCCGGCAACGTTTAAAATGGCCACCCGAATGACTATTCCCCCTAAAACTAAACAAGATCCCGCTTAAATTTGAAAAGTGGCACACGATAAAACATCTAAGGCAGGGCCCCCTTACGTTAATTGTAAACAACGCTTTGACCTGAAGCACGGTAGGGAAGGAACGTAAAATAAAACATTGAAATTGTGAAAAGTTTGTTTAACAATTATCGTGATGATTGTAAAAGCTCGGAAATTTAAGTCGAAATAAATTACATTGCAAAAATAAACTTTGAAAATGGTAGTTCACCGAATAAAATTGTAAAAAAGAACTTACCAATAAAAAACCAGCCGTCAAAATAATATCAAATTGTGCTGTAAAATTAATTGTTTGTAAATTGTAATGATGTGAATGCGTAACATAAAATTATAACATCACAAAAAGAAGCAAGTTTTGGGAATTATGGGTCAGGTAACCATCAGGTACCAAGATTCTAAGAAAGTGTGAAATACACAGGATGTGACTCATCATTGGTGCAATAAAGTCCTTTTGTTAAAAGCAAGATTGAAAATTACATGGTCTTGTAGGCAAATTTAACTAAAAACAAGATATATGGGAATTATTGAATCGCCACTCATTTATCGCACATAGATTCTAAACTGAAGAGCTTTGATTAGCGTAATCCCGCTCTTGCTAGATAGGTAACCCGCCCTTGGTTTCGGGGTTTCGAGCCTACAGTTGGATGTCGAAATGGTTACAGTTACCACCCCCGTGACTGCTTCATTCACGGAGAAAAATTGTTAATTTCAAACAAGTCAATACATACATCAAACGAATCGGTAATTAATAATTACACCCAAAACGTAAACAATTACAAACACAAGGATAACGGTATAAATTAACATATCATTCTCCATTGCGGTTATACCAAGTAAATTTCAAAAACAAAAATTGCACACAAAAAATATAAAATGTGGCATACAAACCACAAATACGATATAAAGAAATGCAAAAATTACTACCTGCATTAAATAACACAAAATAACAACAAACATTTATGGAGCGACGCGTTCACGACCGCGATTCAAGACAAGATGCTAAACGTAACCCCCTTTCTCACATTGCGCAACGTGTTTTCTTTACCTAAAAGAGAGAAAGAACGTATACCAGTTCTTGGGCATTAATAACAAAGACTATCCTCCTCCAATAGTCTTTGCTAATGATAACGGTTCTAGTATTGATTCCGATTATCATAACGTCTTAAATAACGGTTCCGGTTCCTAGTTGGGGCTTAAATTCAATGGGTTCCGGTACCGGTAAATTCTAATTTGTGATTTGTTAATAAATTTGGTAAGCATTAGTTAAATGTTTACGTTATAACAATAGTATATTTTAGAATATTAGTTTTATGTAAACTATTACATTTATTAGTTTAGATTTTAGAATACTAGAAACATATGGTTTACGGTCAGTCTCTGTGAATCACCCTGTACAACATACGCCTACTGTCAGCATATTACTGGAATTTGACATCAATTTNCCAAAAGTGCAAAATCTTTGACAAATCTTCTAAAGTAAGACACTAGTCCTACAAATCTGTGAACTTCGTGACAATTTTTCGGCAATGGGTAGTTAATTACCGCTTGCACATTTTCAGGGTTAGGACGAATGCCCTCACCGTCTACCAAATATCCTAGATATACTATCTGTTTTTGCATGAACTTACATTTATCCAATCTAATCTCTAACAAATTTCTCACCATCAAGTCAAACACCTCTTTTAAAATTTGAAGATGTTCTTCAATTTCATTAGTGGCTATGAGCAAGTCATCAAAATAAATCAGAATTTTACCTTCACGTAACATATTGGCAAATATTATATTAATAAATCTTTGAAATACATGAGGTGCAGTGCAAATACCAAATGGCATACGTAAAAATTCATATTGGCCAAATGGCGTAACAAAAGAAGTATAACGTACACAGTCTGGGGCAATTTTCACATGGTAAAATCCATTTTTAAGATCTAACGAAGTAAAATAACGTTTGTCCCTCAACGCATCCAAATGATCGTCAATCAGTGGTAAGGGAAAATGATCCCGTACAATTAACTTATTTAACTCTCTGTAATCTACACACATGCGGATCTCGCCCGATTTTTTCTTTACTAATACAATAGGACTACAAAAATCAGAGTGACTAGGTTGAATCACATTCTTGTTCAATAAATCATCAATAATGTTTCTAACTTCACCCTTCTCTACGTGAGACAATCTACGTGGATTAAAATAAAATGGTTGCTCACTTTTCAAAGTAATACGCATCTCATAATCGGTCTCAGGAGAAGATGGTATGAGTGCATTTTTGTAACAATTATTGTACAGTGAAACAACGTCCTCTTTAATCTTATGATCTATGGTGTCATCAATAATAATATCAGGTTCTAACAGTAAAGTAGTTTGTTTGTTACAGGGAATGTCAGGTTTTACATTTGAATCACATTCACTTACATTATCACTTATATCAATTTGTAGAATCTCATTACATGCATCATCTACCATTTTACTTTCCTTTGCAGAGCCTTCAAAATTATTAATCAAACGAATTGGGGTTTTAGATAGCGTAATAAAATCTCTACCAACAATAGCAGGCACATTCATAGTATCATCACCTACGACATAAATCTTAAGGGGCAATTTCTCTTGGTTTACAATCACGGTTTGAGTAAATACTCCTACAATGGTTACTTTTGAATTGTTAATTCCAAAGTAATTATCACATTCAATATCAGTTGTATAACAATAAGCAGGTAAGTACATACTTTTTACAAAACTAATAGGGCTACCTGTATCTAACATGGCGTCCAAAGACAATGATGATTGAGTTGCATCCTCTCCATACTTCAATTCCAGCTGAACCATGATGGGTTGCCCTGGACCCATAACGATTGCAGTAGTAGTGCTGTCCGCAGCTGATTTCGTAACTCGCCTCACTGGAGTAGTCTGCGTGCAATTTTCTATTTTATGGTCTGTGCTGCCACAACGATAACAGGAACCTCTATTCCGTTTTGGTTTGTCGCAATTGATGGATAAATGCCCATATGTGCTACAATTAAAACAACGTACAGTTTTTGTTGATGACTCACCTTCGGATCGCGAGACAGAAGGTGTCGAAGTCACATTTGTTTTTCCTGCAACTGCAACGATACTCGTTCCTTTCACTTGTTGAAGACCCCTGTCACACTGCGTTATTCTGTTCATCTTATTGTAGAATTCGGACAATGATTCAAAATCTTGCAACCGCGCTTGAGATTGTAGCATAGGATTATTGAAACCGTCAATAATATAGTCAATTATATCAGCATCACTTAAATTTAACTTATTTCCCAGTAGCACTTTAGCATGATAATACTCAGAGAATTTTTCATTTCGTCTCCAAATCCGCGATTCAAACTTTTTCATTAAGGCAATCTTGTCCTCCCTCACTTGGAACATGGATTGCAATTTTTGTTTAAAGGCATCGTACGATAGTCCAGCATATTCCGGCTTGGAGTAATACCACTTCAAAGCATTTCCTGTTAATTTACCTATGGAAATGACATGCAATACATCATCTGGAACACGGTACGTATTGCGTACGATTTCAATGCGGTTAAACCAATTTTCGACAGTCTCCTCATCACCACCTCCGAAGTTCGGTATTAAAGCACCAATTTCCGAGTTTTTAAATTTGTGTAAATTTGTTCGTTCGTTTGATACAACAGCTGATTGTAACCCGGCTTGCGATGGCTGTGACTGAGTAACGGCTCGAATGGTAGCTTCAATAACATCTTGCAATGTAATTTGCGATCCCCCTTCTAATGACACAGAATCCCCAGGCAAATTCGATAGATTCTCGTTGGACATGTTGGATATTACAATGTCAATCGGATCAAAAACGTGGTCTTCAAATAATCAAAGTTTATCTCACCAATCGTGTAACAAAACTTGAATCTTTCATGCTTTCATCCCACTTCTGACGCTGTAGGGGGTCCTGCTTACTAATACAATAATCAATAACAATATTCAATAATGTTTATTAAATAAAATGCGGGGAACTGAACCACACAATGTGACTAATACAACACAATTCCATCAAACTGAATATAGTCAACCTCCTGCATGCAACTTAAAAATACATTCTACCAACTATACATAAGTACCAACTTAAACTAAAGGCGCGTAATTTCAAAATTCAAATCTTAGTTTACTAAATAGTATATTTTAGAATATTAGTTTTATGTAAACTATTACATTTATTAGTTTAGATTTTAGAATACTAGAAACATATGGTTTACGGTCAGTCTCTGTGAATCACCCTGTACAACATACGCCTACTGTCAGCATATTACTGGAATTTGACATCAATTTTGCTTAAATTGTTGCTTTATTTTTTCCCACGTCCAACAGTAAAATCAATTTGTTCATTACATTTAGCTAAATAATCTCGCAATTAAATTAATGAACAATTTTTGTCATAAAAGAATTTTCCAGTAACGCACTTGCGCATGCGTCCGCATTCATTTATTTTAGTTCCAAATGCCGTAGAGGAAACGGCGGTAGTGAAAATCCCAAGAGGACGCCAACCGCCATTACTAATTTTAGTAATATTTCTTACTTTTGGTAACTTTAATTTATTTGGCGGGTGAAATGGAAAATCAGGAAGACGAAGAATCTCACCAAAGTTCCCACGGTATAGACGTAATTCAAGTACACTTCAGTCCGACGTACCAAACCACTTTGTCCACATCGCATCAGCAAGCGGAAACTATCGGAAATATTAAAGGAAAGTATTACAAGCAAACGTACAGAACAGCATGGGAAAATATGCCGGATTTTAGAGGTAAATTACTAGGGGGGTTAAAGGTGGGAATGTTAACTTGATGTTACTAGGATGGCTCCGAGGTGTACAAGGAGAACCTACCCGAGCTTACTGTATGTACTGTCAGAAAACGTTACACGCCCATCGTCTCAGTCTTCTTAAACACACCTGCACGATAAGACATCAGAAGGCCGCACAAATACACAACATCCGAAAGGTAAGGTTGCGTATACATTCCTGATTTTATATCGAAGCTTGTGTAGAATAAGGAGATGTCGCAGTCTCAAGAAATTCATATAAGCGGTGCCAACACCACTGGCGAGCACGACGGGCTTAACGCCGAAGAGGAGGCAGAGACCATAGTCGAGTACGCCGAGTTTGAGGACAGCCTTGCCGACGACGAGGAAGGCGAACACGATGAGGATGTGGAAGATGAAGAAGAGAGCATGCCTTTGGATGCTATGTCGACCGAAGTATCAAAAGTGAGTATGTTTAAAAATAAGTGCTTACGGTAAACAAGCAGATAACATTGACCTGTTAATACATTACTCAGTGATATGAACGACATTGACGTGGTTAAGTTTAATAACAGATTGTCTGTTATTGAAAATCATTTGAACGCTTCAACTGTAAGTTTTTATTACTATTTCCATTGACTTTGCGTCTATTTGATTTAGAATTGTGAAGTTTTTTTAATGCCTACTCAATACAGGGTGTTGGTATCTGATGAATAAATAATTTAAGATTTTGGCAGTTGGCATTATCATTGAGTTGTCAAATCCAATAAATATAAGCGACCTCTATTAGAAAGATTGCAAATTACATAAGGAGATTACTTATATACAATTGTTTTTCCTGTAATCACAATCTAATAATAAGGCAACACAAATCGGTACTTATACCTCGACTTTATACACTAAGTTAAGGCTCTCCCCTTGATGAGAATGCGACAAGTACCAAAAGATATGTTCTGTACAGCATCCAAAGACCAGGAGATTTGGAAAACACTTTTAGATGTAGATGTGTTATATTTCCAATTAAACCTACTTTCCTTATGTAATGTACATAAAATTATACTAGCACTAAACTAACGGAATTAATACAATTTCAGCAATTCCGTCAAAATATACCCATTACAATGGCTTCGGCCAAACCGCCAATAACAACTCACGTATTGGATACTTCAAGAGGTACACCTGTAACTGGTCTACAAGTGAGCTTATACAAGTTAATTGACGGCCGGTGGACGTACATCAACGAAGGCGTCACCAATTCTGATGGTAGATTTGGAAACTTCTTGGAGAGGTCGGATTTTACGCCGGGGCGCTACAAGTTGCACTATGATGTTGATAGATTTTTTGAGGCGAGAAAACAGGACACTTTGTACCCGTTTATTGAGGTGCATTGACTTTGTAAGTTTAGGACAGTTAACCTTTATGAATTTTTCAGATTGTCTTTGACTGTAGAGCGCCGAACGACCATTACCATGTGCCTCTTCTGCTGAGTCCGTTCGGGTACACCACATACAGAGGAACTTAACCGCCTTCAGCAATACACTTTAAGTTAGATTAAGTATTGTACTGACTCACTTATCTTTCAGTTTAGTTTAAGTAATGGGATGGGATGATCGCTGTGGTTATTTCACTAATTCTTGAATAGTCTGGAAACCCTTTATTCGCCATTTCAATTAGAGAAAAATGTAGGATTCCTCAATGTTTAATTGGTTGTAATACATTTTATACCTTAAAACTATAGTATTTATGATTTTGTACGATGTAATACCAATGATGAATTAATTATAGAAGTAAAATAAAAAATGTTCTTATTGAAAATTCAAATCGTTAATCTGGGTGGAAACAAATATAGAGAAGCAGGAAAAAGTGAGGTTATATATCTCGTTCAATCACAACTTTATTTTAAAGCCTATGTAATCCTATCAGAATGAGGCAGAATACTTTCATAAAGTATTTGAACACATAACTACTTTTGCGTCCAGCACGAGGAAATACTTCGAAAATAAATACTTTAAAAGATCCATTATCGTGAATATGTAGCTTACAAAGCTGGTCAGTATTGATTGTAAATCAATTACTATACTTTGTAATTTAATACTTGCGACGAACTTCCCCCTTAGCTCGTGCACGAACGGTATTCTAAATGATGGAAAGCACAATTATTTCAAGTTCATTTAATTGTCGAACAATAATATAATTGTACAATTCAATTATTACACCGGGGACGGTCGGTCGGTCACTCGGGCGCCACCAAGACTTAATCTGCACCCCCTAAGTCTTGGGAAAGGGGCGGTCTTGTCGGACGGGGTGGAAAGCCTCCGGGTATCCTCTAGTGGAGAACGGAATCTACCAGGGATCGGTAAGAGTTCACCACAAAATGGCGGCGGTCACTTCCGGATTTTCTAAAACAAAATATGGCCGACGGTAAATTTCCTAAAGGGAATAAAACAATAAATCAATTAGCGGTGTCTAGGGGAAATAAAAGCGGAAAAGCAAGGAGAACAGAATATAATGAAGTTTAACGGAACGGTGGCAAAAGGTTACGGTTGTGCAAAAAAGGGAAACTCAAAACGGTAGTGAAAAGGAAAGGACAACGGCTTGACTTACGGTCGCTCAAACGGTAAAGCGGTAAAACAAAAGGGTTTCGGTGGATTCGGAATGATACGGTTTCGCAAACTAGAGAAATCAAAAGGCGTACTTACAACTCGAAAGTATGAAGCAGAAAAGATCCCTCCCAAATTGAGCATTTTCCTTTTAAAGGAAACCAATTTTGGTAGAAGTGGAACAGTGAATTTCCAAAATAGGGCGGTGCTCGCACCGAGCGCGGTAGAAAATAATTCGGTTTTTAATTAATTGAGGCTCCTGTGATTACCTTAAAAATCTGGGACAACTTGCAAACAACTAGAAAAATTAGAGCGGCTCTGTGGACACCTCTCTCGACGATTTCTGACAAGGTTTACTACTGCCCATTAACATGGCATTAATTAACAGCGCTTACCTAATTAAGCGTAATCAAACCTAAGTACTCATCACTCCAATCTGCAACTAGCTCCTTTGGACTTTTTCTTCTCAAACGGCGCTATCGCTTTAACACTCTTATCGCAACATGCAGGCATACGGACGGGACTGCAAAACTTGTAAACAACTCGATTTGAACTCGTTCTATCCTTGATTTTACTTATTATGGGAATCTAAAACATCTTATAAATAATTAACGGCGCTGAAACCAAAGAATATTAATTGCCCCTCATTTTCGCCAGGACAACATCCTTCGGTGGTTACAAAAAATAACGCGGTCTCCTTGCGTAACGAAGCCCAAACCAATCGTTACATACAGGGTGGTCTTTGTAAACGGCAAACTTAATGGAGAAATTCCGGGTGCTTCGTTACATACTTTAGGGACGAAGTATTTGTAATAATATATTTATTATGCGAAAAAATACCTACAGACTTTCAACAATGGATTCAACATAGCATAACATCATTCAAAAACCAAACGTAAAAAATTCGTCGGAGGGGTGAACCACTGGTGAAGTGTGGTGTACAAGTGTGATGAAGTCCGTGAAGTTCATATGAAGTTTTGGTGAAGTCCATGGAATATTGGTGAAGTACTGATGAAGTTCGTGAAGTACTGATGAAGTCCATGAAGTATTGGTGAAGTTTAAGCGAACTATTGGAAAAATGCATGAAGTTGTGGGGAAGTTTATAATCAAATCCGTTAACAAAAATGTAGTAATTCAATTCTCGGTTGTAACTACTATGCAAAATTAAATTTCTGCGAAATAAAACTGAAAGGTAAAAGTATGTCTATATTTATGAATGACTATGTCCATTTCTACAAAATAAAAGGACAGTTACACAGGCGACAGACGCCCTGATGAGACAGCAACTCGTAAGACGTATTTTTGTGTGCAAAGATCGTAAATTGTTACCTTTTTAAAAATTTAATAAATCCTTTCCCTTATTTCCATCAGGTTCAGGTAGCTAAATAACACTTCCATAACACTTTTATTAGGTATATTTATTAAAATAAAATCGACAGACGGAAAATTTGTCACGCGGATAGCGGCTTTTGTTTTCCTTAAAATTTCAGCACCCTCCACAACTTAGTAGGTACATCAGCCCCTCCCAAATCAAGTTCCTGGCCATTGTATAATGTCAATCCGGAGGTCAATACTATCCCACAAAGAACTTTCTTGAAAATAATCCCCTAAAAAGGATTAAGAGTTGTGGGGGAAGTACTTATTGTGTTCAGCCTGGTAATATGTTACAATACCTTTTACAAGACCTAAGCAATATTTTCCCGCTTATTTTGTTTGTTGAAATGAAATTTTTAAAAGAAGAATTGGACACCTTTACTTATATGGTATAAAAAGCCAGATATCGAATCTGTTAATAAACGTTATATTTTAACAGGACCCATTAGAATTAATTAGGAAGTGAACCATTTCGAAATTCAGAAATTTGATAAGAAAATCTTATACAATCTTAACAAGTAGAAAAGGTGCAAAACTCCTGTCTAGATAAAGATAAAGGGCAATTTTTAAACCGAAATTGCTTAGTTATCGATATTAACTTTCTTAGTAGATGATTAATATGGGGAGGACATTCAAAATCCTTCGACAACCCCGATTGATTTTGCCTTTGAGAGTACTTTTCTCCGATAAACCGTTTTCGAGGATATTCGCTCCACAATGGATATATTTCTTTAAGACGTCCCAATCGCCCTTTGTGGGTACCCTCTTTCGACATTATATTTGTGGAGCTATATGGGAATGTATCCAATTACGGTAAGGAGTTGAAGAGGAGGACTATGGTTTGTAGAAATTAATTCCTTTCATTAGAGTACCATATAGCATTGATAAGGGGCGAGAAAGATGAGCGATAGTTGGCAGAGAACGGTTCCTGTCGTTGAGAACTTTAAATAGAATATCATGACACCCCCCCCCCCCACGTACTGAACTCGAAAAACAGTCGCGTGGTAACGTTATATTTTGTACAAACCAATTTATTTCGATGAGACAATAAAGGGTGGAACGTGTGTACTCCCCCTCCCCCATTTTCAAATTTTTTACTATACCACTAAAGTCATGCGTATGCAAAATCTGAGACCAATTGATGGCTGTATGTAAAAGTAATGTACGTTTTACTTTTACTTTCAAAAACAGCATCTCAGGAAATAATTGATGGGAGGCTACCTCCCTTAAGACGGCGAAATTTGATGGCCGTCTGGCACACCTTCAAGGTTATACCTTTAGGGCTCCCTACTGCACAAAATTCCAGGACTCTAGGACCATTCCCCTAAAAGTAGTTCACAACCGCAGAAGTGGGTCCGGACGAACGGGCAAAACGCAAACAATACCACATTTTTTTAAATTTCTTAAAAACTTGAGTCAATTCAATTTCGTATATGTACTTACCTCGATGTATAAACAAAATATATATATTTGTACTTTGTACTATACCGTTTCGTTTTTTGTTATGCCTCTATTATCAATATTATTATTAGTAATATTATTATCAATACATTCTACATCTTTTACTGCTTTGTTTTAATTGCAAGAACGCTAGAAAAAGGGTAGGATGATGGGATTTTGCCCAGTGCAAAATATCAGTGGAATTCATAAAGTATCAGAGAAGTCCGTGAAGTTTTGGGTGGAATATATGAAGTATCGTGAAGTCCGTGAAGTTCGGTGAAGTATTGGTGAAGTCCTTGAAGTAGGTATTGGTGAAATACGTGAAGTATGAAATTTGGTGTACACGATTTGGCCTAGCGATTTACCCCTCGAAATTGTCTAAATCATACAACTATCCACGCACGCGATTGTTCCTGAATTGGTTTCACATTCAAGTGGAAATCAATTCTCATGTTTTCACTTGGACAAAAATTGTTTGCGGTAGCAAGACCAGAAATTTCGCAGTCTACTGTGTACTGTTGAGAAAATCTAATTTCATTTTTCAGTAAAAGGAGGCTATTGAGAGGTTCCACCCTGTATATAGAACCTACGCTGATGCACACATTTTTGAAAGCTGGCCACCACGCAATTTTTATGAGGGGAAAACTTAGACCATATAGTACATGGACTGCTAATTGTAACTAAAATATGGTCAAGGACATCGCCTGGGTATGTGAGTTTCAGGGTAAACGAGTCTGTCCGAAAAGACGATTTGAGACTGTCAACCTATAAATTAACAAACGTCAATTAATTAATCGCCTAGATATCCCAAAAAAAGCAAACTTATTCTTATTTGTGGACGTATAGCAAATAATGAAGAGCATTTAAAGCTTCCCGTACTAGGCGGTTACTATAAAGCTGCTCTTTAAGCGATCCTAGTGGTGTTTACACTTTAGTTTACCCTGAGATTCACATACCCACGACTACAGTGCCCTCTATCCGTGACCATCCATTTTGTATTGAAAGCATAGGGCGAATAGCAGTCCATGTACTATATGGTCTAAGGGGTAAAAGCTCTCTGCGCCAGTTGGAGAGCACTAACGCGGGTTGCACTTGGTACAATCACGAAAGTATCGCTTGTAAAAGTTTGTTATTTAATCCAGGTAGTAATCTTTGCATTTGTTTATAATGTACCTATTTGCGTTTTGTATGCAGCATTTTATCATTTTGTGTTTCAATCTTTGATTTTGAAGTTGACCTGATTTAACCTAAATGCAGATTCATGTATTTGATACCGTTAACTTTTTGTATAGAATCGAGTTCATTTTTGGTGTAATGTTTGCTTACACAATCTTCATAATAATAACAAAAATTATAAAACATTATTAATTTAAACCAGGTTGTGTCCCTATTTAGACGAGATTTTCGGGAAAAATGAAAATTTACCGATTTCATATCTGGCAAACACTCTAATTTTTCCTATTATGTATGTATTTAGGTGTTTTTCTTTGACAAAGCTGTTACTTTTGCTAATTACATAAGCCCCAAAAGGACCCCCGAAATTCAGGTTCTGCCTTTGGGCTACAGCAACGTTTTATTAGGCACAATAACAATTCAAGACATTTTTTTTAAGACATTTTACTTTTTTGCTTCTTTAAAGTTCTCTCCTTAGCTTTCTCATACAATGGCATAAGTTTCCCTTCCTTAGCTAAAAGTTTCAAAATTTCAACAATTAAAGGTAAATAATTATGCTTTCTTCTTATATTTTCAATTTGGTATTGGCGCTGCTTGTTTTCCTCTTCTTCAATTAGCAACCTTAAGCGCGCCAATTCAGTCTGCTGGCCGTCCGTCTCCATGCCACTATCTTCGACCTGCTTTTGTAATTGTTGAATTTGTCTGTCGTACAGCATTTTTTTATCAGACACTATCGCCATTAAATTAAAATGAATTTCTCCTTCACTATACCTATAAAATATCAATAAAAATCGTACCCAACTCACAACTTATCAACTAACTTTTGTATCCGTTTATCAATGATTGGCCTTACAAAATCCGTCCAGTCAGTATCAGCTGGAATGGGACCCAAATCGAGTGGGCCGGGCTTGAGGCCGTCCAATTCGTATAGTCGTCCGTCTATTGGTATGTACCCCACATAATGAAACACATCATCACTTTTTGCCGTCATGGAATTGTCAAATTCAAACAAAGTTTGACGTGCGAAGGAGTTATGTACCGATCTAATGACGGGAGAATTGCTAATCGTTAAACCCTTCATGTTTGCATCGAAACCTTGGCAAAAATCTCTAAGTTCCGTTAATGTCGTGCCTAATTTCAAGTCGGAATGGCGACAATTCAGCAATACACTGAGAATGGCTTGAGTGGCGCAGGCATTTTCTATAACTTGTTTCGCAAAAAATATTTTATCCAGTCTGCTGTCTTGTACTATCGATCCCGAACATTCGTCATCCTTGGCCCATTTAAAAAGAAATATTAATCCGTGAATTGGTCTGTAAAATAATGAGTGAGGTTATGTACCACAACAAATATCAAATATACTTCAAATTTTCAAATTGTTCGCCATCTAAGCTCCATAATTCTTCTACTTGGACACCTTTTACGCCTTAAAAAAGAGTGTAACCGCCTTGAACTGCTAGAATAAGGGATGCTTACCAAATTCTCTAATTAACTCGCTGAAAACCCCAGGATCACTTTCAATTAAACACCAATTTCCTGCAGGTTCAGACATGATTAAACTTACACTGGACTTCAAAGAAAAATTCGCTGCAAGTACACTTAAATAAAGAAAACTAAAAATACAACAGACTGTTCTCTTTTTAGGTTAGCGTGATTGTACGCAAAATGAAAACGAGAACCACCAACCAAAAGCGCTTAGACATAAAAATCCCTATATAACGCTTTCGCATACAGGGTAGGGCATTGAATTTATAACTATGGGGGGTAAGAAATAGAAATTGGATTGCAGGTTGCTGATGCTGGTAGTCATTTATCTATTTATTATTGTACAGGCGAAAAAGATTAGATTAGAACGATATTTATAAATTCAATGGGTTGGGTATTCAAACTTCAAAAAATTCTCGTCAACTTCACAATTTGTGAACTTAGATCATGTTTATATGATCTAAGTTTGTGAAGGGGCATCTACATTCTACTCGTATATTTCTGTTAGCGGTATTTAAATAACAATAGGTCAAACATCTGTAGTGTACTCAACCCCCAGGTTCTACACTTAACTTCACACTACAAGAACACGGAAATAACGTCAACCCGGCAACGTTTAAAAATGGCCACCCGAATGACTATTCCCTCCAAAACTAAACAAGATCCCGCTTAAATTTGAAAAGTAGCACGTGATAAAACATCTAAGGGAGGGCCCTCTTACGTTAGTTGTAGACAACGCTTTGACCTGAAGCACAGTAGGGAAGGAACTTTAAATAAAACACTGACGGCCGGTTGCAGGAAAGCGAATTATAATCAGTCCTAGATTATTTGTCAAATCCGAGTTTAAACAAGAATTTTGACATTTGATTGGCTACCTACTGCAATATAAAGCTAATCGAATGTCTTAATACGGGATTAAACAATAATCCTGGATTATTTTTTTGTGCAACTGGCCGTGAAATTGTGAAAAGTTTGTTTAATAATGATCGTAGTTATTATGATTATATAAGCCCGGAAATTTAGTTGATGTAATATATACAAAGCAAGCAAAGCCAAAAGGTGTCGTACTTTCGCAAAAATAACTGCCAAGGGTAAAAAGAGTACGACGTAAGAAAAACCTCGCAGTTTGATTAATACAGTCCAAAAGTTTTATTAACAAAATATCTTGTAAAAGTTTAAGCAGTAGTTAACAAAGATAGTAAATGCATATACACCAAGTTGGTTACACTCCAGGTTAAAAGCAAGTTTTTGGGAACAATGGGTCAGGTAGGAGCAGGTACCTAAATTCTGACAAAGGGTTAAGAGTACATGATGTGACTCATTTGGTGCAATAATGTCCTTTTGTTAAAAGCAAGATGGAAAATTACATGGCCTTGTAGGCAAATTTAACTAAAAACAAGATGTGGAAATTATTTGAATCACCACTCATTTATCGCACATAGATTCTAAACTGAAGAGCTTTGATTAGCGTAATCTCGCTACTGCAAGTAGCCCGCCCCTGGTTTCGGGGTTTCGAGCCTAGTTGGATGTCAAAGACAATCACGGAATTAGGTGTCGTACTTCAAATTTTGACTACAGCTTTTTTACCACCCCCATGACTGCTTCATTCACGGGGAAAATTGTTAGTAACAAACAACAAGTCCGTACATACCTCAAACGAATCGGTAATTTCCACATATTAAAATAAAATTATCAAAACTTACATGAATGTTACTTCAGTTCCAAGACCAAGTAATCAACATCAATAAACATAAATTAAGCAAACATTACATCAAAAACGTAAACAATTACAAACAATAGCATAACGGTATCACACACGTGATTCTGCATTACGGTTAAACCAAGTAAATTTCAAAAATAAAAATTGAAACATAAAAAATTTAAAATGTGGCATACAAAACACAAATACGATATAAAGAAATGCAAAAATTAATACCTGCATTAAATAACGCAAAATAACAACAAACATTTATGGAGCGAGACGCGTTCACGACCGCCATTCAACTTTCAAGACAAGATGCCAAACGTAACCCCCGTTCGTGCTTTCTAGGTGGCGCAGGGAGCTTCTCCCCACCTAGAAATTGCATGGTTGCCAACTCTCAAAAATGTATGTGTCGTCGTAAGTTGTATATACAGGGTGGAACCTCTCGACGTATTCTAAACGGCCCTTGATGTTCCTCATTGGGATAACTGAAAACGCATTAGTTTGTTCCATGTTTTATATTTAATATTATTTATTATGCCTTGTTGAAACAAATTGTTTTACATAAGACACTAAATATAACTACCTATTCACATTGATTTCAGACCAAGTACGCCATCAAGAAATAAAATACGCGCGCATTCTCACCTGGGTATAATTTTAATCATCTTGAGCAATCTTACCTCTACTTAACTCCTCCTCTTAATAACTCTTTGGTAATAAGTACACACGTACTCGGTCTACAAATATGCCTATACACACAGTTTAAGCAAACAAATCGAGAGATTTTTACTTCTACATGCACATGTATAATATATTGTTAAAAAATATGAATTTACCATGTTCTCTAAACAGTCATAAAAGATAATCTGTAATCTATAAAATTTTGAGGTAAAATGTATTCCAAAAATATACTTACAATTATCGAACATTTTACGTCTATGAAGAAACAATCATTATTATTAGTAACATTAAACATCATCCAACTTTAACAGAAATCTTAGCTTGCAAAAAGAAGCTTTTGATATGGTGGAAGCATTAACACTGAAGCTATATGGAATATTTTAGTCACAACAATTTCTGTTCAAGCTGGTTATATGTAATTTTGTTGAACCATATGATGAAACGTCACCCTGTAGTAAGACTAATTTTCATGAAGCCACCAAACTCTCACATAACTCCTCCGCCTCCTACACGAAATTGCACCCATTTTTGGATCCAAACTGATGATTGATACTCATGAGTTCACAAACCTTTACAATTAACAAAACCGAAATTGGACCCAGAGTTGTGTTGGACCGATGTTTCTTGTTTGTTACTTATACTGTGTATAGCAGTAGGTATTTTCGAGTGACATAAACATAAAGAAAAGCAAAAGCAGAAAGTTTCACATTCAAAAAATGTATTTCTCTAATTTAGTGAATACCTACACCCAATTTTTACCTTTGTCTACCCTGCAATAATTTACATTTAGCAACCTCAGGAAAAAAAAAGTAAATAATTGAAGTTTTAGTAGAAATGCTGTGCTCCCTGCTACCCCGCTTGTGGGCCGTATTTGGCGGTATGTTGCGCCCCCTACTGCACGTCATGTGCACCCTGCCATCCGACGGTACAAATATTGTTCTCAATTACCTAACTTAAGTAACTGTTCGTTATTTACAGTGCTAGCATCGCTACGATTAGACCCCATTAAAAGTCGAGGCAATTTTGCAATGTACTTTATATAAATGAGGGTTTAGAATTATTTCTTGTGTTCTTTAGTCTAATGACTGTAATCAGTACCTAGGCATTCTAATAAAAATTAAGGACAAAGGTATATTTACTGACTGAGAGAGATTATTATCGTCCTTGAAAGGAATTACGTCCTAACAAGGTAGGATTGTTGTTTCCCCAAGTATGGGTTGCCATTTACTGTTTGATGACAGATGATCTGATTAACTGAAAATTTAAATCTCCTCATTTGTTTCTGTTCTTATAGCAACCATAAACAAACAAATAAAAATTTTGGCAACACACAAATTTTGCTCCTTAAATTCTTTGTAAACTTCCAACCCAAGAAGAAATATGCCTTGCTCACCTTGCTGTGCACCCTGCTACCCATGTTTCTACCCTGTTTGCGCGCCATGTTATCCTGTCTATTGCGCTCCGGTTGTGTGCGCACCCTGCTGCCCCCCTTGCGGACCCTGCCCTCCTAAGGTAGTACAAGTGCTATTTTACAAATTCCTGCTTAACCTTTGAATTTTTGTAGTGCTAGCAATGTTACGGAGTGGATTCTTCAGTACATTTTAGAGACTAAGGCAATGTAACAACATAAATTAATAAATATTTGCAACTAGAAAAGTTTGAATTTTAAAGTTTTTAATTTCCAAAACCCATGATGCCTCACGAAATGGATGTCGGCTGAGACCAGGAGCGAGTTTCTGGTTCGAATCCAGGTTTGCACATGGAAGTTTTGTAAGTGTACATAGTGTTCATTGGGTTGGTATAGCAGTGGTATCGGATAACACCTTGCTCACTGAAAAATAACGGTCAAAAGTAAAATAAATCGACTGGAGAGTTACGCGAAAAATCTGTTTGTATGATCTAAGAAAACAACCCATTTTTAAAATGCAGATAAGTGGTTTGTTACCTAAAGAACATAGGAGATTCAAAGTTAAAAACAAAATTTAATGAATAGCTACGTGGTATATTTAGGAAAGTGATCTTAAAGGTGCACAGATAACTATCAAACAAGGAAATGAAACATACAGTTACCAGGAAAAAAACTTTAAAAGTAGTTCAAGAAACTTTCTCAAAGTTTGCACCTGCATTTTGTAGAATGTGAAACAGCACCCCATGACTGTTCGTCGAGAATATGACATTATAGTAGGTATTACCTTTGAATGTAATAACCTGACGGCATACCTCTCGGACTTCTCTTCTAAACAAGAATGGCACGCGGCTGGTTTTATAACTTCGCTAAAAATTCAATTTCAGTGCACTTAAATAACGGTAGAAAAAAATTCATGGAGAGTGTACGTGATCGCTCGCAAATTGGTTTCAAATCTAATTTTTAACGCAGCCAAATAGTACGTTTTGACTTACGAACTTAAAACGAGAATCTCTCACTCTCCCACTTCTTTCCCTATTTGAATCTCGACCAGTAGAAATACAGAACGAAACCACCTCGACTAGCGTACCCTTTTAAACGAATGGTAAACCTGCATTTTTGTCACGTGTTCGGCTTTAAACAGAACGGAACTAAACTTTTAGATCCTAAAAGATCGTGGCCACCATGATCGCTTTTCGAAATACACTTTCTGTTATCGCTGGTTATCACCAGACATACTTTCGTTCACGTTCGCTATGAAGCGGCACATGTGTCAGTTTTCCTATACTGAACGAAATATAAATTCGAAAAACTTAGTTAATTCTAAAGCGACCACCTGTTACAGTCCATCTTTAAAAACAGCTGAGATACACTGCAGTCTCCACCAAAATATGACACACTGTACAGGGTGAGTCAACGATTGCGCGGAGTAACTTAATACCTTGAAGATAAGATTTTTCGATAGAATGCTTTTGTATTATGATATGGGTTCTCCACATTTTAAAAATATTTGGAATTATACAGGGTGCGCCCACAAAGTAGGGCGCCCAAATGGTACATTTTTTTTTAAATAGAACCTTCTGTATTTGAATGCATTTTTGAATTCTACATGTAATTGTACGTCTTTTTTATTATATGGTTAATATCCGAAAAGCTAGTAATTTTAAAAATAATTCGATTTTTAAGAAAAATTTGGCATTTGCAAGCGTCAGTATATACTGTCAAAATTATTACTTAAATTTTGATTCCAGGTTTTCTATCTTTTATCCTGGGTTAAGTAAAAGTCAAATAAATACATCTACTATGAAACATTAAAAAAAATAACTTACAGGGTATTTTTTCTAGATCCAAAGTTACAAAACTTCATATTAAAAATCTCACTGTTTTTAAATGGAACACCCCGTATATTTTTCTGTCATATTTTAGCTCCTCCAAATGCAGATAAATATTGCCTTTTTTTGCATGGCCACCTCACTATTATTTAATTACATAAAACTTATTTAAGATTAGAATATAAAACCCAGGAAAACCAAGATATTTCGAAAACTATCAGAGATAGGTATAGGACATCACTATCAAAAGTTGAAGGTTTTTGGAGGAGCTAAATGATGACAGAAAAATATACAGGGTGTTCCATTTAAAGTGAGATTTTTAATATGAAGTTTTGCAGATTTGGACCTACCAAAAAAACACCCTGTAAGCTATATTTTTAATGTTTTATAGTAGATTCCATTTAAAAAAGTGCGATTTTTCAATATGAAGTTAAATCCCAGTACTTGAAGGACCGACGACCTTAAGGATTCTGGTTTACAGAATGGCTCCTATATTTCAAACACATTTGCACATGTACCGCTTCATAGCGAACGTGAACGGGAGTGTGTCTGGAAATGAAAAGGGATAACAACACGAATTAGTCGCTTCTATCCCGAGGTCGCCGGAAGAATTTCTTCAACCTCGTGAAACTTGCGCAAACTATCCCTACCGACCCCAGCCGGAGCTTCGAATTTTTAAACTCGCACGCGCACCTCAACGGTCACGCTACCCAGCCACTCAGGCGAACTTCCCAGAAGCCATTCTCTCAGAATCGATGTGTATTTACTTAAAGAACGTCGCATAAAAATTTCATCAAAATTGGTGCGTTTTAAAAGAAATTAAACATAAAAAACGATAACTTGCCTGAGCCTAAAAGGCAACTGACGTCACAAGGCTAGCACCGTTTTCTAGCCTCTTTCAATCCCATTACTCAGCAAATTCATTTTTTTTTCAATTTTTTTATTTGTGTGACGTGTTAGTGATTAAGTAATTAAGTCTGCCGAATTATAAGTAAAACAGAATAGAGAAAATAAATGACCCTTTCCCTAGAATCATCATGGGATTATCTGTATCCTCATATAAACAAAGTGCTCATATGTAGGGGGGTATTTCATACCCCCCGGTGGTATGTTCGATGGCACTTTACTGAAATCTGTAATGACAGTGGTGAAACAAGACAGTTTTGGCAGAGAAGGCAACACCGGGGGGTCTGGAATACCCCCCAGCGAAGGGAAAATGAATGACCCTTTCCCTAGAATCATCATGGGATTATCCGTATCCTCATATAAACAAAGTGCTCATATGCAGGGGGGATTCCATAGCCCCCACACCCCCGGTGGTACGTTCGATGGCACTTTATTAAAATCTGTAATGAGAGTGGTGAAGCAAGACAGTTTTGGCAGAGAAGGCATCACCGGGGGTCTGGGGGTATGGAATACCCCCCAGCGAAGAGAAAATGAATGACCCTTTCCCTAGAATCATCATGGGATTATCCGTATCCTCATATAAACAAAGTGTTCATATGCTGGGGGGTATTCGCTGGGGGGTATTCCATACCCCCCACACCCTGCGATGGTACGTTCGATGGCATTTTACTGAAATCTGTAATAAGAGTGGTGAAGCAAGACAGTTTTGGCAGAGAAGGCAACACCGGGGGGTCTGGTGGAGTATGGAATACCCCCCAGCGAAGGGGAAATGAATGACCCTTTCCCTAGAAATATCCAGCACTGCAAATGGAAATAAATCAAACGATTGCACGCTTGGATCTTTGACAGTAACAGCTAATGACAGTTCGACAGTTTAGTTGGCAATACAACCTACGGGCTTACAAAATTCGACATTTGACATTTGTCAATAATTGATTATTTTGGTGACTTTCTTGTTCGTTGCATTATCCTGCCGAGTTACACTCAAGGTTTGTATTTAAACAGAGTAAATTTGTGTTGTTGAAATTCAAATATGTTTCCTTTAGCAATTTGACTCGAAAATCATCTAAAAATGCTCCACCATGTTTATTAAAGTGCGTTGGCACCTCCAGATGCAGTACAGGGTCTTATCGACTCAATGGCCCATATGAATAAAAGTAAGCAAATGCTTATACTTGCAAAATTCAAAGTAAATACTCGTAACTGCCCCTTCATACTGGTCTGTTTAGCATGGTTTAGCAGCGCTGCACTGCGTCCTGTCCTTCTGCTTAGAATCGCTGCTAAGTCGCCCAGTGTGAAGGAGTACTTACAAGTATTTACTTTGAATTTTGAAAGTATAAGCATTTGCTTACTTTTATTCATACGGGCCATTGTCTCTCTTACTAATTTACGTCATTCTGCGATAACGCTATCCTTGTTCCTCACTACAATGATGCCAAACCGATATATGATTGAATCGAAATATAAAAAAAACAACATAATCTCCTTGTGCTGTCATTGTCACATTTGGTACGTATGTACTGTATGTCTATAAGCACCATATTGTATCTGGAGATGTGAACGCGCTACAGTTGACAGTTTTTCTCGTCCAATTGCTAGGCAACAGATTTTCTATAGACACCCAAATTTACTCAGTAAAATACAAACCTATTTCCCAAGTAACACAGTTTTTAGCAATTTTTTTTTAAGATAAAATGGTAACTTTGAAAAATGGAATAACAGAATAAGGGCACCTTCCTTTTGTACAGTACCGCTTAGCTTTTTCATTAGTATGGCAGAATACTCTTTTAATACGAAAATAAAGCTCAAAAAAACATGTCTAAATTAATGTAAGACTACAAATTATAATTTAGAAGTATTTCAAATCTAAGCAGTCACAATTTACTAAAAAAGGTACAAGATTGCGTTTGTATAAATAGACATCAGTTTGGATCCGATTGTATAACAGAGAACGATTTAAAAACTTCACAATGATCATACACCATAACCTAACTACAAACAAAAAATTGCTTTAACAATCATCGTCCGTCAACACAATGAACATTACAAAACATTTAAAACAATAAATTGCCCTAACCATGTAACTAATAACAATCAACAAAGATAAAAATTTAAGGAAACAAAAGTATTTGACAAAAATCAATAGTAAAGTTATAAAATACTGCACGAATATTGCTATTTACCCCGAGATTCGCCACTGACAACACCTTTTATTTGCGAAAAAATACTCCCCTTAGCCAATCCAAACTTCGGGCCCTTTCGCAATGCCGCGTTCGGCCCGCACGCTTGATAGGTACGCGCCTGACGCAAGTAGGGATTTGGCCCTTTCGCCAAACCTTTCGTCGGCCCTTGATACAAAGAGGGACCTTGCCACTTCACATAGTCCTCCCTATGACAACGAAAAGTGATAACCTCCGATTACGTCGGAATACTTACAAGAGCAGTTCTTGATCGGCTCCTTTGGCCAATCGGCGATTGGCGCCTGTCGGAAGTGAAGCATTTGAAGACCTGTACTCGCCGCCCATGTCATCTGTTCTCTCCTCGATTATTCTAAAAGTGACGCGGTTTGTTGACATTCATTTTAGAAGAATAATCAATGGGATTATTGATTTTATACAAACTGACCTACTAAAACTCGAACTTCCTTTGATAGAATAGTCGCTTTTTTCGCTCTTAAGCAAGGACTTCAGGGACTGTCGACTTTGAGATATGGGTATTGTTCCAGATAACAGGTCAGTGGCTGTATCTTCCGTGCTGTAAAACGTATTTCGCTTAGAAAGTACAAATTAGAAGACGATCTTTGTCACCTCTCAGTTTGTATTTCCGGAACAACCTTGTCGTTTTCTTCTTTAACCATTATCTCTAAAATTTGATTTGCCCGGTGCTCATCGAAGTTTACGCTCTCCAAAGCGATAGTTACAACCTGACCGGGGATGTCATTGTACTTTTCCTCAAGTGTACTTTGAACTATAAGAAAACTATATCAGTACGTCGGTCAGAAATGAAGTGGGTAGTTTCGCATTGCATAATACACACTAAATGGGAACAGTCGAAAATCGCCCGATCCGGATTTGGAAAACCCACCCATCTCAAGTTTTTCGTGTACTTGCTGTTATATAATTTCTCTAGTAATTAAAAATAAAAACACTCGAGCTCGTTCTTAACAAAATTTTACGTGTATTTTCAGAGGTATCTACAAAAATTCGGTACAACTGAAAACCGAATGATCCTCGAGATCTTCACACATCCATCAATTTTACAACACACCTTAAGGGGTTAATTCTGTCCCACCAGATCAGCATAGTTTGAAAAACAAACATTTTTTTAATCGTCATTAGTTTTACTTTTATTCGATGTGCGTACATACAAAATTTCATTTAAATATCTTAACAAATATCAAATGTAAGATTGCGCATGCGCAAAACTCATTTTTTGATTCGGCATTAGTTTTACTTTTATTCGAGGTGCGTACATGTGAAATTTCATTTAAATACCCCAACAAATAAGAAAATTGGCGTTGCGCAGATACAAAAGTTGGGTTGCGCATGCGCAATTTTTTTAAAATTCATCTGCATTGTTGTCTGCGGTTTGGGGAACTTTTTACTAAGTGTGGTGTCACACTATGCGTTTTTACCGCTCCTGCTAAAACGCTCCTGTTTGACGGGATGATAATATCACACGTTATTAAATGGTACTAGTCACATATATGCGTTTTCGCCGCACCAACCAGATGCAACCGCATCCTGCTGCCGCTGCGCAGGATGACATGACAACCCCAATGACATGAAACCACGTGTTGTTGCACGTTGGTTGTCATCAGTTGTCACACTGAGCGTTGCAACCGGGTGTCTTGTTAGGTTTACAATGTTTGATGTCGGTTTATTCATCGAGTGCGTGCATGCAAAAACTGCACTGTGGGAAAAACAATCTAAAGAGTATGTAGATAAAAGCTGTAGGGAGAAATCATGGGTAGAAATTGAATTTTTGGACATTCGGTAATATACAAAAAAATTTTTCTTGTTCATTCGAATTTTTTCATAAAACTTCGCGAACCTATTATTAGATTCTCGTCCTGAATTAAAAGGATCAATCTAATATTGACAATATATCTGCTTTCGCAATAGCCTCTCCGCCTCAAGCGCACAAACCATCTTTAACAATAATTGAGACATGACATTACTTAGACTGCCAAAATATAGCAAAAACGCATCCCGTTAAACCGGAATAGTGTGACAAGTAGATCTCATCCTGTCAAACCGCATCCGTTTTAGCGGGAGCGGTAAAAACGCATAGTGTGACACCACACTTACTCAGAAAACCGGACATTCATCTGTTCTTTGTAAAAGAATTCTAAAAGAAACCCTTTTTTGGAGGTTTGGGCACTTTTTGGGCTGTAACTTTTTGTCTCGTTAGTCTATGTAGCCCAAAAAGAATAGGGACCTTTCTTATATCCTGAAGAACATGTGTATCCAATTTCAAAGGGATCGGACGTTTCTACACAGTTATCGTGCGCACGGACAGACAGACGAACAGCAACACAAAATTATAGACAATCTCTAGGATCGTCAATAATTAATTAGAGTGTAACAAAGCACCCGTTGTCGTATATGTCAGCTTTTATGCACACCCGGTACATGCATGGAATCGAACCGGCGAAATTTGTAGCCGCCGATAAGGAAACCAAGATGCTGTATCTAATTATTCAGTTTTCTAATTGTTCCCTTAAGAACCATTTTAATTATTCTTGCCGCCTCCGAAAGCTCCCGTCATTTGGAAGACGAGGGAAAATTAATATTTTGTGATTACCGTTCCGTATATTAATTATTAGAAGATTTTAGTTTTCCAATACCAATTTAAAACCAGAATCACAACTAGCAAGGTGCTAACTGGACTACCGAATTTTGGAATTTCAATCCGGTCAATTAAGTAAGCATAATTACTGGTAGCGAAATCAGTCATGTGTTTGGTGCCAAATGAAGCGCGCTTAAAAACATGAATTTTAAGCCGTTTTCTAGATTTTTGGGCTGAGAGGAAACCGAGCAAATAATTAAAGAAGTTTTAATTTTTGAACATTATCACCCGAGTTAGCCATGCTGTTTGGGAAACCCATCGTTCCCTTTCCGAAATTGCATAATTTTATTAAAGGGAAGAACGTCATTTAGAGGGGATACTTTTGCTTCGTGTGCAGTTAGGCTTTGTCAAGTTTCTTTATTTATCTAACCGTACCGTATAATTTCAAGATAGGTGTTTGACACTTTTTATTACCGTTCTTAAAAAGGAGTCTATTTCTTGGTTTCGGTATTCGGGCTCGGCGAGTACATAGGTAAAAAGTATAAATTGTGGGCAACTCTTGAACAGATAAAGTGCATTTGACATTTTGACATCACCAATGGATATATTTCTTGCAGACGTCCCAATCGCCCTTTATGAGTACCCCCTTTCGACAATCCGTTCTTGAGGTATAAGGGAATATACCCGATCACGATAAGAGGTCGAGGAGGAGGGATATGGTTGGTAGAAATTAATACCTTTCGTTGAGATCTTTCAACCTTCAAACTAGTTCCACTCCCCCCCCCCCTCCTCACCGTACTTTGATAAGAGGACAGAAAGAAGGGCAGTAGTTGGTAGAGAACGGTTCATTTCGTTGAGACCTTTAATTAGAATACAATAAGCGATAAAATTAATTTTTAACCCCCCCCCCCCCTCAGGCCCCGTCGCTCACTGATCTCGAAAAAGAATCGCACGAGAAAGTTGTAGATTGTACAAACCAATTTATTTCGATGAGACCTTTCATTAGAATACCATGAAGGGTAGAACATGTATTTAACCCCCCCCCCCCCATTTTCTAAAATTTAACTTGGCACCACTAAAGGCATGCGCATGTAAAATGGTATTAGACCCTATTAGTGTGACGTCAAATTTGAGCGGGAAATTCGAAATGCTGGACTTGGCTGTTTTACTGTCGAAGATATTGACCCCTATCGCCCCATACATTAAGTATCACTTTTAAATAGGTGCTCTTTACGGGCTTATACTGACCTTATGCGCATTAAATAAGCATATCGGCCCTCTTATCTGAGACCAATTGGTTGTCGTATGTAAAAGTTATGCACGTTTTACTATCAAAATCAGCATCTCAGGAAATAATTCGTGGGGGGGGGGCCTTTTAGATAGCGAAATTTGATGGCCCTCTGCCACACCTTCAAGATGTAGGCTACCTACTGGAAAAAATTCCAGGACTCTAGGACCATTCCCCTAGAAGTACTTCGCAACGGCAGAAGTGGATCCGGACGGACAGACAAAACGCAAACAATAGCACATTTTTTTTAATTCTTAAAAAATGCGCTAAAAATAATGGGTAAACAATTTCGAATTTAAACATTTGCCAGTATAGGAAATTTTATACATGTACCACTACATAGTGAAAAAGAACGGAACTAAATTGCAAGAGAATGAAGCGCTTTCCGTAAAGCAGCGAGTGTACAGGGTGGCCAACTAAGAATGCGAGGTACTGTATCTGAGAATAACAAAACTTCAATGTAGCCGCAGAATAACTCTTTTCAATTAACCCGAGTTTTTTAAAATCGGCTCAGCCGTTTTGAAAGATACAGGGTGTTCTTTACGGAAACCTTTGAATACCCCCCACCAATTCACAAAAAAAGGTTAAGATTATCGTCGTCTTCAAAGATCGGACATTTTTTTGTTAGGTTAATATACCGGAATTCACAGAAAAATCACTTTTTTAGATTCCGGATTGCCCCCTAGCGGCCATTGCAGAAACTTAAAAATATTTTCCAGGTTTTTCTCGTGGCCGTTTTAGTAATAAATTTTTTTACCGCAGGCCTCTACGATGGACAGGTTCACAGATACAGTACCTCGCATTCTTATTTGGACACCCTGTACAATCAGAGAAGACTCAAAACGCCACAGTGTTGCCGGTTCTCAAGACCGCTCTGATGGAGCATAAGGAACGGTTTTTCTGCTATACCTTTGCATGTTTAAAAAAACAGGGTCAAAACTTGTTTTGCGTTGGGGCGTTTCAGTATTGGGTTGGGGATCGGCGAGTACGTAATTCGAGCGCATTTTAGAACGCGTAATATCAGATTCTTCGATGAACTTTCGAAGCGGATCTATGCAACTCAAGCGCGGCATTTTAAGAGCGCGTAACATTTTACGCTGAAAGTTTCAAGACGTATTCGTATAATCGAGGTACACGGAAGATTTAAACAGCCGTGTAATCGTACGTGACATTTTGCTTGCGGAAGTTGAAGTAATTGCCGAATAAAAAGGGAAAACTGTGCCACCATTTGCATAACACGAAAAGGACCTTGAATTTAAAAAAAAACACGCAATTCCAAAATGCTAAAACCTATTAAAATAGTGTATTTGTGCGAAAAAGTGGTACTTCATTGCGTAGTGAAAGAAGTAATCGGACGCATTATTGGTTTACGGTGTTCGCGCTTAAATAGATTGTTACTACCAAAGCGTTGGGGTCCAAGGTGCAAAACATTCCGTTGCGCCAGATACACAGTGGCGTAAAAAAACAATTTAGTAAACAAAGTTGTGCATCCAATTTATTTATATGAAGTGCGAACGATATTTTGAACAAGATGACTACCGGTAAAAAGGTTAAAGATAAGTAATTCAAGTTTTTGTTTGTTGTTAAAACCTTAAGTTACAAGGGAACATTGTTTCATATTTACAAAATGCGAAACATCGGTAATTTATTACTGTAAATAACTCAATGTACCTCGTAGGGTATCGGTAACAGTTGGGGTCTTATGTCACGTTCCCTACTTTGACATATGTAGCGCTACTAAAAATGGCCGACTGCTCCGTAAAGAGCGTAAAAGAAGCGACGTAATTATAAGATGTTTCGGTAACTGTGCCACAACATTTGTGTCTTATGAACGCGCCCATTGTATCGATAAAAGTAAGTTTTTTTTGTAAAACCATTTTTGCTAGAAGTCAATTGTATATTCCCGAAGAGGTCGAACCATTATACTTTTCAAATTAAACCTAAACAAGGAAAATCTACAGAAAGTGTTTAATAGCATTACTTTAGCTTTTTTCAACTTACTAATTTTTTTCTCCGCAACAGACTTGATGGCCGGTACAACATCAGGTTCGGCATGCTGCACCTTTGCCGGCTCAGGTTTAGATAATACGGATTGCTTCTTGGCATTGTCCCTCTTTTCGAAACCCATTTCAATGAGAATTTCGGACGCCTTCTGTATGTTGTTATCGTTGCCGCTTAGTATGTCCAAAATCATGGTCTCCTCAGCCTTCGGAAATATGAACTTCATGTACCTGTCGAAAAAACAATGTCAATAATCACACTTTCTTTAACGGGCGCGAGTACAATCATGCAGTCGCTATTGTCAAGCAGGGACGACTCCAATTCAACCATGCACGGTAACTGACAGAAAGTGAGGTGCACGTAACTTTAGCAAAACTTGATTCTCCGCACCTCAATAAAAATTCCGAGACAATCAAGCATACCAAAACTCTACTGTGCAGTCTCCTTCTACGTCATTATCACTGACAATACTGGTGACTCTAATATAACAATTAAAAACCTTAATTTCAATTTAGGCGAGTGAGGTTTGGGTGAGTTCCGATAAGTCTCGTTGCTACCGCCAGAGCCCGATCTTAAAATCGGACTCCCGCCCCTAGAGCAGAACCTTAGACCTAGAGGCGGAGTCATTTGCAAATGGGCATAGTTATTTGTTTGAATATTGCGGACGGGAGGTGGTGTGGTAAAAGGTCCCGGAGTCGTTATCGGATGCTTTTCCACTTGCAAAGCGCTTATCACCAAAGCTTCCCGATTGTGGTACCTAAAAATGTTAAGAAAAATGCGTAGCGAACGAAGTGTTAGCATAAGCTTAGTTACGCGACTGTAATAAGTGTTAGTGTCATTTACAGCGTCAAGAGATGCATGCAAGTGCAGATTAGTGTCGATAAAGAAGACGTGTTATCGATGATATAAAAATTGCTACACAGATTTTGTTAACTCACTTCTTGAGAAGTAATCGAATGTGAGTATCGGACACCGTCGGAAACATGGTACTGATTTTAGTCACTGCTTCCTCGGTGTTTGCGGCCGCGCTCAAGGTCGTATCTTGGAGTCTGCTAGTGCGCGGACTACCACGAGTTACGTGGCTTAGATCCTATAAGAAATTGCCATAGTAAGCAAATAGGAGCCGAAGTATATCATGCAAGCATCTTCACTAACAACTGCACTGCACTAATAGCCTACTTTTATTTAAGAGAGTTGCTAGGATACGCAATTACATGTGACAGAACACAATTTATTCATCAGAACTTTGTACTTCACATGCAGACTAACAGAAACATGCACTAGTTAGACCACTTTGTCTTAACTATAGCACAAGTTCTTGTGGTGGTTCAATTTATGATCTTCAACAATCATTACATCATAGCTAACACATTAGTCATCAAACTGATTAACAACAAGATACCAAAGCTCACCTCAGGTGGCGTGCATATGAATTTAAAAGTTCACATTTTAGCTTTTAAAAAACTACATGGCGCATCCTGGATTTCCTGCAATGCCCACCCTGAATACTTTTCCAATATGTTGTCTAACCGCAAGATTAAAGTATATTTAACGGTTCAGACGTAACAGAGTATCAAAGAATGAAACGCTATTTTTATATTGCATTTTAAAAGTTATAAAACTCCATTAAAGCAGGTAATTGGCAATACAGCGATTAATGAGAGACCTACCTACCTACTTCCGAGGGTGTATCCACTTTCGAAATGCAGAAAGCCCAAAGTCACGTGTAAATGTAGCTACGTTTGTTTCCGAGATACAGGGTGAAAACCAAAAGTTTGAATTTTTGGGATGTTTTCATTTACTACCCATGTAAGATAGAAACAAGTAAAAAGGTTTTCGCCCTAAGGCGATTAACTTCAGCGCATTTTTCATGAATGATCAGTACTTCCCAATAGACCATAGCTATATATAGAGAGAGAGAGATTTTCTAAGAATATTTTCTCTCGCAGGTGTGCCTCCATTTATTGGATTTATCCCTAAATAAAAAAGTTGTCATTTTGCAGTCTGCGCATGCGTGGATTTGATTTTTGCTACATGTGATTTGTTTTTCTTTACTAGAAGCATATATGGTATAAATTTCAAAGAAATATCTTGATAAACAAAGAAGTTGGCACTGACTGCGCATGCGCACATCTAATTTTTGCAATATCATTCCTTTAACAGAAGCATCTGTGATTAAAATTTCAAAAAGATATCTCGATAAATAACAGTTGATATCGCGCATCCTGCGCATGCGCACATTAATCTGATGTTTACAATATGCGATACGTTTGCTTAAACTAAAGGCAACTTTGGTTAACATTTCAAAGAAATATCTCCATAAATAAGAAAGTTGCCATTGCGCATGCGTACATCTGATTTTTGCACCAGAAACATCTGTAGTTAAAATTTCAACAAAATATATTAATAAATAAAGAAGTTGACATTGCGCAGTCTGCGCATGCGCAGTTTAATCGGCAAGATTTTCCTTGGTTCAGGTGCTAGAGCTATACGCTACCGAATGCAAAAAGAACGAACTTAATACCTTGAAAACTGTAGTAGTTAAGGCCTCGGACAGACGAACGGTCAGAGAAAGTGGCTGCAATAGCCCACCCAACTTCGTTGCAAATTGCGCAAAGGTAAAAACTGCCTATTTTAGATATTTTTACGTAGAATTCAGAAGTCATTTCTAAAATTGGATTCAAATTTGGAATTTTTTAATGCAACACCCTGTATATCTTAAGGTCAATTTTTTTACATTCAAAAAGTATAGGATGTGATATATCAATACAAGCGAGTAAAAAAATGCAAAAAATTGACGTTAAGATATACTGTGTGTTTTAATTAAAAAATACCAACTTTGGGTCAAATCTCAGAAACTATAGTGCAAAAATTTTTTGACTGTCGCGGGATTCTACGTACAAATATCAAAAATAGGCATTTTTTACCTTTTTCTATTTTACATGGGTAGTAAAGTGTGATACCATACGAAAAAGTCAAGCTTTTGGTCTTCACCCTGTATTTCAGAAACAAACGCGGCTAGATTGATTTTGTTTGTGTTATTAAGTTCCAAAATTTAACAAAATCCGTTGAACCGTTTTCTCGGAAAATTGTCTACGTACCGGGTGACCCAATAAAACTGTTACTCAGCCATATCTCGAGAACCGTTCGTCATATGACTTAGGGGTAAAAAAAAATTATTGGGTAAATCGGTCATGAAGAATATCTGGAAAATTGACCAACAGAGGGCGTAACTGCAATCTTAAATTTTAAAATTGGATTTTCTTTAAATTTCGCATAATTATTTTTTCGCATTTTTAAAGAGAACCAGTTTATCTATCATTTTCGTAAAAACAAAAACTCAGTTATTTCAAAAACAAAGATGGTGTGGGGCGTTCAATTGGTTTTGCAATAACCTGTTTTAACTTCTTAACCGTTTGACCGATTTTAACAAATTTGGTATGGTTGAAAAGAGCATTCCTTGGGCAATGAGAATCAAAAATATAGTTAATTTAGTTGAATTCTTCTCCGCCAGGGGGCTAGTTTTGACACTAGGATCCAAAATCCTAAAAAAATCAAATAGAATGATATGACTTTTTCTTTATGAAAAAGTAGCCAAATAACATCCAAAGAGGCCAGTGAAAACCGTTTTTAAAATCTCGTTCCTAACCTCAAATATTGGGAAAATGAGATTAATTAATTATTTAATAAAAATGCTTAATTTGTATCTTACTTACTTTTTACATATTTCCGATATTTGTCGATGGCGCGAAAGAAAAGCACCCTACACTTTTAGGTAGGCGTTGGAAAATTAAACAAATGAAACACGATGCATTATAAAATAATAACAGTCGTAATTTGTAAATTATTCTGCTGTGTTTACATTCAGAAAGTGCAGTTTTTTGAATTTGTAATCTTTTCTAAAATGCCGATTTCTAACCAAGAAGCATTATGGCTGTTATTATTATATAATGCATCGTGTTTCATTTGTTTAATTTTCCAAGGCATACCTAAAAGTGTAGGTAGGGTCCTTTTTCAAACAAACTTTCGCGCCATCGACAAATACCGGAAATACGTTAAATAAGATACAATTTAAGCATTTTTATTAATTAATTAATGAACTAAATCTGATTTTCCCAATATATGAGGTTAGGAACGATATTTTGAAAAACGGTTTTCACTGGCCTCGTTGGGTGTCATTTGGCTACTTTTTCATAAAGAAAAAGTGATATCATTCCATTTGATTTTTTTAGGATGTTGGATCATAGTGTCAAAACTAGCCCCCTGGCGGAGAAGGATTCAACTAAATTGCCCAAGGAATACTCTTTTCAACGATACCAAATTTGTTACAATCGGTCAAACGGTTAAGAAGTTAAAGAAGGTTATTGCAAAAACAATTGAACACCATCTTTGTTTTTGAAATAACTGAGTTTTTGTTTTTACTAAAATGATAGGTCCTCTTTAAAAATGTGAAAAAAGAATGTTTAGTTTATTTATTATGCGAAATTTAAAGAAAATGCACTTTTAAAATTTAAGATGACAGTTACGCTCTCTGGTGTCATTTTTAGAACATGAAACTATTTTCCTAAGTCATACGACGAACGGTTCCCGATATATGGCCGAGGAACAATCTTATTGGGTCACCCGGTACATATGTTGCTTAAAATGATCCAAATTCCGAATTTTTGACATATCCAAAAAACGGTGATCCCAATATATGTATTCTACAGGGCGTTCTAAATTGCTTGTTTTCGATGTTTTTTGGGTATATTTTGAGAACTAAAAGAGACAAGAGTGATGCGGAGTTACTTCCAAAGCTGCCTAGATTGACGATGTCAATTTTGACGTATGACTAGCGCGAACGTGGCAACGGCGCAAAAGTCCAAAAATGTAATAAAACGTTTCTGCTTTATAACTCAGGTATATTAGTGAGAGTATCAAAAAAGTAGAAAAAATAAACCTTATATAAAAATAGTTTCTTAATAAAGGGGTATTTTTATAGTTTCCATAGCATGCTTTGTTTTTAAGATACAGCATCAAAGTTATGGTTTATTCAAATGGAATGTAGCATAATATTTTTGCGCCAATAAATTCCGTTTTTTTTAACTAAAAAATCAGTATGTTTGATAAGAACAAATTTGAGATAAAGCATTGAGCAAATTCTATTAAAATACTGTTATTTTGGGCATTTCCTGAAGTATGAACTATATGTTTGCCGGCCTGTGTGGCGCAGTTTAGTTGAAGCTGGTTGGGTTGGTAGAGCAGCCTTGGCTGAAACCCCGCCGACTCAAAAATAAAGGTTAAATAAATAAATATTTCACGACCTACCGGTATTTAATCCTCATTTTCAAGACAGTTTTCCCTATTTATCTCAATTTTTTTTATTCAAATGTAATGTAGTGGATTTTACCTAAGGTGATAACGGTCTTCGCCGTACACCTCACTATGAGATGACAACTGTTTATAGTAACATGCTTGTTTTACTTCTCTGGCCCCGTGTGAATACAACATCGAACATACTCATTGTGATTACTAAAAGGTGTTTTTTTTTTTCGAGGCGGAGAACTTTAGATTGGCAACACTGTTTTTTATGACAGCTAATTTGAATGTCAACGAAATTTTGTATCTGGGGTATTTTTGAAAATTAAAAAATTTTCAACTATTTAGCATAACAAAAAAATCTTTTCTATTTATAATAATCAGCCCACTTAATTAGTGTATAACATCAACATGATTTCATTATATGTTCCTTATCTTTAAATTACAGGTATAATTAAAAAATACTATAAGAAACGCGTGTATAATTGGTCTTTAAAGCACTTGCAACGTTTAAAGGCACTCCGCTGCGCGTCGTGCCCTTAAACTCGTTGCGCGTGCTTTAAAGACTTGATTATACACTTGTTTCTTAATATACTATAAGAGTATGCCGCCACTGCCTTTGATCTAAATTTGACTTGTGCACTTTTTGGCGGGTGCATCATTTTGTGGTAAAAATTTAGGAAAGCTTTTTACAAAATCAAAAATCTAGATAAGCCGCAAGTTAACCTATCTGTTATGGTTCCTAGAATAAATTTAGCTCTTCCAAACAATTCATTGCGAAGAAATGCTTGCTTTGGTCCCCTCTATCACCAAATTTTTTGTTGATATACAGGTGTTTAAAGTGGGCGTGGTTTAGCGAGCCGAGGTAGTGAGGTTACGGAAGGGGTTTCACTTTACTTCTTTTACTGTGTTTAGAAATAAAAAAAAAGAAGAAAAGAGATTTTCTCAACAATTTTAAAGTTTGATTTAATTGTCCCAGTTCGAGAAATAAATAATTGTTTAAACTAATACTTAATCCAAAGAATTTTAAGTATATGACATGCAATACAATTTTTTCATAAATGCTCAATAAATTTTTTTTACAAAAATCTAAGCAAAGGATAATTTGTTTGCGAAACAGGCCAAAATTTATAACGCTAATCAAAATCGCTATTGAAATTGGTAATGCACTGATTTTCGTGATATAACTTCTTGAAAATTGACCACTAGCGCCACCTGGCGGCGAAACCTTTAAACCGAGATATCTGGAGAACGGGGCGATCGAAGGGGCGACGTAGAAAGGTGCTTAAGTGTGGCGTAGGAACGGTCTCGACCTAACCTAACCAGTGGTCATGGAACAGAAAAGGTATTTGAAAATCCAAGAATAGGTACATTTTTTTATAGATTTTTACGATATCATTTCATTTAAAATCTTCCATTTTGGAGGACTTCCTTCGCCCCCTAGCGATGATGTAGAAAACTCTTAGAGCATTCTTATTGGACCACCCTCAGTAGGTTTTTGCACAACTTTCTTAGGTGTTCACTGTGTTCATTCGAGTATTGTTTATAGTTTTAGTAGCAATTAAAATGTAAAATAACAATTACAATGTAAGCTTTTCTCCTATCTCAAGCAAATTCCTTGTAAATCATACGCTGCACATATATACTACACACTATGACGACACTGGACTATCTAGAGAACATGCAAATGGATGAACATCTTTCATCACTATACCTGCAGTTGGGGTACAAATTTTGGACTACAATGTGGCGGTATTTGAAAAGCAGGTATGGGAGTAGTCTGACTGGGATACACATAGTTCCTTCGAAATTCTGGCGAACCATGCTGATTTATCGAACACAATAATCCAAAGCAGCATGTGTAGAGAGGTGGAAATGAATTTAAAATCAGTTGGTAACCGAACAATCAGCCAACTGGTACATTTAAAGTTAAAAGCGGATTAGATTGACCGGGAACCTAAATAACATATTTGTTTACTACATGCACGTCGAGTGAATAAATTGAAATGCCTTTAACTTCAAATTATCGGTTTCAATGTTGTAAATCTAAACATATTACCTGCATCACGATATGTTCAACAGGTACAATGGGTGCGGGATGTCTTGGTTTATGTTGAAGTCTCGGATCATCCCAAGTTGTTGTCTTTGTAAGGTGGTTGACGTAGTAACTGCAATTTGCGATTAAAGGTAACGGTAAGGAAACAAATATGTGATATTTACTATCTTCCAGACTTCCTGTCGCACTGGCAATCCCATCCGGGAGGTAGAGGATTTTGAAGCTCCGCCATTGTTCAAGTTTCGTTTCAATAAAAAAGTTCCTTACATTTGTCGAATCTTTGTGTATTTTGGAAAGTATTTAGATTTTCAATACTTATTGATTTGATTTGTGTCTATAAATGTCATGTGAAGTACTCAATCAAAATTCAGGGATACCACCTGAATAAAATTTACAATCTACCAACTGTAAAGTTAGTTGTAATTGTAATTCGTCCATAGTCGTCCCCATGGTATATTTCATAGGGAAAGTGGTTTGTCGAAAATTGATGTAAATTTTGCACATATTAAATCAAAAATTTGAATAAAAACAAAACCTAAAAAAAGTATTGTAGTCTCGTAGCGTGATTACTGCATCTTTTATTTACCACCCCATGCAGAGGAAAAAGTAATAAATGAGTAATTTTTTTGCTATAATCTTTCAGAAATATTCATTTTCCAAGTCGACTTTCTATGAATTTTAGTGATATATTTTTTCACTATGCCTCTTGGTAAAATCAAAATGCTTTACTATTATTTTCCTTATTTTTGCCAGCTCTCCAGGCTCATTCAGAAGTTATAAATTTTTCAATGGATCTAAACCAAGTTGGTTTTGTATGAGTTTCAGAGACTTTTTTTCTAGTTTTGCCTCTGCACCTCTTAATAAGCACAATCAAAGTAGCCTAATTTTTTCAGTTTTTCCAGCAAAGGCGGACTGGCTACTTATAGGTCAGGTGGTATCGTGATGATAGGGATCTTTTGTACCTCACCACAAGAAATTAAAAAATTTCCTTTTAAATCGAATGTTAAAATGAACAATTAATTAATACATGACATAAAAAGTAGTGGGTAATAATTTATAATCCTAAGAAACTATGTTTTAAAAGATGTCATTTGAAGTTGCATTTAACCATTGAATAAAATGCTTATTCAATGATTTAACATTTGTCACATAATCACGATTAGCACATTTAAAATCAATTAGAAACTCTATGTCTTAAAAGATGTCGTTTGAAGCCAAGTTTATTATTTGTCCCATAATCACAAGTAGCACAATTAAAATCCTTAGAAACTGTATGTTTTACACGGTGTTTTTTAAGATCGAATTTAAAATTTGTCTCATAGTTACAGTTAGGACATTTAAAATCTTTAGAAACTTTATGTTTTAAAAGATGTCGTTTGAACTGGTATTTATCATTTGTACCATAATCACAAACAGTACATTTAAAATCCTTCGACACTTTATGCATTAAAATATGTCGTTTGTAATCCCATTTAACATTTGTGCCATAATCACAATCAGCACATTTAAAATCTTTAGAAACTTTGTGTTTTAAAATGTGTCGTTTGAAGTCGCTATTAAGATTTGTTCCATAATCACAATCAGCACATTTAAAATCCTTCGAAACTTTATGTGTTAAAAGATGTCGATTGAAAAAGTGTTTTTTATTTGTCCCATAATCACAATCATCACATTTAAAGTCCTTTGAAACCTTATGTTTTAAAAGATGTTGGTTAAAGGTGAATTTGTTGTTTGTCCCATAATCACATTCAGCACATTTAAAATTTTTAGAAACTGTATGTTTTAAAAGGTGCTGTTTAAGATAGCTGTTATATTTCGTCCCAAAATTACAATAAGTACATTTAAAATCTTTAGAAGCTTTATGTTTTATAAGATGTCGTTTGAAGTCACTTTTATGATTTGTCCCATAATTACAAGTAGCACATTTATGCTCCTTTGAAACCTTATGTGTTAAAACATGTTGTTTAATGAGGTATTTACGATTTGTCCCATAATCACAAATAGCGCATTTAAAATCCTTAGAAACTTTATGTTTAAAAAGATGTCGTTTGAAGTTTGATTTAATATTTGTCTCATAATTGCAATGACATTTCAAATAGTCTGTTTTACACCGAGTTAAAAGGTCAGGTTGAAAGTCAGAATGTTGCTGTAAATCTTCATTATCAAAAGTACATGGTGTACTGATGGTAACTTCGTCCTTTATTTCCACCAAAATTTCGTTGTTCACTGAAATGTGGCCCTGAAGAAAGGAATGGATTTCGTCTTCTTGTTTTGGTTCGATTTTAATAAGTATTGTGTCATTATCTCCATCCATACCTAACAATGTCCCATGTGTTAAAAATCTATTATTGGTGTTAAATAATTACTTTGTTAATTACAGAATTTGTTGAAGAATTATACCACCTCACTAGTAAATTAAACACTCGACGCACTCCATTCGAGAATTGATTGATATAACCTTAAAGAAGGAAGATCATATAGATCTATAGCCCAAAAAAGCCCATCACACAATGAAAAAAATAAGGAATAACAATTTTCAATCTACCTGATCTTTATGGATTTGCACACAGCACTGAAATATGAAATAAGCCTAGGAAATAAGAAATAATAATTTCGTTCACTGGAATTATTCATATTGCGAACCAATGACATTAGAAGAGACGCGCATGCGTAGGTATTCTATATTTGTTATTTTATTGTTTACCTAAAAATAAAAAAGTATGAGTTGTTGTCTTTGTGAAGTTATGAACTTGGAATTACATTTGATGGCGGTGCAATTAGCCTGCTATTACCTTACTTTTAGCTGCCATTATAATATAAATTCAAACGACATGAGTGTTCTGATTGGCTTATAGTCTGTTGCTATTTGTTTGTTGTGTTTTGCGTGTACGACGTTACTATTTCTTATTCCTTATTTTTTTGATTGTGTGATGGGCTTTGTATGTCTATGGTAGGAACTCTGACACAAATTTACGGGTGGCGGTCATTGGTTGCCAAAACTGTGTTGTGTTTACTTTTGAAGGAAAGAGGTTTCAGTTACGGTTTTTTCAGCAGCTGTTTGGTTCGTGATTCTTGGCATTCATCAAATCCTGTTGTCAGAAAGTGTAGTAACTAAGATTTGAATTTTGAAATTACGCGCCTTTAGTTTAAGTTGGTACTTATGTATAGTTGGTAGAATGTATTTTTAAGTTGGCATGCAGGAGGTTGACTATATTCAGTTTGATGGAATTGTGTTGTATTAGTCACATTGTGTGGTTCAGTTCCCCGCATTTTATACATATATATCTCTTATATATATGATTTTATATAATAAACATTATTGAATATTGTTATTGATTATTGTATTAGTAAGCAGGACCCCTACAGCGTCAGAAGTGGGATGAAAGCATGAAAGATTCAAGTTTTGTTACACGATTGGTGAGATAAACTTTGATATATTGAAGACCACGTTTTTGATCCGATTGACATTACCGTAGTGAAGGTAGCAGCCAGAAAGTAGCAGCCGAATTAATATGTGGCAACAGTGTGTAGTCACTGCAAACAGGCCACTCCCCTGAAAACCACGCCCTATTTTGAATAGAAACTATTAAATCGGCTGCTCCTTTTTGGCTGCTAGCTTCACTACATCCCTAAGTATTTCACTACATCCCTATACAGTGTATAATTCTATTAATACAGCTGCTTACTTTTTGGCTGCTAGCTTCACTACATCCCTAAAGTGTAGAAATTCAAATAAATCGGCTGTCAGATTCACTATATTCCTATGTATATATATAGTACCTACAAATTCCTATCAAAATGGCCCTAAAGGTACAGGAGCGACTTATTATACGAAAACACCTATTCGAAATTGCTCTCAAAACGGCCTTAATCGAGAGTGTTACGCGATGCAATTGATACACAATTTTGATAATGTAATGCCCTTTTAGAAAAAACAAAAAAATTGGAAAGTCTATGTCGGGAAGGTGTTTAAAAATGGCCCTAAAGGTACAGGAGCGACTTATTATACGAAAACACCTATTCGAAATTCCTCTCAAAACGGCCTTAAACGAGAGTGTTACGCGATGCAATTGATACACAATTTTGATAACGTAATGCCCTTTTAGAAAAAACAAAAAAATTGGAAAGTCTATGTCGGGAAGGTGTGTAAAAATGGCCCTAAAGGTATACTTATTATACGAAAACACCTATTCGAAATTGCTCTCAAAACGGCCTTAATCGAGAGTGTTACGCGATGCAATTGATACACAATTTTGATAACGTAATGCCCTTTTAGAAAAAACAAAAAAATTGGAAAGTCTATGTCGGGAAGGTGTTTAAAAATGGCCCTAAAGGTACAGGAGCGACTTATTATACGAAAACACCTATTCGAAATTGCTCTCAAAACGGCCTTAAACGAGAGTGTTACGCGATGCAATTGATACACAATTTTGATAATGTAATGCCCTTTTAGAAAAAACAAAAAAATTGGAAAGTCTATGTCGGGAAGGTGTTTAAAAATGGCCCTAAAGGTACAGGAGCGACTTATTATACGAAAACACCTATTCGAAATTGCTCTCAAAACGGCCTTAAACGAGAGTGTTACGCGATGCAATTGATACACAATTTTGATAATGTAATGCCCTTTTAGAAAAAACAAAAAAATTGGAAAGTCTATGTCGGGAAGGTGTTTAAAAATGGCCCTAAAGGTACAGGAGCGACTTATTATACGAAAACACCTATTCGAAATTGCTCTCAAAACGGCCTTAATCGAGAGTGTTACGCGATGCAATTGATACACAATTTTGATAATGTAATGCCCTTTTAGAAAAAACAAAAAAATTGGAAAGTCTATGTCGGGAAGGTGTTTAAAAATGGCCCTAAAGGTACAGGAGCGACTTATTATACGAAAACACCTATTCGAAATTGCTCTCAAAACGGCCTTAATCGAGAGTGTTACGCGATGCAATTGATACACAATTTTGATAATGTAATGCCCTTTTAGAAAAAACAAAAAAATTGGAAAGTCTATGTCGGGAAGGTGTTTAAAAATGGCCCTAAAGGTACAGGAGCGACTTATTATACGAAAACACCTATTCGAAATTGCTCTCAAAACGGCCTTAATCGAGAGTGTTACGCGATGCAATTGATACACAATTTTGATAATGTAATGCCCTTTTAGAAAAAACAAAAAAATTGGAAAGTCTATGTCGGGAAGGTGTTTAAAAATGGCCCTAAAGGTACAGGAGCGACTTATTATACGAAAACACCTATTCGAAATTGCTCTCAAAACGGCCTTAAACGAGAGTGTTACGCGATGCAATTGATACACAATTTTGATATCTATAATTTATTTATAATGATCTTTGCATTAGTGTGATTAGTGGATAAAATTAGCAATTATTAACATGTTCGAATAGATTTTTAATGACAGCTATTTTCATGTAATTAATTGTAATCAATTTCACTGTTCTAATAAATTACATATTATTATGGTGGACATAATTAGCAATTGTTTGTTAACAGATTCAAATACAGTTTTAATGTCATCGCGATTATTCTAATTCTCATCAAATCCACTGGTCACATTTTTTGAATTCTGACACCAAAAAAATTGT